ATCTGTGACCAAACAACATTCGAAAGCAACAGACAAAGTTTGTTCAATTCAGAATTATTTGTCATTCTATGGTTCCCTGACAAAGCTGGGTAAATTTCTTTTATTTAATGGACTTAGGCCATTAAATTGTCTGTTCCTGTTACGATCATGGAAAAATATTCTCATAATTTGAATTTAACGGACAATCAGCTTTTTTTTATTAGTTCTTCAACTGAGGGTTTATTGTACATAAGAGGTACAGGAACCTTGCAAAACACTTTAGCTTGTAATAATTTTCTTATATACATTCATCCATTCAAGCATCAATAGAAGTTTGATTTAATACATACCCAATACATGTAGGTTATTTTTAGAAATACCGATGTTTTTCACTTGTTGAATCAAGACCAGTTCGCTGTCTTGCGAATGATTTTGTAAATTTTGTGGCTCACTGAAACCAAGTTCACTCCCATACCTTTGATGAGTTTCAAGAGTCTTACTACTCTTGGAGTGTGGCCATGACATTTATTAAATAAAAAGCACTAACCATTCCAAAACTATATCTTCACCTGCTTTTACATTTGTCTTTATCCCAATAATCCCAGCCGCTTTATTCCCTTTCATTCTACTCACTGCCTCATGCATTTCTGCCACACTCACAACTGGCTCTTCCTCACTTCTAGATGTTATACCTCCCTGCCCAATGCATGAAATCACAGCTTCCCTATCTCGTCATCTAACAATATGACAGTGTTAGATATTTAGGACTTGAAGAAAAATTTAAGTTCATTATAAACTTATAATTAACCTTTTGAGGGTCGAGAGGCCCTCTCCTAAACTCGTTCTCAGGGTCGAAAAATTTTCCAAAAAAAAAAAAAAAAAAAAAAAAAAAAAATTATTTTTCTTATGAAATGATAGAGAATCTTTTTCTGATCATAATGACACCAGAAGTATGAAATTTGGTGGAAAACTTATGGAATTATGCTCTCATGAAGTTAGCGGTCTCGACGATATTTACGCACTTGAGCCCTATTTTTGGCCAATTCCAATATTGAAGTTGACTATTTCGCTAGAATTCCATTTGTTCTATCGAGTGAGTGCAAGAAACCTCCCATTTACCAATTTCAATTACCCAATAAAGTGGTCAGAAATTGGTAATTTGGCCAATTTCACACAAATTTCAAAAGATGCCAATTTCAAAATAGGGCCCAGAATGAATGAGAGAGACATTCATGGCACTAAAATAACATTTTATCTGTTCATTAGTCACGTCTCTAGGCCCCTCTTATATTACCTTTGGTTTCCATTTTGAATTTTTATTTTCACAGAAAACAGAAGGTTTTCTGTTATGTATATTACTGCAACATTGTAAAAATGGTATAAATGATATCAGCGCACTTGTGAAAGAATATTAGACTCGCCAATTAATGTGTACTGGACGTGTAATGAGATTTGTTTACTCTTGAACATCGGCAAATATTGATCATTTTTGCTACTTTGAGCTCAATTTCAAGGTACGTACTTATCGTGAAACCAATCAATATCATCTATATTTCTGTAATATATCTTCCATTCTATCAAATAACCCAAAAAGGACGAATACGAACCTGGAAACCGATACGAAAATAACTAAAGAAAGCTCGCGCGTTTGTGATTACAACCAAAAACACAGTTTGCTTTGTCAATTCATGCGACCGTAACTGTCGTACAGGATTTTCTGTTTTATGTGCGTGGTCATGTGTATCTTCCATTCTACCAAATGAGACCAAGAAAATGAGAATACAACCATAAATACCATACGGAAATATACTAGAAAGTCGCCGTTTTAAACCAAAAACACAGTTTTTTCTTTCTCATTATGCACTGTGTTTACCTGGATTACCAGGATTTTTTTTTATACTGCGCACACTGGCCATGCAGACCCATTCTTTCATATGTAGGCCTGCCAGCTTTCTTCCACCAGATTTGAAGGCGCTAGAATTTAGGCGTACAAGTACGTGACCGACCCTGGCTGCAATGACGTACTTGTACGTGACCGACCCTCAAACGGTTAATGTGAAAATAAAATGTAAAAAAATCACGGCTGTTGTGGGCAGGGAGCAGCTGACAGTTGTTACGATAACTGGATGTCCCTCATCTATGTCATGTTTGTCCTTTTATGCCAAGAAATACAAGTCTCTATAGTAGTGAATTATAGTGAAGAGGATGGTTGCATATTATAGGTGCTCACTAAAGATAAACTATGTTGTTTTATAAATTTTTTAAGGTGTTAAATAAGGCAAAACACCATCACCTGCCTGTTCCCCACCACTCACTGCAAGTCAAAAATTCCAGTGTATTTTACCACAAACCCATTACAGTACATGCAGCATGCTGACATACAAACATAGTAGGACCCCCTGTATCCGCAGGGGATAAGTTCCAAGGACCTGCGCCATGGATACCAAAACTGCGGATAGTAGCAAACCCTATATGTAATTCCCATACAAACTTATTATAAAGTTTAATTGATAAATTATGCACAATAAGTGGAGAATTATCACTTATTTACTGATGGAAAACACTTCATGGCTCCTCTTAGGCTTTAAGGAACTGCCAGCTTCTCTACTTTTGCACTCTGGGGCCATTATTATGCAAGATTAAGAGGTACGTTTGGACCACAGTAAACTGTGGGCAACTGAAACAGCAGATACCAAATCAGTGGATATGGAGGTTCTACTGTATCTGTATATTCAATAGTACAGCCTCTCCTCACTTAGCAATGTACTCGTTTACCAACGACTCAGACTTACGATGGGCTCTCTGACCAGCATGCATACCTAAATATGCAATGTATATTACGTATTTAGGTGTGCATGTTGATTTCCTTTATTCTGTTTAATACAATACAGTGGTATCTTGACTTACGAATGCCCCAACTTATGAGTTTTCCAAGTTATGAACCGTCGCTCGGTCGATTTATTGCTTTGAGTTGCAAGCCAAAATCTGAGTTACGAGTGAGCTTCAGATACACCGCCACTAACTGGTGGTGTATCTGAAGTCAAATCAAACTCTGTACCCAGAAATGCCAGGTACTTTGTCTCATCCCACATGCTCTTCCAAGACATAAATGGAAGGATAATAGTCCCACATTAATCCCAGATTGTAGTGAGGCACCTCGTCCCTTGGTTGGTTCTCATATAAATCTTGGGAAGATGTAACCTCCATTTTAACATACAGCTTTTTCCAGAAATATTAATTAAGGTGGGTGGAGTAGTGATGGTGGTGGGTGGAGTAGTGATGGTGGTGGGTGGAGTAGTGATGGTGGTGGGTGGGAGTGTGATGGTGGTGGTGAGTAGTGATGGTGGTGGGTGGAGTAGTGATGGTGGTGGGTGGAGTAGTGATGGTGGTGGGTGGAGTAGTGATGGTGGTGGGTGGAGTAGTGTGGTGGTGGTGAGTAGGGTGTGGGTAGTAGTGATGGTGGTGGGTGGAGTAGTGATGGTGGTGGGTGGAGTAGTGATGGTGGTGGTGGAGTGTGAGGTGGGAGTATGATGGTGGTGGGTGGAGTAGTGAGGGTGGTGGGTGGAGTAGTAGGGTGGAGGAGTAGGGTGGGTGGAGTAGTAGGATGGTGATGGGTGGAGTATGATGGTGGTGGGAGTAGTAGTGATGGTGGTGGTGGAGTAGTGAGTGGTGGTGGGTAGATGGTGGTGGGTGGAGTAGTGATGGTGGTGGGTGGAGTAGTGATGGTGGTGGGTGGAGTAGTGATGTGGTGGGTGGAGTAGTGATGGTGGTGGGTGGAGTATGTAGGTGGTGGGTGGAGTAGTGATGGTGGTGGGTGGAGTAGTGAGGGTGGTGGTGGATGTGAGTGTATGAGGTGTGGGTAGTATGGTGTAGGTGGATGGTAGTTGGTGGGTGGAGTAGTGATGGTGGTGGTGGAGTGAGTGGTGAGTGTGGTGGTGGTGGAGTAGTGAGGTGGTGGGTGGAGTAGTGATGGTGGTGGGTGGAGTAGTGATGGTGGTGGGTGAGTAGTGATGGTGGTGGGTGGAGTAGTGATGGTGGTGGGTGGAGTAGTGATGGTGGTGGGTGGAGTAGTGATGGTGGTGGGTGGAGTAGTGATGGTGGTGGGTGGAGTAGTAATAGGTGGTGGGTGGAGTAGTAAAGGTGGTGGGTGGAGTAGTGATGGTGGTGGGTGGAGTAGTGATGGTGGTGAGTGGAGTAGTGATGGTGGTGAGTGGAGTATACAATATTTCTTATTTATAAAAACGTTTTTTATTTAAAAACCCATAAAAAAAATTGGGGTGGTTTTTTGCTACTTCTACTTACACTTAGGTCACACTACACATACATGTACAAGCATATATATACACATGCCTCTGGGTTTTCTTCTATTTTTCTTCCTAGTTCTTGTTCTCGTTTATTTCCTCTTATCTCCATAGGGAAATGGAACAGAATTCTTCCATGTAAGCCATGAGTGTTGTAAGAGGCGACTAAAATGCTGGTAGCAAGGGGTTAGTAACCCATTCTCCTGTATAAATTACTAAATTAAAAAAAAAAATCTTTTGATTTTCTTTTTGGGCCACCCTGCCTCAGTGGGATACGGTCAGTTTGTTGAACGAAGAAGAATGGTGCACACTTACCACATAGACCCATTCTCATATCTAGGCCGAAATTTACACCTCACAGCTTATCTGAGTGAGCCGAGCTCATGGGGTAAAACTACTGAACCAATCCTGGCTTCAAAGCCGATGTACTATGGGACCGACCCCAAAAGGGTTAAATTAATTCTATTCATTTTTTTAATTCTAATTCATTTTTATAACACTGTTTTCCCATACTGTTTTCCCAATTTATCTACTGTATAAAGAAAAAATATTAAGAAAAGAATTAGTTTTAGTGCCTCAACAAAGTCCATGGGGATCAAATAATTAGCAATGACAATGAACATTCATTCTTACACACAATTCTGCTGCTGGTGTCCATACATAAAATTAATAATAGTCAAATCAGCCGAGTCTGCCCCAACAAACAAGGTGCTAAATCACCGAGCTATACTCACCCCACCAGGTGTCTTGCCACAACTCGCAGTTCGCTGAAGTGATCAAATTTATCATGTGAATACAGTACCTTTTCATAACGCAATGCTCAATAAGAATTTAACAAAAATCAAAATATTTCTACATAAAAGAGTGAGAATAAAAAAAACCAGTCACTGCAGTAGATGCAAACCTTGAATGCAGTAAATCCTTCAATCATAAAGTTAATGGCAATTTAACAAAAACTCTTATTTCTACCTGAGAGAATAAAAAAAAGTAGAGAAAGACTCACCCCCTATGTGGAGGGCACTGCAGTAGTTGCAAACCTCCTTGAGAGCTTCCACTTCTCTCTCAAGCCACACATACAGCTGGTACCTCAGCTGGCCACCATCCACCTCACAGCCAGTGGCAAGAGTTGCAAGTTCCTCCATCATCATCTTGAGACATGACACAAATTTCAATTGCTGTGCCATTATATCCAAATGCTTTTTGCTTGCCTCTGAAGGTCCTATGAAAGAAAGCAATTTTAAATTAAGCTTTTCTACTCAAACTCTTTAGTATATGCTCAGCCACATTTCCAAGAGTCTGGCTGAATGTCCCAGGTTCAAATCCTGGCTGGTCGCAGTATTATTTTTTAAAACCACTTTGTTTTGTGGATACATTAATATGTACATATGTATGCTCAAGCCCCAACCTTGATAGAGCTAGATGTAAAAGGTATGACTGTACCTTCATCACTGGCCTGGGACACTCTGTCCTGTGGTTTGTGTTCCTCCTCCCCCTCCTCCTCATCATCATCATCATCAGCCAGAGAAAAGTCCAGATCCAGCTCATCATCACCTTTCGTTTTCCTAAGTGATGCTGGAGCAGACCAGTCAAACTCTCCTGTGGTGGCTGAACCAAACCCTGAAGAATACATAACACATAGCTTTTTTTTTTTTTTTAGCAAGTCGGCCATCTCCCACCGAGGCAGGATGACCCAAAAAGAAAGAAAATCCCCAAAAAGAAAATACTTTCATCATCATTCAACACTTTCACCTCACTCACACATAATCGCTGTTTTTGCAGAGGTGCTCAGAATACAACAGTTTAGAAGTATACACATATAAATATACACAATATATCCCTCCAAACTGCCAATATCCCAAACCCCCTCCTTTAAAGTGCAGGCATTGCACTTCCCATTTCCAGGACTCAAGTCTGGCTATATAAAATAACTAGTTTCCCTGAATCCCTTCACTAAATATTACCCTGCTCACACTCCAACAGCTTGTCAGGTCCCAAACAACATTCGTCTCCATTCACTCCTATCTAGCACACTTGCTGGAAGTCTTGCTGGAAGTCCAAGCCCCTCACCCACAAAACCTCCTTTACCCCCTCCCTCCAACCCTTTCGAGGATGACCCCTACCCCGCCTTCCTTTCTCTACAGATTTATACGCTCTCCATGTCATTCTAGTTTGATCCGTTCTCTCTAAATGACCAGACCACCTCAACAACCCCTCTTCAGTCCTCTGACTAATACTTTTATTAACTCCACACCTTCTCCTAATTTCCACACTCCGAATTTTCTGCATAATTATTTACACCACACATTGCCCTTAGACAGGCCATCTCCACTGCCTCCAACCGCATCCTCGCTGCAGCATTTACAAACCAAGCTTCACACCCATATAAGAGTGTTGGTACCACTATACTTTCATACATTCCCTTCTTTACCTCCATAGATAGCGTTCTTTGTCTCCACATATACCTCAATGCACCACTCACCTTTTTTTCCTCATCAATTCTATGATTAACCTCATCCTCCATAAATCCATCCGCTGATATATCAACTCCCAAATATCTGAAAACATTCACTTCTTCCATACTTCTCCTCCCCAATTTGATATCCAATTTTTCTTAATCTAAATCATTTGATACCCTCATCACCTTACTCTTTTCTATGTTCACTTTCAACTTTCTACCTTGACACACACTCCAAAATTCATCCACTAACCTCTGCAATTTTTCTTTAGAATCTCCCATAAGCACAGTATCATCAGCAAAAAGTAACTGTCAATTCCCATTTTGTATTTGATTCCCCATAATACATATTGCATATGATTTTGGTAGTAGGTTGGTAGACAGCAACCACCCAGGGAGGTACTACCATCCTGCCAAGCGAGTGTAGAATGAAAGCCTGTAATTGTTTTACGTGATGGTAGGATTGCTGGTGTCTTTTGTCTGTCTCATAAACATGCAAGATTTCAGGTACGTCTTGTTACTTCTATTTACACTTAGGTCACACTGCACATACATGTACATGTTTATGTATACACACTCATCTGAGTTTTCTTTGATTTTATCTTAATAGTTCTTGTTCTTATTGCTTTTTGTTTTATATCGATGGGGGAAGTGGAATAAGAATCTTTCCTCCGTAAGTCATGCGTGTTGTTAAAGTCAACTAAAATGCCGAGAACAATGGGCTAGTAAACCCTTCTCCTGTAAAGCCTACTAAAAAGATTAAGAATAAATGATATAGAAATAGGAAAATACTAAAAATTTTAATTTAGTGAAGGGATTCAGGGAAACCGGTTATTTTTATATAGCCGGACTTGAGTACTGGAAATGGGAAGTACAATGCTTGCACTTTAAAGGAGGGTTTGGGATATTGGCAGTTTGGAGGGATGTGTAATAGGACAGTACAGAGCCACAATGTGAGATCCATCACTGGGGCTCTGATGGTCACTTTTTATATCTTTATATATGCTTCTAAACTGTTGTATCTGGGCACTCCTGCAAAAACAGTGATTATGTATGAGTGAGATGTTGAATGATGATGAAAGTATTTTCGTTTTGGGGATTTTTTCTTTCTTTTTGGGTCACCCTGCCTAGGTGGGAGATGGCCGACTTGTTAAAAGAAAAATTAAATGTATTGAAGGATTAAGAAAACATTTCTGAAGCTCATCTGTTTAAAAACAAAATTAATTTTTGGTAAATATCTTGTGGTATTTTAAACAGCTAAAGGAGATCGGTACTCTATATGAAGGGTGCACATAAGGAATCAGCCTAATAATCTCATTATTATATATTTCATTTAATTTTTTTTTACCACAACAGTGGTCTCCCATAATGGTAGGGTCACAAAAAAAAAAAAATCATTAATTCAATAACAGTCTTGCCAGAAGTGCATGAACATCAACTGCAATGACCCTAAACTACAATATACCATTCTACAGTCAACTATGAAGCATGCCAAGTTGAAGCTGCATGCATGGTTCTTTTTATTCAAGCGAATCTTAATATTCTTAAATAGAAGTGGAAAACCAGTTGGGGGAGAATGTAGAGTGTTGGAGGTTGACCCTCCATCTGGAAACTGGCCAGACTTCCTTCATCCTAGAGCTAAAAAGACAGCAGTAAAACTTTAAACTTGGGTTTGAATTAGGGTTAAACTAATTGTTCTGTGATATTTTATTTCTAAAGATAAGTCACAATACCATGGCTGAGACAATTAACAAGTAACCCACAACTTCAGATAATATTTTGGGCTGCCATCCCGGATTGCTGCCTAAATAACTGAAATAGAGTTTACTTTCCAAATTGTGGGGCAGTTGTAAATTGTGCCATCCATTTTATTGTGACAATTTTTTTTACAGAAAAACCTGTCAACAGGGAAGGAAGTTGAAAGATGAACAAAGCATTGTGATCTTTAAGGCAATAAAAAGTTAAAAACAAATATAAACACAAACACCTGCATGCCAAAATTATAATACAAAAAAAAAAAAAAACATTCAAACCAACAAGCACAAGAAAAAATAAATACAATCACACTTAGTTGAAATAACCTTGTCAACAGGAGGGGCATCCGAGCTGCAGTGTCAGCATGCCTCTAGCAAGATGGTGATGGAGCGAATGATGGTTAAAGCATTTCTTCTTTTACGGGTCATCCTAACTCAGTGGAAGGTGGCAGGTGTTTAAAAAAAAATAAAATCTACATGCCAAGATCTTGTTATTAATACTGTACCTGAGCTGAAGGTAAAGAGATTAGCAGATGTATCTTGGCCATCATCTACACGGCTGCTGCGTTCAAAGGAGGCGCCACTTTCAAGGGTTCCACTGTCTATTAACTCAAAGGCAGGTTTGTGCTCTTTTGATGGACTTCCCAAAAGATCTATATTTAAAAGGGACAATTTGAAATACAAAGATTAGTAAACAATTGTGACATTGATGAAAATACTTCATTTATCATAACAGCCTTCTCTGGTTTAAGTTGTTAGGTGGCAGTGGGAAAGTCACTGATAAAAATGTAAAATCAGAGTGTCCCAAGAAGCTGCCTTGTGGGCTACCAATATTTATGGGGAGAGAATATTATGTAACAGCTAAATCCTTGGTGCTTTTCTTTGAAAAGGTTATTGTAAGTCAACAATGTTGACAGACACACTTGTATTGATATGTGCTCTAAGTATGACAAATCCAATAATGAAAAATAGTATGGTGATATCAACAAGATGTGGAAAAAGACACCCATGTAAAATTCAGGACATTTATTAGAGGAAACATTTCACCATGAGTGCCTTCTTCAGTTACATACTGGCTGTCTCCCACCGAGGCAAGGTGACCTAAAGAAAAAAAAAAAAACCACTTTCACCATCATTCACACCATCATTCGCTCCAAACAACAAATTATTATTTTTTTTTATTAACACATCGGCTGTCTCCCACCAAGGTAGGGTGGCGCTAAACCTGTAGGGATTATACAGTGACTGGGGGAGGGGGATGGAAGGCATTCAGGTTCAGTTCAGGAAACTGGAGCACAGATCCAATTCCCTAGATCAAGACCCCTTCACCAGCATCAAGGAACCTCCCTTGAGGGGACAAATATACCAAACTCCTCCTTTAACCCTTAAACAGTCCAAACGTATATATACATTCTTACGCGTAGCGCCCCAAATGCATTTATACGTTTTATTTTTCCTGCCTTCAAATTTGGCATGATTGGCCTGAGATGCCTTGTCAGCATAGAATGGGTTCTAACACTCAGTGTGCCAGTATTAAAAAATCTGGGACCACTTAGTACCTTGTGGAAGTGTCAGTTAAATTGAGTGCCAGCTAGAGCAAACAGTGCAGCAAACACCAAGGATTCACTGATGTAATGTCATATTAACACTCCTCTTTTAATAGGAAAGTGATGTTAACCCCAAGTTTAGGGTCTGTCTATCTGTCTGCCTATCTCTGTATCTCTGTCTATCTCTATCTGTCTGTCTCTATGTCTGTCTCTGTCTCTGTATCCCTGTCAATCTGTCTCTCTTTATATCTGTTTGTCTATCTCTGTCTCACAGGTACACATAAATACAAGTATCTTTCTTTCAACGTACCAGCCGTATCCCACCGAGGTGGGGTGGCCCAAAAGGAAAAATGAAAGTTCCTCCTTTCAAATTTAGTAATATATACAGAAGGGGTTACTAGCCCCTTGCTCCCAGCATTTTAGTCGCCTCTTACGACACTCATGGCTTACGGAGGAAGAATTCTGTTCCACTTCCACATGGAGATACGAGGAAATAGACAAGAACAAGAACTAAAAAGAAAATAAGAGGAAAACCCAGAGGGGTATGTATATACAGTGGACCCTCACCTAACAATATTAATTGGTGCCTGAGAACGAATACCATCGTTAGCCGAGGGTCCACTGTATATGCTTGTACATGCATGTGCAGTGTGACTTAAGTGTAAGTAGAAGTAGCAAGACGTACCTGAAATAAATACAAGTATACATAGTGTAAATTGCCTAGGATAACCCAAAAGATTCAGACAGAGTGCTATACTCTGCTTGAAGATGTGAGTAAACATGATGACGACACAGTCTTGTGGCTCTCTCTGAGACAGAGAGCTAGATGGATAGACATAGACAGGGAGCTTGACAGACAGACAAATAGACAGACATGTTTGTGTACCAGTGAAAGCAAAGTGAGGGCGATGCTCATCAAATATCACCTCTAATCTTTTCTTATCAGCTGCACCCTTCCCCACCCTCGTGTATGCTCATCAAACGTCAGCTCTTATGAGTTGTTATCTCATCTCATCTCATCATGTCACTGTCAGGGGTCGACTTTGTTTTTCATGCTTCAAGGAAGCTTTTTTTTTTTTTTCAACAAGTTGGCCGTCTCCCACCGAGGCAGGGTGACCCAAAAAGAAAGAAAATCCCCAAAAAGAAAATACTTTCATCATCATTCAACACTTTCACCTCACTCACACATAATCACTGTTTTTGCAGAGGTGCCCAGAATACAACAGTTTAGAAGTATATATGTATAAAGATACAAAATATATCCTCCAAACTGCCAATATCCTGAACCCCTCCTTTAGAGTGCAGACATTGTACTTCCTATTTCCAGGACTCAAGTCCGGCTATATAAAATAACCAGTTTCCCTGAATCCCTTCACTAAATATTACCCTGCTCACACTCCAACAGATCGTCAGGTCCCAAATACCATTCGTCTCCATTCACTCCTATCTAACACGCATGAAGATCAACAGTAGTCACAAAGCCAAATAGAAAGAACTGAGCTCTTACCTCCAGTATCAGGATTCTCTAGATCAATTACATTGTCAGGTAACTTGGACAAGACCTCAAGTGCAAGTGTTGGGCAGCCAGAACGCAGGTGAGCATGGGCTGTGGTGAAGTACAGCTGCCTCTCCAGAGGGGTCATGCTACTCTCATACACACTCTTTTTGTCAAGCATGTCTTGACCTGTCCCAAGGCTGAGAAATGTTCAAAATTTTTGTAAGCCAACATTATGAGAAATGATTCCAAAATACAGAAATCACTGTCAACTTACAAATACAATAGAAGAAATATTTATCCAGCCTTCAAATGTGGACTGAAGAAAGGATAGTCACATTTTCCACTACACCGGAAAACATCTTTTGTTAAATATATTTTTTAGCATTAGAATCATAGGGGTCAGATCAATAAAACCACTGGACAATGTTAAATATCAAATATGCGATTGGCAAATAATCGACGCTCTATTGTATCATTCCTAAAGAGCAAAATTATTTAATCCCTTTATATTACATATTACCCAAGAATATAATGATTGGTATCTGTACAAGATTTTCTGCAAAAGACAAGAAAAAGATACATGGAGTGATGAGTTATGACCTGACCTCTACATATATTATAAGGTAATGAAAATACCCATTAAGTACCAATATTACATAAATTATAGGGTAATGAAAATACCCATTAAGTACCAATATTACATACATAAAATTAACATTTTAGGAACTATTTTCCAGCAGAGCAGAGTAACTCAAACAAGAAAGCACAATCACTATCACTTGCTCTCCAATACCTTTTCATCATGATCCTAAGCTGACCCACCAGACACTTAAAGTGAAACAACTGTGAGCTTTTTCATATATTAAACCACAAACAGTTAACTTCAACAAGAAACCAAAAGAGCACTGCTGCCAAAGGAGTATTAGTCATATAATATGTACTTAAGAGCAGTCCTGATAGAATGAGTAGTCAATATACTTAACCCTTTGAGGGTTTTGGTCGTACTAGTACGGCTTAAGACCCAGTGTTTTTGACGTACTAGTATGCCTAAATTCTAGCGCTCTCAAATCTAATGAGAGAAAGCTGGTAGGCCTACATATGAAAGAATGGGTCTATGTGGCCAGTGTGCGCAGTATAAAAAAAAATCCTGCAGCACACAGTGCGTAATGAGAAAAAAAAACTTTGACCGTGTTTTGGGAATAAAACAGCGACTTTGCACTGTATTTTTGTATGGTATTTATTGTTGTATTCTAGTTTTCTTGGTCTCATTTTATAGAATGGGAGGCATATTACAGAAATTGAGATGATTTTGACTGGTTTTACAATGAAAAGTACCTTGAAATTGAGCGCAAAGTAGCAGAAATGTTCGATTTTTATCAAAGTTCAAAAGTAAACAAATCATGCCAAGCGTCCAATACACGTCAACTGGTGAGTCTAATATTCTTTCACAAGTGCGCTGATATTATTTATACCATTTCTACACTAATGCAGTAGTCTGCATAACAGTAAATCTTCTATTTTTTGTAAGAATAAAAATTCAAAGTGGAAAGTCAAAGAAATATAAGAGGGGCCTGGAGATGTGATTAACGAACAGAGAACTTGTTATTTTAGTGCCAGGAATATCTTTTTTGTTTATTCTGGACCCTATTCGGAAATTGGCACCTTTAGGAATTTGTGTGAAATTGGCAAAATTGCTAAATTCTGACCACTTTATTGGATAGTTGAAATTAGTAAATGGGTGGTTTCTTGTACTCATTCGATAGAAAAAATGGAGTTCTAGCGAAATAGTTATGATTTTTGTCGACTAGTACATTGGAATTGGCCGAAAATAGGGCTCATAGTGGGCAAAATCGCCGATGTGTAAACATCGTCGAGACCGCTAACTTCGCGAGAGCATAATTCCGTAAGTTTTCCATCAAATTTCATACTTTTGGTCTCATTATGATCGGGAAAAGATTCTCTATCTTTTCATAAGATTTTTTTTTTTTTTTTTTTTTTGAATTTGGCTGACCCTGAGAACAAGTTTCGGAGAGGGCCTGTCGACCCTCAAAGGGTTAATGAGCCCTAACTAAACTTGAACTGTGATATTCATGCACTCCTGGCAAGACAGCTATTTCATAAATGATGGTGAATGTGTGTATTTCATTAGGTAGCCTTACCATGCTGGGAAATGGGCAATGCATATAAAAAATAAAAAAAATCTGCGTTACACTGGTACTGACCGGGATGCCATTAGTGAGCCTCCTCCTCCCTTTGCAGTATTTGCAATACATTGTCGTATCAGCAGTGGGTGAGTCCTCAGGTAAATGTAAAAGTTAAACACACTTGGATCAGCTGAAAATAATTATGAAAAATAATATTTTGTATTTTCTTTGCTAAAGCTAATCAATTATATAAACTAATTAAAAGTCCATGAGCCTAAGGATGTAGTATTAATCATCAATCCTTTTGTATTTATGAAATGCTTAATTTAATATTAATCTTATCATCAAGCCACAACTAACCCATAGTAGGTATTGATGTCATCCTGGGTTCCAGAGCAACCTAATTTATGTCTGCATAAATAACTCATTACAACTCTAACCAGATATAAACATGTAAATAGTTTATTACCACTGTACCTTGTTTAGCTATCAAAACTCTGCAGCTCAGTCTTGAGACTTATTCATCTTATTTTCTACATCAACTAGAATTAGCACAACTTTTGGCTGCACTTCAGACTAACCTGCACTAACCCTACTTGTTGTGGAGGACTTAGTGACCACATAGTCTGGGTGGTGTATACCCAGTGAAGCATCAGTTTGAAGCAGTGTATTTAAAGAGTTGCTATAGTCTTTTATCATCCAGTATGCCACCGAGCGGAAGAAAGGATTGGGATGAACTTTCGTCAAATCAATATTTTCGCCATTGTCATCTTTTCCCAAAATCCTCTGAAAGATTGAGTTTCACATTTAAGAATGTCCAACTAGATCTAGTATCCTAAAATATAAGAAAAATCATACATATGCAGTTTCTGTAATATCACACTGTTAACCCTTAAACTGTCCAAACGTAGATCTACGTTCACTCACATGGCACTCCGAATGTAGATCTATGCTTCATTTTATGTGCGTAGCTCTACGTTTGGAGCGCTGCGCGAGCGAATGTAGATTTACATTTGGACAGTTTAAAGTAGAGTTCTCAAGATGGGAAGAAAAATGCCTGCATTCTGAAGGATGGGTGGGGACTGTTGGAGAATGAGCAGCTGCAAGGCATGTTTGGATGTTTCAATGGGCTCCATTTTATCATACATGGCACTCCTGCTGCCACCCCAGGATTTTGTCAACCTTACCAAACTCTGTATCAAGATTATTGATTTTCTCCTTTGGTAACAGTTTATTTTTTTATTAACACATTGGCCGTTTCCCACCAAGGTAGGATGGCCCAAAAAAGAAAAACTTTCACGATCATTCACTTAATCACTGTCTTGCCAGAGGCATGCTTACACTACAGTTATAAAACTGCAACATTAACATGTCAAGTCCTAAAAACCATTTGTCTCCATTCCCTCCTATCTAACCCACTCATGCATGCTTGCTGGAAGTCCAAGCCCCTCGCACACAAAACCTCTTTTACCCCCTCCCTCCAACCTTTCCTAGGCCGATCTCTACCCTGCCTTCCCACCGCTACAGATTTATACACTCTCAAAGTCATTCTATTTTGTTCCACCCTCTCTACATGTCCAAACCACCTCAACAACCCTTCCTCAGCCCTCTGGTAATCCTTCACCTCCTCCTAATTTCCAAACTATGAATTCTCTGCATTACATTCACACCACACATTGCCCTCAGACACGACATCTTCACTGCCTCCAGCCTTTGCCTTGTTGCAACATTCACCATCCATGCTTTGCACCCATGTAAGAGCACTGGTATAACTATACTCTCACGCATTGCCCCTCTTTGCTTCAATGGACAAAGTTCTTTGTCTCCACACACTCCTCAGTGCACCACTCACCTTTTTCCCCTCATCAATTCTATGATTCACCTCCTGTTTCATAGACCCATCTGCTGACATGTCCACTCCTAAATATTTTCTCCCTCCAATATGATATCCAATCTTTCATTACCTAATTTTTTTGTTATCCTCATCACTTTACTCTCTCATATATTCAGTTTTAATTTTCTTCTTTTACATACCCTATCAAACTCATCCACCAACCTCTGCAACTTCTCTTCAGAATCTCCCAACAGCACAGTGTCATCAGCAAAGAGCAACTATGACAACGCCCACTTTGTGTTAGATTCGTTATCTTTTAACCCCACACCTCTTGCCAGCACCTAAGCATTCACTTGTCTTACAACCCCATCCATAAATATATTGAACAACCATGGTGACATCACACATCCTTGTCTAAGGCCTACTTTTACTGGGAAATAATCTCCCTCTCTCCAGCATACTCTAACCTGAGCCTCACTATACTCATAAAAACTTTTCACTGCTTTCAATAACCTACCTCCTATTCCATACATCCATAAATGCCACAAAAACCTCTTTACCCTTATCTAAATACTGTTCACCTATATGTTTCACTGTAAACATTTAGTCTACACACCCCCTACCTTTCCTAAATCCTCCTTGTTCATCTATCCTACTCTCCATGTTAATCTTAATTTGGTGACAGAATAGAGATAATTCATCAAGGCACTGGGGTGACCCTCAAGTGCAATTATGGCTAACCTCTACATGAAGCACCTCTAGAGAGATGGTTTTAATAACATAATACTGCATCACATCATGTGCCTTAGATTCAAGAACCACATCCTAGTCATGGCCACTGGACAACTCAACAACCAGATGAGCGAAGGTAAGTAATCCATCCAATTAAGCCTAGAAAAGGAGAGGGATGACTCACTATCCTTTGCAATATTCTGCTTATTAAGGCTGATAACTCTCATAAATACAGAATGTATGTCCAGGAAGCCAAATAACAATGATCATCACATATATTACTGGGTATTAATCCCATCATGATCTTTGAATTAAAGTGGAGTAACTTCATCAGTTTTTATATTGAGCCTTAAGAATCAGCAACAGTTAATACCTGAAGAATGACTGCTGCCATACTGAGGACATATGTACTGGTTATTCAGCTGATGTGAGCCTCTAGTGATATGCTTGTATGTATGACAAGGAGAACATATATGTACTCAGTGTGTAAGGAAGAAACCAGTTACTAGAAACAAACTTAACTACTAGTACATATATGGAAGAAGAATTTCAACTAACTTACAGTATAGAGAAGTTTGCTGAGAGTTGGGGGAACAGCCTCATACTCTCCTTCATACAGACGTATTATTACTATAGCTAGTTGTTCATCCTGAAGTTTATTCAGAACCACCTGAGAAAAGATAATGATTACATTTAACTTCTCACATACATCAAAAGAAGTTGAAAAATTACCTGTTACTATATATATATATTTTTTTTTATCAACACATCGGTCATCTCCCACAGAGGCAGGGTGACCCAATAAGAAAGAAAATCTCCAAAAAGAAAATACTTTCATCATCATTCAACACTTTCATCTCGCTCATACATAATCACTGTCTTTGCAGAAGTGCTCAGATACGACAGCTCAGTTACAGTGTTACCCTGCAGTGGGCTACATGTAGAGCCTAGTCTGCCAGTAAAAAACAACTACCTCTTCAATAACAAATATATACAGTAAGTAAAACATTTAATTACATACAACAAAACTAAGGGCACTATCAAAGTCATATTATGATAATGTCAACAGGAAAAATTAAATTGTTGACAATATAAAGGCATTATTTTGCAACGGATTTAAGTAAAGAAATGATGAGCCTGCTCTTATATATTCATTTCTCAACTACATGAAATCTGTAATAAAGGCAGAATTACTAACAAAATGTTAAGTAATGGTCACAGATGCAACTAATGTTGCCATAATAAAATGCACTGCTCACGCTTTTCCCCTCATCAGTTCTATGATTCACCTCATCTTTCATAGACCCATCCGCTGACACGTCCACTCCCAAATATCTGAATACATTCACCTCCTCCATACTCTCTCCCTCCAATCTGATATCCAAGATTAGGTGATGAAAGATTGGAGGGAGAGAGTATGGAGGAGGTGAATGTGTTGAGATATTTGGGAGTGGACATGTCAGCGGATGGGTCTATGAAAGATGAGATGAATCATAGAACTGATGAGGGGAAAAGGGTGAGTGGTGCACTTAGGAGTCTGTGGAGACAAAGAACTTTTTGTCCTTGGAGGCAAAGAGGGGAATGTATGAGAATATAGTTTTAACAACGCTCTTACATGGGTGTGAAGCATGGGTGATGAATGTTGCAGTGAGGAGAAGGCTGGAGGCAGTGGAGATGTCATGTCTGAGGGCAATGTGTGGTGTGAATATAATGCAGAAAATTCGTAGTTTGGAAGTTAGGAGGAGGTGCGGGATTACCAAAACTGTTGTCCAGAGGGCTGAGGAAGGGTTGTTGAGGTGGTTCGGACATGTAGAGAGAATGGAGCGAAACAGAATGGCTTCAAGAGTGTATCAGTCTGTAGTGGAAGGAAGGCGGGGTAAGGGTCGGCCTCGGAAAGGTTGGAGGGAGGGGGTAAAGGAGGTTTTGTGTGTGAGGGGCTTGGACTTCCAGCGGGCATGCGTGAGCGTGTTTGATAGGAGTGAATGGAGACAAATAGCTTTTAATACTTGATGTGGTGTTGGAGTGTGAGCAAAGTAACATTTATGAAGGGATTCAGGGAAACCGGCAGGCCGGACTTGAGTCCTGGAGATGGGAAGTACAGTGCCTGCACTCTGAAGGAGGGGTGTTAATGTTGCAGTTTAAAAACTGTAGTGTAAAGCACCCTTCTGGCAAGACAGCGATGGAGCGAATGATGGTGAAAGTTTTTCTTTTTCGGGCCACCCTGCCTTGGTGGGAATCAGCCAGTGTGATAATAAAAAAATAATAAATAGTTGCATGTGTCCATTTTTTTTAACACGTCAGCCGTTTCCCACCGAGGCAGGGTGACCCAAAATGAAAGGAAAAAAAACTTTCATCATCATTCAACACTTTCACCATCACTCATACATAATCACTGTCATTGCAGAGGGGCCCAGACATGATAGTTTAGACGTCACTTCAAACTGCCAATATCCCAAACCCCTCCTTTAAAATGTGTCCATTTACCTGCATGAAATCTATTTCTTAACAGGGTATAATTACTTTAGGTTGTTAATATAAAGTTTAGCCAAATCTAATGCTGAATGATTTTTTTTCTGTTCCCTTTTTGTTTATGTGAGTACTTTCAAGTGTTATTTTCATTTTTGGGTAATAAGAGAATGGATGAAAAGTTTGTAGACATTGCAAGTTAGTGAATGGTTCTCTGGATTATCCAATTTGGTAGTTTTGCCAGCTATATGCACCTTGCTCATTATGAAAGATAACTTGCCCAGGGAACCAAAGTTAGTCTTATGTTTGACAGAAACTAATACTGAGTACAATACATTAAAGAGTATTATGCTGGTTTTTCTAAGCTTAACAATAACACCATAGATGGTTCAACAAAAACAGGTATATATATTTAGAAATTATTGCAGCAGAACAGAAAAGGAGTAATCTACGATAGTCTATACATATGGTGGAGGAGTAATAAAAAGCTTGTAAAGAAACTCCAAAATAAAGGCAAGGTACTGAACATGAGGTTAGACAACTAGCATCATGCAAAGCATGAACGAAATACATATGGAACACGTCCCATGAATAAAACCAGATTCTATGTTTTCCTAGAGGCTCTTGTATGATGACCATACCATAGAAGGTTCTTTCCAGTCACTGAATGTTCTATCACTGCTCTCCTGAGCTGTGCACATATAATTTAACACACTAGCTGTGTCCCACCAAGGCAGTGCGACATGAAAAACAAAAAAAACACTTTCATCATCACTCACTCCATCATCATCATCATCATCTTGCCAGAGGCATGCTGATATTTCAGTTCAAAAACTGCAATACAGCCTCTCATCATTTAGCGATGTACTCATTTACCAACCAGCTCTCCAACCAGTATGCCAACCAATGTAATGTTTATTAGAGCCGATTTCCTCTATTCTGTTCATTACAATATACAGTACACTACCGTATAAACATTTAAAAATATACTAAAATTGTTATAAATGGTGCAAATGTGACATTAAAAAAAGATGGTTGACACAAACCCACTACCAGTATAGTATGCTCTTTGCTTAACAACCAATTCACTTACCGACCTGCTCTTAGGAATGGAACCACATCGTTGAGTGAGGAGAGACTGTATAACCTCATCCCTCCTTCTGAGTACAGGGACTGTACTTACCACTTCCAGGACTCCAAGTCTGGCTGTGCATATCTTCTATACAATTTTAACTGCCATTCCCCCCAATTCTTTATTGCTTAACTCACCCTTCCATTTACACTTCCTCCTATTGTTTATAGTACAGGTCTCCCTCAACATTCACGTTTTCAACTTTCACGGGCTTCACACATTCGCGAATTCCCAACCGCCAAATTCCCGGCCACCAAATTCCCAGCCGCCAAATCATATTTAAGTTTCCCGCCACCTGCGAGTCCCTACTACCCTCCCTCCGACCCCCGCAACTGGCAGCCAGCCCTCCCACCACTCAGTGTGGTGAGTGCTTTGTTTGTTCATTATTTGCTGTTAAACTACAGTATAAATAATGTAAACCCATTCATGACTGCATATTGGAATGGCTATTAGGAAAGGTATTAGACGGTGACATCATGTGTTTACTCTTGAACACTGCAAAGAATTAAACATTTCTGCTACAGCTAGCGTGCGTGAGCGTGTTAGATAGGAGTGAATGGAGACGAATGGTACTTGGGACCTGACGATCTGTTGGAGTGTGAGCAGGGTAATATTTAGTGAAGGGATTCGGGGAAACCGGTTATTTTCATATAGTCGGACTTGAGTCCTGGAAATGGGAAGTACAATGCCTGCACTTTAAAGGAGGGGTTTGGGATATTGGCAGTTTGGAGGGATATGTTGTGTATCTTTATATGTGTATGCTTCTAGACTGTTGTATTCTGAGCACCTCTGCAAAAACAGTGATAATGTGCGAGTGTGGTGAAAGTGTTGAATGATGATGAAAGTATTTTCTTTTTGGGGATTTTCTTTCTTTTTTGGGTCACCCTGCCTCGGTGGGAGACGGCCGACTTGTTGAAAAAAAAAAAAAAAAAAAAAAAAAATAATAATAATAATAAATATGATATAATTGAAGAAGGAAATTGTACAAAAATACGAGGGAGTGGCTGACACATCGTCAGTGTGACTTTGTTTATGCTGGAGTGAACATTAGTCTCCCTGCTCTTCCAAACATTTCACAATAATTCATTGTGTTTGGTGCTTGTAGATTGAGTGTGACTGGAGTGGTAGAGGCAGTGATTGAGGCAATGGTATTTAATAACATACATGTTAATAATAATACATGTTAATAATAATACATGTTATTAATAATAACATGTACTATTATTATAACATATATGTTATTAAATACCACTGCCTCAACCGCTGAATTATTGTGAAATGTTTGGAAGAGCAGGGAGACTAATGCTCACTCCAGCATAAACAAAGTCACACTGACGATGTGTCAACCACTCCCTCGTATTTTTGTACAATTTCCTTCTTCAGTTATATCGTATTTATTATTATTATTATTATTATTATTATTATTACCATTGTTATTATTAGCAATAGCAGAAATGTTCGATTCTTTGTTGTGTTCAAGAGTAAACATATGATGTCACCGTCTAATACCTTTCCTAATAGCCATTCCAATATGCAGTCATGAATGGGTTTACATTATTTATTCTGTAGTTTAATAGCAAATAATGAACAAACAAAACACTCACCACACTGAGTGGTGGGAGGGCTGGCTGCCAGTTGCGGGGGTCGGAGGGAGGGTAGTAGGGACTCGCAGTGGTGGAGGCAGTGGTGGAGTCTGTGGTATTTAATAACATACATGTTATTAAATAACATACGTTATTAAAGCATAACATGTATATATTTAGTACAATTTATGACGTTTTCATGTATTTTATGATTATTCATGGTTCAACAAGTTAAGGAAGCAGTATTGTAATATATTTCCCTACAATATATTGGGGCACCAAACATTCATGATTTTTCAACATTCGCGAGGCTCTTGATCCCCTAACCCTCGCGAATGTTGAGGGAGACCTGTATTACAGTTTTTAAGACAATGGCTTTTTCCCACCTATGCAATATGACCCAGAAAAGAAAATTATATTTACCATCACTCATTCCCTTGCTGTTTCCAGCAATGTATGTACATCACAATTCTAAGTGCAACAAACATGATTATCTTACCTCCAGAGCATCCTTGAGTGATCCAGCCAAGAGGAAGAATGCAGCAGCATGTTCAAAACGTTGCTTCCCTAACAAGGCAAAGGCATTCTTTAATGCTGCTTTTCGCCACCGTTCCTCGGTAAAATTGTTGGAAAAAAAGCTCGTCATTCGTTTATCATCAATTGAGCGAAAGAGACCCCACACTAGATTCTTCTTTTTCATGGCAAGGTAGTATATAGCAGCATCCAGGGGATCATTCTTTGCAAGGAATGCAACTTTTGCAATCTGAAAAAAGACAAATCATAATGCTAACCATGATTATATTAAAAAATTTTATCTTAATATGTATACACCAGTATGAAGTTTTCCCTAATATACAAAAACTATGAGAAAATATATAGACTGTCTTTTTAATAATGAATTTCTTGCAACAAACACTATGATAATTACCTTGTTAAAGCAGCGGGTTAAGATTGTAGTGTTACTGACCCACCATCCAAATCCTAATTCCCGTAACTCTGCCCAACGTGGGTTACCCTGCAAATACAGAAATCCACCTGGTAAAACAAGAGTTGTATATTCAGCCATTCTGCTAATAATATGCGTGCTGATGTTTTCTCTTTATGAGTTTACAGCAAACTGGCAGATGTGTTTCAGATTTTAATGTAAATAGCTAATGGGTTTCAGGAAACTGGTTAGCTGGATTTGAGTCCTGGAGGTGGGAATTATAATGCTTGCATTCAAAAGGAGGCATTTGGGATATTTGCTGTTAAGAGAAACATCTGAACTGTTGTATTTGTACACTACTGAAAAGACAGTGATAGTGTGAATGATTGTGAAGCACTTCTTTTTTTGGGTCACCCTGCCTTGGTGGGAGATGGCCAGTGATTAAAAAGAAAAAAAAAAGCTGCAATTTTATTATATCTGCCTTCCGTTTTCTGGATGGTGCAACAAAACTTTCTTATTTTTCAAGCAAAGTGAACGGTCAAGTAATTTCCACCAATTCATATACAATGGACCCCCGCATAACGATCAGCTCCCAACTCAACCAATTATGTAAGTGTATTTTTGTAAGTGCTTTTGTAGGTGTATTTTTGGGGGTCTGAAACGGACTAATCTATTTCACAATATCTCTTATGGGAACAAATTCGGTCTATAACAGCACCCAAACAGACTTCTGGATTGAAATAATATCGTTATGCAGGGGTCCACTATATTTGAGAAACAACTGTTTACAGAAAATGCACTTTCATGACTGAATATCATGTTTTCTATAGTCCTCTCATAACAATATTAAAATCCAATTTTTCTAATGCTGGGTATTTATCAACTAGTCACATTTACTTTTTTTAACACACTGGCCATCTCCCCAGAGGCAGGGTGATCCAAAAAAATAAACACTTTTGCCATCATTTACACTATTACTGTCTTGCCAGAGCATGCAGATATGACAGTTCATATGTCCCTCTAAACAGCAAATATCCCAAACTCCTCCTTTAAAGTGCAAGCATTGTACTTTTCACCTCCCACTTGAATACATGAAACAAAAGTTGTAGTAGAATGACTCACAAAACTGTAATAACATGACTGCAGACAAACCACAGAATAGGTGAGGGTTTGAACCCATGGTGAATGAGTCATAAAACAACAGACCAGTGCACAAGTTTTATGACTCACTCACCATGGGCTCAAACCCCCACCTGTTCCGTGGTTTTGTTGCAGTAGAAGCAAGGTAGAGTGCAGAGTACTCATCTTTTTTCAAATGTCGTAACAATAACTCACTTTAAGGCCTACAATATACAGTATGTAAATGCTCTGATACACTGGAACCTTTCTACACTGGATATTCTTATGCCAATGGTATACACAATATCACCCACATTATCTCATATAATTAGGCTTCTTTTACCTGTCTCATAGATGGGATAAAATCAAGAAGTTCTTCTTGACTCTCTGAGTGGAAGGCCCATACAAAATTATGGCTACCAATGCCCCCTTTCTGCAGAGCTGCTCGCTGGGCAATGGGCAAGCATCTTAGCAAATATGTGTGGTGACGCATGGCCAGCAGGAAACGTAAACCACAGTCATCCAGTGTCTCTGGAAATAAAAGCAGATTCAATATTAACCCTCTAATTGCATCCAACATACTACACCTACCATCCAACTTACGACCTGCTCGACTTACGACCACTCGACTTACGACCGTGTTTTTTATGCCAAATTTCTGGGAAATAAACAACTATTTGTGTTGTACACAGTGTTTATCCTAAACCTTACAGTATAAAATACAGTACTTACAGTATAAAAAGTAAAGTAAAACATGAAATACAAAATAAAACAATAAAATAAAGTCATTACAAAAATGTTTTGTTGATATTCAGTAAAGTTCGACTTACGACCGGTTTCTCGGAACCAAACTCGGTCGTAAGTCAGATGGTAGGTGTAGTATGCAGGTGCTATTACTGTGTCTGACATACTAGTACTCACAATTTTTCCTACTCACAAATCTGCCACCTGCCAATATTTTTCACCTCAGGGCAACTCTTTGGGGCTTCTTCCATTTATTCAAGCATTTGAAAAAAATCTAAGGCCAGCAGTGTCCACACAATGTAACATGGTTAACTACTCAGGGGATGACTATTTGTCCTACGTGCTAGTATGCTTTATTAGCAAAAGTATACAAAGGAACCAGGAGCTGTTGTTACCCCACCAGCAAGCAGGGTGTACATGTGGCTCGAAGATGACTTATTCAGTCCAAATTTATTACAATTTCATGATACTAACAATGGAATTCAGCCACAAAGCACACTAGGTGTAACTCAGGATAACCCAGTAAAGTCATTGTGAATAATTTCCATGATTTGATGAGTGATACACTCTGAAATAATTGTAATAGAAGTATTTCTTGAACATAGTCTTAGAAGATTAAAAAAAAAAAAAAAAAAAAATACAGTGGACCCCCGACTTACGATATTAATTCATTCCAGAAGTCTGTTTGGGTGCCGTTACCGAACAAATTTGTTCCCATAAGGAATATTGTAAATTAGATTAGTCCGTTTCAGACCCCCAAAAATACACGTACAAAAGCTGATCGTAAGGCGGGGGTCCACTGTAATTATAAAGTATATATGCCTCGGTGGGAGACGGCCGACTTGTTGAAAAAAAAAAAAAATTATGCTGTATACTAGGTAGTAGGTTGATAGACAGCAACCACCCAGGAAGGTACTACCATCCTGCCAAGCGAGTGTAAAATGGAAGCCTGTAATCGTTTTACATGATGGTAGGATAGCTGATGTCTTTTTTTCTGTCTTATAAACATGCAAGATTTCAGGTATGTCTTGCTACTTATATTTACACTTAGAATCACATTACACATGCATGTACAAGCATACACGTACACACCTTCTGGGCTTTCTTCATTTCCTTACTAGTTCTTGCTCTTGTTTATTTCCTCTTTATCTCAATGGGGAAGTGGAACAGAATTCCTCCTCCGTAAGCCAAACCTGTCATAAGAGGCGACTAAAATGCTGGGACCAAGGGACTAGTAACCCCTTCTCCTGTATACATTATTGTTTTTCTTTTTGGGCCACCCTGCCTTGGTGGGATACGGCCGGTTTGTTGAAAGAAGAAGATACAATATACCATATATATAACCCAGTAAAGTCAACCAGTATTACTTATTTCTCTTATATTATGCTTGCTTTTCATTTTGAATTTTTATTCACACAAAAAATAGAAAATTTACTTTTATGCAGACTACTGCATTATTGTAAAAATAATGTTAGTGCATTCCTAAATGTATATTAGACTGGCAAGTTGGACACGTATCGGCAAAAATCAAACATTTCCGCTACTTTGAGCTCAATTTTAAGCTGTATTTTCAGTCCTGAAACTAATCAAAATCATATCTATTTCTGTAAAATATCTTCCATTTTATCAACTAAGACCAAGAAATCGAGAATATACAGTAGACCGTCTTTTAGCACGAGTTTATTTAGCACGATTTGGTTATAGGACGACTGAAGAATTGTGGCAGAATTTTATGTAACACGTCGTATGATGAATTTAACATGGTTCAGTTTGCGGGAAGGAAAAAAAAAAACTTCCCTTTCTTCAAGCGGCCGCCTTGTTGTGGTTCAGCTGGGGAGACCTCCCACCGTCCTTAGCCACCCCCCAAACACCACCCCACCATCACTTGACTGACTTACTGAATGACTTGACTGACTTACTGAAAGACTTGAGGCTTACTGAATGACTTGACTGATTTGCTGAATCACTTGATTGAATGATTTAAGTTAGACACTCCAGTACAACCATCAAGTTCAATAGCAGAATCTCTACCATCCACCTCAGCCCAGTAGGGGCACAGCATAACTCTCCACTCTCTTCACAATCATCCACAAACACCAGCACCCACAATTTAAGGTAAGAAATACTATTATTTCTGTTATATTTGTTATCTTAAGCTGTAAAGACTACATAATACATCATAACAATGAACTACAATTACATTTTCACTTTTATTTTTGTAAGATGTGGAGGCCTAAAAAAAGTTGTTTGGCTTTTTTGGGGCTCTCAGGAACGTAACCCTATTTTTCCCATATGTTCTTCAGTGCATCTCACACGGTGTTTTCAGGAACGTAACTACCATGTTAAATGATGGTCTACTGTAACTATAAAAACCATACAAAAATACACCAAAAAATTTGTCGCTTTAAACCAAAAACACAGTTACAGTTTTTTCTCATTATGCACTGTGTGCTGCAGGTTTTTTTTATGTGGTACACACTTACCACATAGACCCATTCTCTCATTTTTAGGCTCAAATTTACTACTCACAGCTTATCTGAGTGAGCTGAGCTTATGGTGTCATACTATGAGACCAACACTGGCTTCAAAGCTATGATACAATGGGACCGACACTGAAACGGTCAACTTCATAAATATTGACATATACAGTGGACCCCCGGTTAACGATATTTTTTCATTCCAGAAGTATGTTCAGGTGCGAGTACTGACCAAATTTGTTCCCATAAGGAATATTGTGAAGTAGATTAGTCCATTTCAGACCCCCAAACATACACGTACAAACACACTTAAATAAATACACTTACATAATTGGTCGCATTGGGAGGTGATCGTTAAGCGGGGGTCCACTGTATAAGATAGGCAGCACCATCAATCAGAGTCCATGAGCCAAAATTTTTTTTCACTTACTTTTCTGAAATTCCATCCCGAGACAGAAACACTAAGTACATAAAAGTTACCCTAAATAATCATTATTATATTCACAAGTACTAAACCCAAGATGGCAACCCAGCACTATACAATTAACTTTCTTCTTTCAACACACCGGCCGTATCCCACCAAGGCGGGGTGGCCCAAAAGAAAAAACAAAAGTTTCTCCTTTTACATTTAGTAATATATATACATGTATATATACAGAAGGGGTTACTAGCCCCTTGCTCCCGGCATTTTAGTCGCCTCTTACAACACGCATGGCTTATGGAGGAAGAATTCTGTTTCACTTCCCCATGGAGATAAGAGGAAATAAACAAGAATAAGAACTAGAAAGAAAATAGAAGAAAACCCAGAGGGGTGTGTATACATATACTTGTATATGTATGTGTAGTGTGACCTAAGTGCAAGTAGAAGTAGCAAGACATACCTGAAATCTTGCATGTTTATGAGACAGACAAAAGACACCAGCAATCCTACCATCATGTAAAACAATTACAGGCTTTCGTTTTACACTCACTTGGCAGGACGGTAGTACCTCCCTGGTCGGTTGCTATCTACCAACCTACTACCTAGGACTATACAATTATTTTTTTTATTTTTTTTTTTTTTTTTTTTTTTTTCAACAAGTCGGCCGTCTCCCACCGAGGCAGGGTGACCCAAAAAAGAAAGAAAATCCCCAAAAAGAAAATACTTTCATCATCATTCAACACTTTCACCACACTCGCACATTATCACTGTTTTTGCAGAGGTGCTCAGAATACAACAGTCTAGAAGCATAAACATATAAAGATACACAACATATCCCTCCAAACTGCCAATATCCCAAACCCCTCCTTTAAAGTGCAGGCATTGTACTTCCCATTTCCAGGACTCAAGTCCGACTATATGAAAATAACCGGTTTCCCTGAATCCCTTCACTAAATATTACCCTGCTCACACTCCAACAGATCGTCAGGTCCCAAGTACCATTCGTCTCCATTCACTCCTATCTAACACGCTCACTGCACGCTTGCTGGAAGTCCAAGCCCCTTACCCACAAAACCTCCTTTACCCCTCTCTCCAACCCTTTCGAGGACGACCCCTACCCCGCCTTCCTTCCCCTATAGATTTATATGCTTTCCATGTCATTCTACTGTGATCCATTCTCTCTAAATGACCAAACCACCTCAACAACCCCTCTTCTGCCCTCTGACTAATACTTTTATTAACTCCACACCTTCTCCTAATTTCCACACTCCGAATTTTCTGCATAATATTTACACCACACATTGCCCTTAAACAGGACATCTCCGCTGCCTCCAACCGTCTCCTCGCTGCTGCATTTACCACCCAAGCTTCACACCCATATAAGAGTGTTGGTACTACTATACTTTCATACATTCCCTTCTTTGCCTCCATAGATAACGTTTTTGACTCCACATATACCTCAACGCACAACTCACCTTTTTTCCCTCATCAATTCTATGATTAACCTCATCCTTCATAAATCCATCCGCCGACACGTCAACTCCCAAGTATCTGAAAACATTCACTTCTTCCATAACTCCTCCTCCCCAATTTGATATCCAATTTTTCTTTATCTAAATCATTTGACACCCTCATCACCTTACTCTTTTCTATGTTCACTTTCAACTTTCTACCTTTACACACATTCCCAAACTCATCCACTAACCTTTGCAATTTTTCTTTAGAATCTCCCATAAGCACAGTATCATCAGCAAAAAGTAACTGTGTCAATTCCCATTTTGAATTTGATTCCCCATAATTTAATCCCACCCCTCTCCCAAACACCCTAGCATTTACTTCCTTTACAACCCCATCTATAAATATATTAAACAACCATGGTGACATTACACATCCCTGTCTAAGACCTACTTTTACCGGGAAGTAGTCTCCCTCTCTTCTACACACCCTAACCTGAGCCTCACTATCCTCATAAAAACTCTTTACAGCATTTAATAACTTACCACCTATTCCATATACTTGCAACATCTGCCACATTGCTCCTCTATCCACTCTATCATATTCTTTCTTTCAACACACCGGCCGTATCCCACCGAGGCGGGGTGGCCCAAAAGGAAAAACGAAAGTTTCTCCTTTTACATTTAGTAATATATACAGGAGAAGAGGTTACTAGCCCCTTGCTCCCGGCATTTTAGTCGCCTCTTACAACACGCATGGCTTACGGAGGAAGAATTCTGTTCCACTTCCCCATGGAGATAAGAGGAAATAAACAAGAATAAGAACTAGAAAGAAAATAGAAGAAAACCCAGAGGGGTGTGTATATATGTGCTTGTACATGTATGTGTAGTGGGACCTAAGTGTAAGTAGAAGTAGCAAGACGTACCTGAAAACTTGCATGTTCATGAGACAGAAAAAAGGACACCAGCAATCCTACCATCATGTAAAACAATTACAGGCTTTCGTTTTACACTCACTTGGCAGGACGGTAGTACCTCCCTGGGCGGTTGCTGTCTACCAACCTACTACCTAGGACTCTATCATATGCCTTTTCTAAATCCATAAATGCAATAAAAACTTCCCTATCTTTATCTAAATACTGTTCACATATATGCTTCAATGTAAACACCTGATCTACACATCCCCTACCCACTCTAAAACCTCCTTGCTCATCCGCAATCCTACATTCTGTCTTACCTCTAATTCTTTCAATTATAACCCTACCGTACACTTTTCCTGGTATACTCAGTAAGCTTATTCCTCTATAATTTTTACAGTCTCTTTTGTCCCCTTTCCCTTTATATAAAGGGACTATACATGCTCTCTGCCAATCCCTAGGTACCTTCCCCTCTTTCATACATTTATTAAACAAAAGTACCAACCACTCCAACACTATAATCCCCCCTGCTTTTAACATTTCTGTCATGATCCCATCAGTTCCAGCTGCTTTACCCCCTTTTATTTTACGTAATGCCCCACGTACCTCCCCCACACTTACATTCTGCTCTTCTTCACTCCTAAAAGATGGTATACCTCCCTGACCAGTGCATGAAAATTTCTGCCTCCCTTTCTTCCTTAACATTTAAAAGTTCCTCAAAATATTCTCGCCATTACCCAATACCTCCATCTCCCCATCTACTAATCCCCTACTCTGTTTTTAAAATGACAAATCCATATTTTCCCTAGGCTTTCTTAACTTGTTTAACTCACTCCAAAATTTTTTCTTATTTTCATTAAATTCTTGACAGTGCCTCTCCCACTCTATCATCTGCTCTCCTTTTGCACTCTCTCACCACTCTCTTTACCTTTCTTTTACTCTCCATATACTCTGCTCTTCTTATAAACACTTCTGCTTTGTAAAAACCTCTCATAAGCTACCTTTTTCTCTTTTATCACACCCTTTACTTCATCATTCCACCAATCACTCCTCTTTCCTCCTGCCCCCACCCTCCTATAACCACAAACTTCTGCCCCACATTCTAATACTGCATTTTTAAAACTATTCCAACCCTCTTCAACCCCCCCACTACTCATCTTTGCACTAGCCCACCTTTTGCCAATAGTCGCTTATATCTCACCCGAACTTCCTCCTCCCTTAGTTTATACACTTTCACCTCCCTCTTACTTGTTGTTGCCACCTTCCTCTTTTCCCATCTACCTCTTACTCTAAACTGTAGCTACAACTAAATAATGATCCGATATATCAGTTGCCCCTCTATAAACATGTACATCCTGGACCTACCCATCAACCTTTTATCCACCAATACATAATCTAATAAACTACTTTCATTACGTGCTACATCATACCTTGTTATATTTATTTATCCTCTTTTTCATAAAATATGTATTACTTATTACCAAATTTCTTTTCTACACATAGCTCAATTAAAGGCTCCCCATTTACATTTACCCCTGGCACCCAAATTTACCTACTACTCCCTCCATAACATTTTTACCCACTTTAGCATTGAAATCCCCAACCACCATTACTCTCACACTTGATTCAAAACTCCCACGCATTCACTCAACATTTCCCAAAATCTCTCTCTCTCCTCTACACTTCTCTCTTCTCCAGGTGCATACACGCTTATTATAACCCACTTTTCACATCCAATCTTTATTTTACTCCACATATCCTTGAATTAATACATTTATAGTCCCTCTTTTCCTGCCATAGCTTATCCTTCAACATTATTGCTACTCCTTCTTTAGCTCTAACTCTATTTGAAACCCCTGACCTAATCCATTTATTCCTCTCCACTGAAACTCTCCCACCCCTTCAGCTTTGTTTCACTTAAAGCCAGGACATCCAGCTTCTTCTCATTCATAACATCCACAATCATCTCTTTCTTATCATCTGCACAACATCCACGCACATTCAGACTTCCCACTTTGACAATTTTCTTCTTCTTATTCTTTTTAGTAATCTTTACAGGAAAAGGGGTTACTAGCCCATTGTTCCCGGCATTTTAGTTGACTTTTACAACACGCATGGCTTACGGAGGAAAGATTCTTATTCCACTTCCCCATGGATATACAATTATATTATCATTAAAAATTATTGATTTTCTTATGCAACCCATTTACATATCAGAATATTTCTCTGACTTGCTAGTATTATCCTATTAACCTTGCCATGAGACCCATCTTCCTCTAGCACAGTGTGTGTTTCTTCACTTCACTTGGTTGTTCTTTTTCTTATATTCTCCTGGAAACACTAACACTCCATTTTACAAAAGCATCCTTGTCATAAATTAATTACTTATTTGACAAGCATCTTTAAAGAGTAAAACCCCTTCCCCCATCCCTTTTATGACACTATCATAAGCAACAACACAACAGACTGTAGAGTTACACTTGTATTAATGATATAAATGTGGACAAATTATATTTAGTTTGTGGTAGGAGCATAATGTCTTTAGAAAAGAACTGTTTTATCGCAAAATGTTTACATGAATTTTGAGCTCAAAGTAAAAAAAAATTAACTTATAAACAAAATATAAAATTTTCTGCCAAGAAACATAAACTACTTTACCCCAGAACCTACCCATGGAAGGCTCATCTGTGCTTGTCCTGGAAAAGGTTTCCTTTGCTAAGGCTTCCTTGGCTTTATTAATATCAAAGCGGTCGGCAAAGTCCACATTACACGAGGCCACAGTGTCAGCTAAGGCCAACAAGTGCATTTGATCAAGACTGGAGAGGCCAGGAAGGTGAGTGTGGGTGAGAAGGGCAGCCAAAATCTGAGCCTGGAAAATAGAATTACGTATTAGACTTACATCTTGGGAATTGACGGTTACTTTCTGCAAAGGTTAGTGGACGAGTTTGAGGGTGTGTAAAGGAAAAAGTTGAAAGTGAACATATATAAGAGTAAAGTGATGAAGGTATCAAACAAGTTAGGTAAAGAAAAACTGGATATCAGATTGGAGGGAGGGAGTATGGAAGAAGTAAATGTGTTCAGATACTATTTGGGAGTGGACTTGTCAGCGGATGGGTTTATGAAGGATGAGGTTAACCATAGAAATGATGAAAGAAAAAATGTGGATGGTGCATTGAGGTATCTGTGGAGACAAACAACATTATCCCTGGGGGCAAAGAAGAGAATGTATGAGAGTATAGTGGTACCAACACCCTCATATAGGTGTAAAGCACGAGTTGTGAATGTTGCAGCAAGGAGGAGGCTGGAGGCAGTGGAGACGTCACGTCTAAGGACAATGTGTGGTGTAAATATTATGCAGAAAATTTGTAGTGCAGAAATTAGGTGGTGGTGTGAAGTTACTAAAAGTATAATTCATAGTGTTGAGGAGGTTTGGTCATTTAGAGGATGGAGCAAAATTGGATGACTTGGGAGGTATATAAATCTGTAATGGAGGGAAAGAGGGGTAGGGGTCATCCTAAGAAAAGATAAGAGGGAAGGGTAAAAGAAGGTCTGTGCGCAAGGGGCTTGGACATACAGCAGGCATATGTGAGCGTGTTATATAGGAATGAGTGGAGATGAACAGTTTTGAGGACTTGAAGAGCTGTTGGAGTGTGAGCAGGGTAATATTTTCTGAAGAGATTCAGAGAAACCAGTTAGCTGAACTTGAGTCCTGGAGGTGGGAAGTACAATGCATGCACTTCAAAGGAGGGGTTACGGATATTGGCTGTTTGGAGTGAAATCTAAACTGTCGTATCTAAGCACCTCTGCAAAGACAGTAATTATGAATGATGGTGTTTCTTTCTTTTTTGGGTCATCCAGCATTGGTGGGAGATGGCCGATGTGTAGAAAAAAAAATAACCATGTTTGTGTGTGCCTAGACACTCACAGTGTATCACTTTTTGTCCTTTTAGGTGGTATGTTTCCTATGGCCTTGTCTCAGTTGAGCAGCCATCAACCCTCAACCACCTCCACCCTCCATTTTATACGAGAGAAAACATTTTTCCCAATGATATAAAAGCATTTTCTCACTCACACTGGGATGTGCTGCTGAAGACAATCCTCATTTTCACTTGTCTATACAAACATATGTCAACTACTGAATTTTTGTGACAAGCTACCCACAAATGCAATTCTCACCTGACGTGGTCCAAAGAATGCAATACTCTTGACCTCATGTGACAATGATTTGCGCCTACTGCCAATATCTTCTTCATCGTCCAAGGTAAGATCCTCATCTACAGATATAGTTGGAGTTCCAAACAACTCCACATATGTCTGTAAAAGAGAAATTGCATAAAACAAAAGATTACAAGAAAGAGTATAAGAGAGAGTGGTATAAATACTTTTAGAGTATATTTTTACATAGGCAGAAGCTTAAGCTTAAGCTTCAAATACATTTGGGACACCTTAAACCACCATATCATGAGATAGCAATGGAATAAGCTGACCATACCTTAGGATGAGTAAGTCAGTTAATGGAGAGAGTGTATTTATCTAGATTTTAAGAAGATTTACTAACAAATGATGGTGTAACCTTACAGAAGAAAAACACCGTTTGCTGGAAAACCTTTATTACAGTGTTCTGTCCCAGATAGAATCCTCTTCCATTAAACTCACGAATATAATTCAACAAAACAGTGGTACAGTATGTTTACTTTGTCTGAATTCATAACTTATATTGTATTAGAATAAAGAAACAACTCTAGCATGGTCTAATAGCTGGTTGCAGCACTTTTCTTCTTGGACTTCACCAACTCAGCATCTGACCACTTAGCGAAGATGCACTTTTTAAAATGTAATTATCTGTTGTATTTTCTATACTTGATACAGGCAGTTTATTATTATTTTTGCTAGTGTAAAACCAAATTTGTTCAACTTACATCTTCTTTATTATCTGTTTTCTTAGTCTGCTGATTTTGTGTATCTTTGTCAGCCTCAAGCAGCAGCCAGAGTGGCAGAGGAGGAATAGCCGTCACTTCAATGTAGTCCAGCGTTAGTTCCTCAGGTAACAGTGTGACGGATCCTCGTCCATCTCGACTTGTCTGTTAAGAGAAACATTCTTAAATGGAGAACACTAAAAGAAGTTATACTATAATACAAGGAATATATCAAAAACAAATTTCTCATTGGAATACCCTCATGAAACGTGACATCACAATGTGATTTTATGACAAAGTGCATCTTTATAATACCTAAAAACCTTCATGCAATGTTTTAAAGGTTGAGTGTTTGGAAATTCATAGGTACTCCCCATCCCCACTGCCAATCATGCTATCTACAGTTGCTGTCTGGAGGAGTCAAGTGCCTTATGCACTGTGTTTATCAAAATTTTGGCTATTTTCATCAACCCATATAGTGTTTGGATACCAATTATGACACCCAATGGTTCCCCCTCTCTCTTTTCTACAAGAGTTTGACCACAGAGACATGGCTGTGATAAACACAGTGGCTGTAGCCTCCAATAATCCATGCAGTGAATGATCCACACAGGTTTAGTGCATGAAACCCCTCACTACTAGTAGCTTCCTACCCTATTCACTTAACAAAATGTATAGAAAATTTAGACTTACAGAACCTCCTTGATTGCCAGACATAGAAAGAGTGCGGGACCGTGACCAGTTACGATTGCGATTATCTTCGGCATCTGAGAGGCTCGAGCGGTAAGCAGAATCAGTGCTTCTCTGGCCTAGTTGTGAAAGACACCTGTTGGGAGAAACATTTATGCATCTAGGAAAAATATTAAGTATGGTTGTAAAGAATGGTGATCAGTGTGTGGTTGTACAATATGTTGTGATCAGTGTGTGTGTGTGGTGATCAGTGTGTGTGTGTGTGGTGATAGTGTGTGGTGTCAGTGTGTGTGTGTGTGTGTTTGTGTGTGTGTGTGTCGTGTGTGTGTGTGTGTTGTGTGGTGTGTGTGTGTGTGTGTGTGTGTGTGTGGTGTGTGTGTGTGTGTGTGTGTGTGTGTGTGTGTGTGGTGATCAGTGTGTGTGTGTGTGTGGGGTCAGTGTGTGTGTGTGTGGTGTGATCATGTGTGTGTTGTGTGTGTGATCATGTGTGTGTGTGTGTGTGATCAGTGTGTGTGTGTGTGATCAGTGTGATGTGTTGTGTGTGTGTGTGGTTGGTGATCAGTGTGGTTGTTTTGTGTGTGTTGATCAGTGTGTGGGTTGTGTGTGTTCTGTGTGATCAGTGTGTTGTGTTGTTGTGTGTGTTGTTGTGTGCCTGTGTGTGTGCATGATGTGCGTGTTACGTGGTGTTGTGTGTGTGCTGTGTGTAGTGTGTGTCTGTGTGTGTGTGTGCTGTGGTGTGCGTGTGTGTGTGCGTGTGTGTGTGCGTATGTTGTGCGTGTGCTGTGCAGTTTGTGCGTGTGTGTGTGCGTGCGTTTCGTGCTTGTGCGTGTGTGTGTGCGTGTGTGTGCCTACGTGTGGCGTGTGTGTGTGCATGTTGTGTGCGTGAAGTGTGCGACGAGTGTGTGTGTGTGTGTGAATTCGTTGTGTGTGTGTGTGTGTGTCGTGTGTGTGTGTTTATGTTGTGTGTGTGAAAGTGTGTGTGGTGACAGTGTGTGTGAGATAGCGATTTGATGAAAAAGTGTTGTGGTGATCTGTGTGTGGTGTACAGTGTGAGGTTGATCAGTGTCTGTGGTTTAACTGTGGGTTACACTTATTAAACATTATAAGTTTACATGTCATGGGTTAATGTTATCACTATACATACAGAATGTGTCTACTAGTGCAGTATTACAGTACCTGACCAAGTGTGCAAGAATGGCCTTAACACGGCGTATTTTGCCACAGTTAAGAAGTTCCATCAGTTGTCTAGGGTGATACTGTGGCAACACTGGAGAGGCTATGTGGCTGGCCTCAAATATTCCTGATATCGCAGCACTATCTGCATCATCCACTGGAGCGCTCATTACTTCGCCTAAACCTGGCAAAAGTACAATGTAATTTTGAAGAAAATAGGGACAGAAAGTAATAAATTTATAAAAAATATCAGTTCACACGAGTTAAATACAGAGATTACCAAAACCGGTTTAAAATTAATGTAGTTTACTAAAGTGTAATACATTTCTACTACCATTTACGAACAGAAATAACTCTTACTTAGGAATATAATCTCTTAATAATGGTTATACAGGTGCTCCTTAATGGGGTTACGTTTCAATGAACCCATTGTAAGCTGAAAATATCATAATGTGAAGACAAATATGATATGAAAAACTAAATAAGTAAATAAATAACTACTGTCACAGTATAAGTAAACAAATAATTGCTGTAACTATATGTCACTACTGACAAAGTAAATTATTTTATTATTATTATTTTTTATTATCACACCGGCCGATTCCCACCAAGGCAGTGTGGCCCGAAAAAGAAAAACTTTCACCATCATTCACTCCATGGTGAAAGTTTATTGTATCAATAAACATCTTCTTTCAACAAACTTGTCGTCTCCCACCGAGGCAGGGTGACCCAAAAACAAAGAAAATCCCCAAAAAGAAAATACTATAATCCTCATTCAACACTTTCACCGCACTCATAATCACTGTCTTTGCAGAGGTGCCCAGATACAACAGTTTAGAAGCATATACCTGTATAACATACCCCTCCAAACTGCCAATATCCCAAACCCCTCCTTTAAAAGTGCAGGCATTGTACTTCCCATTTCCAGTACTCAAGTCCAGCTATATAAAAATAACCAATTTCCCTGAATCCCTTCACTAAATATTACCCTGCTCACACTCCAACAGCTCGTCGGGTCCCAAAAAACCATTCATCTCCATTCACCCCTATCTAACATGCTCATGAATGCTCGCTGGAAGTCAAAGCCCCTCGCCCCAAAACCTCCTTCACCCCCTCCCTCCAACCTTTTTGAGGATGGCCCCTACCCTGCTTTCCTTTCCCTATAGATTTATACGCTCTCCATATCATTCTACTTAGATCCATTCTCTCTAAATAACCAAACCACCTCAACAACCCCTCTTCAGCCCTCTGACTAATACTTTTATTAACCCACACCTCCTCCTAATTTCCACACTCCGAATTCTCTGCATAATATTAACACCACACACTGCCCTTAGACAGGACATCTCCACTGCCTCCAACCACCTCCTCGCTGCAGCATTTACAATCCAAGCCTCACACCCATGTAAGTGTTGGTACTACTATACTTTCATACATTCCCTTTTTTGCCTCCGTAGATAATGTTTTTTGTCTGCACATATACCTCAATGCACCACTCACCTTTTTTCTTCATCATTCTATGGTTAACCTCATCCTTCATAAACCCATCCGCTGACACGTCAAATCTCAAATACATGTCTCAAAACATTCACTTCTTCCATACTCCCTCTCTCCAATGTGATATCCAATTTTTCTTTATCTAAATCATTTGATACCCTCATCACCTTACTCTTATCTATGTTCACTTTCAACTTTCTACCTTTACACACCCTCCCAAACTCGTCCACTAACCTTTGCAACTTTTCTTTAGAATCTCCCACAAGCACAGTATCATCAGGAAAAAGTAACTGTCAACTTCCATTTTGTACTTGATTCCCCATAATTTAATCCCACCCTTCTCCCCAACACCCTAGCATTTACCTCCTTCACAACCCCATCTATAAATATATTAAACAATGATGGTGACATTACACATCCCTGTCTAAGACCTACTTTTACCAGGAAGTAGTCTCCCTCTCTCGTACACACCTTAACCTGAGCCTCATTACCCTCATAAAAACTCTTTAGTAACTTACCACCTATTCCACATACTTGCAACATCTGCCACATTGCTCCCCTATCCACTCTATCATATGCCTTTTCTAAATCCATAAATGCAATGAAAACTTCCCTACCTTTATCTAAATACTGTTCACATATATGCTTCAAGGTAAACACTTGATCTACACATCCCCTACCCACTCTAAAGCCTCCTTGTTCATCCACAATCCTACTCTCTGTCTTACCTCTAATTCTCTCAATAATAACCCTACTGTAAACTTTTCCTTGTATACTTAGCAAACTTTTCTTTCTTTCAACACACCGGCCGTATCCCACCGAGGCAGGGTGGTCCAAAAGGAAAAACGAAAGTTTCTCCTTTACATTTAGTAATGTATACAGGAGAAGGGGTTACTAGCCCCTTGCTCCTGGCATTTTAGTCGCCTCTTACAACACGCATACTTAGTAAACTTATTCCCCTATAATTTTTACAATCTCTTTTGTTCCCCTTCCCTTTATATAAAGGAACTATACATGCCCTTTGCCAATCCCTAGGTACCAACCCTTCTTTTATACATTTTTTTTTTTAACAAGTCGGCCGTCTCCCACCGAGGCAGAGTGACCCAAAAAGAAAAAATCCCAAAAAAGAAAATCCTTTCATCATCATTCAACACTCACCTCACTCACACATAATCACTGTTTTTGCAGAGGTGTTCAGAATACAACAGTTTAGAAGCATATATGTATAAAGATACACAACATATCCCTCCAAACTGCCAATATCCAAACCCCTCCTTTAAAGTGCTGGCATTGTACTTCCCATTTCCAGGACTCAAGTCCGGTTATATAAAATAACCGGTTTCCCTGAATCCCTTCACTAAATATTACCCTGCTCACACTCCAACAGCTCGTCAGGTCCCAAATACCATTCGTCTCCATTCCCTCCTATCTAACACGCTCACGCACGCTTGCTGGAAGTCCAAGCCTCTCGCCCACAAAACCTCCTTTACACCATCCCTCCAACCTTTTCGAGGACAACCCTTACCCCGCCTTCCTTCCCCTACAGATTTATACACTCTCCATGTCATTCTACTTTAATCCATTCTCTCTAAATGACCAAACCACCTCAGCAACCCCTCTTCACACCTTCTCCTAATTTCCACACTCCGAGTTTTCTGCATAATATTTACACCACACATTGCCCTTAGACAGGACATCTCTACTGCCTCCAACCACCTCCTCGCTGCTGCATTTACAACCCAAGCTTCACACCCACATAAGAGTGTCGGTACTACTATACTTTCATACATTCCCTTCTTTGCCTCCATAGATAACGTTTTTTGTCTCCACATATACCTCAACGCACCACTCGCCTTTTTTCCTTCATCAATTCTATGATTAACCTCATCCTTCATAAATCCATCCACTGGCACGGCAACTCCCAAGTATCTGAAAACATTCACTTCCTCCATACTCCTCCTCCTCTCCAATTTGATATCCAATTTTTCTTTATGTAAATCATTTGATACCCTCATCACCTTACTCTTTTCTATGTTCACTTTCAACTTTTCTACCTTTACACATTTATTAAACAAAAATACCAACCACTCCAACACTATATCCCCCCCTGCTTTTAACATTTCTGTCATGATCTCGTCAGTTCCAGCTGCTTTACCCCCCTTCATTCTACGTAATGCCTCACACACCTCTCCCACACTTACATTCTGCTCTTTTTCACTCCTAAAAGATGTTATACCTCCCTGGCCAGTGCATGAAATTACCACCTCCCTTTCTTCATCGGCATTTAATGTATACAGGAGAATGAGTTACTAGCCCCTTGCTCCAGGTATTTTAGTCACCTCTTGCGACACGCATGGCTTACAGAGGAAGAATTTTCTAAGAAAAATATAGCTAAAACATATTTTTAACAAAATTCATAACACTGATAATAAAACATTTTCAACTGTGAAAAATAAGAGATACACTTCTTCAACCATGCACTTACCTTTTTTCATTTTATTATCGAGAGCAGACAGAATTGAGAAGGATGCAACATGTGACATTGAAGTAGCAGATTTAGCACTGTGTGATGACTCTTGCAGATATAATTTCAGGTCTGCCTTCGTCAATTCTCGACCCTCATCCTTAGCATTCACCGCTTCTTGCTGTTGTTGTTGTATATTCTTCTGATCGTATCTTTCAGCAAAACTTCTTATTAAACATTTTCATATCTGTCAGTTCACTGTTAATACTCCTTACATTTGTAATACTAGAAACTACTTTCCAAACGAAACTAGTCTTTTTCACTCAAAGATTTAAAAACCTTGGAGGACAAATGCATGAATGACTACTCCCTTTTACGTCATAAAGATCATAATGGAAATGAGTTATAACCATTCTCATTGTCAAGAAGCATTTTTTTTTTTCAACAAGTATGAATTTCCTACCGAAAAGATAGCTACACAATTTTAAAAAGAAAATCCATAACAGATAATAACATTTCAATCGAAAATTAATACACTTCTCAACCATGCACTTCCTTTTTGGTGCATTTTATTATGAGAGCAGACAGATTGAGAGGATAACATTACATGAAGTCACGATTTCACAAGTGATAAATATCGCAAAACTCCTCATTAAGCTTCGTAATTTCACTCCCATTCCTGACATCACCGTTATTGAATGTTTGTATATCTTCTGATCTTATGCTTCAGAAAATATTACCTGTACACTCAACAATCTCATGCTACCTATAATCATGTACTCATATCTAAATATAAAGATTCATAGGCAATACTGTTGAAAGCAACAACCCTAAACACACAACTAATTGAAACCCCATTGGAGGGAAAAAACTATCGAGGACGACCCCTTACCCTACAATTCCAATCCCAAATGGATTACAATGATTCCAACATTCACTTGATCATTTCAAATGACCAAACACCTCAAAAGGGACTGCAGTTAGAAATCAATATTTTTATCAAAGAGAATAAAAAAGGAATAAGAAAAGCAAAAAGGGATTATGAGGCTAAGATTGCAAGGGATTCAAAGACTAACCCAAAAGGGTTCCTTCAGGTATACAGAAGTAAGATTTGGGACAAGATAGGCCCGCTTAAGAGTAACTCAGGTCAGATCACTGACAATGATAGGGCTATGTATGAAATTTTCAATACTTACTTCCGCTCAGTTTTTACCAAGGAAAATACTAGCAAAATTCCTGAAATAATAGATTATGTAGAACAGGATGATAATAAATATGCACGGTTGCAGTAACTAGCGACAGGGTCCTCAGACAAATAGAGAAATTAAAACCTAACAAATCCCCAGGCCCTGATGAACTGTTTGCAAGGGTGTTAAAGGAATGTAAAGAGGAACTTGGCATACATTTGGCTAATCTTTTCAACATATCACTACAAACTGGCAAAGTGCCTGATAAGTGGAAAATGGCAAATATAATACCTATTTACAAGGCAGGTGACAGGTCCTTAGCTTTGAACTATAGACCAATAAGCCTTACCTCCATACTGGGAAAATTTATGGAATCAATAATTGCTGAAGCAATTCGTAGCCATCTTGATAGGCCCAGATTGATTAATGAATCTCAACACGGTTTTACAAAGGGGTGTTCCTGTCTTATGAATTTACTAACTTTTTTCACAAAGGTGTTTGAGGAGGTAGATCATGGTATTGAATATGATATTGTGTATATGGACTTCAGTAAGGCTTTCGATAGTGTTTCACATCAGAGGCTATTGAGGAAACTTATGGCACACGGAATAGGAGAATTTTTTTCCCAGGCAGAGGCATGACTGACAAATAGGTAGCAGAGAATTTGCATAAATGGGGAGAAATCAGAATGGGGGCACGTCAAAAGCGATGTTCCGCAGGGGTCAGTGTTGGGCCCATTGTTGTTCATTACTTACATAAACGACATAGATGAGGGAATAAATAGCGACATAAGCAAATTCATTCTAATGAGGACACTAGAGCACTCCAGGATGATTTAAATAGACTGATGCAATGGTCAGAGAAGTGGCAGATGCAGTTTAATATAAACAAATGCAAAGTTCTAAATGTTGGACAGGAAAATAACCATGCCACATAAACTAAACTATGTAAATCTTAATATTATGGATTGCGAAAAGAATTTAGGAGTTCTGGTTTGCAGTAGTGTAAAACCAAGACAACAGTGCATTAGTGTTCGCAATAAAGCTAACAGAATCCTAGGCTTCACATCTAGAAGTATAAATAACAGAAGTCGTCGGGTTGTTCTTCAACTCTATATATCCGTGGTTATGCCTCATTTAGATTATGCTGCACAGTTCCAGTCACCGTATTACAGAATGGATATAAATGCTCTGGAAAAAGTACAGAGGAGGATAACAAAGTTGATCCCATGTATCAGAAATCTTCCTGATGAGGATAGACTGAGAGCCCGGGATCTGCACTCTCTTGCAGGGCGTAGAATTAGGGGGGATATGATCGAGGTGTATAAATGGAAAACAGGAATAAATAGAGGATGTAAATAGCGTGCTGAAAAATTCCAGCCAAGACAGGACTTGCAGCAATGGTTTCAAGTTGGAAAAATTAAGATTTAGGAAGGATGGTTCGGAGGTGGTTCGGACATGTAGAGAGAATGGAGCGAAACAGAATGACTTCAAGAGTGTATCAGTCTGTAGTGGAAGGAAGGCGGGGTAGGGGTCGGCCTAGGAAGGGTTGGAGGGAGGGGGTAAAGGAGGTTTTGTGTGCGAGGGGCTTGGACTTCAGCAGCATGACGTGAGCGTGTTTGATGGGATTGAATGGAACAAAGGGTTTTAATACTATGACGTGCTGTTTGGAGTGTTGAGCAAAGTACACATTTAGAAGGGATTCAGGAAACCGGCAGGCCGACTTGGGGTCCGGGATTGGAGTACATGCCTGCACTCTGAAGGAGGGGTGTTAATGTTGCAGTTTACAAACTGTAGTGTAAAGCACCCTTCTGGCAAGACAGTGATGGAGTGAATGATGGTGAAAGTTTTTCTTTTCGGGCCACCCTGCCTTGGTGGAATCGGCCAGTGTGATAAAAAAAAAAAAAAAAAAATAGGAAAACACTGGTTTGGTAACAGAGTTGTGGATGAGTGGAACAAACTCCCAAGTACAGTTATAGAGGCTAAAACGTTGTGTAGTTTTAAAATTAGGTTAGATAAATACATGAGTGGGTGTGAGTTGAACCCGGCTAGCTTGTGCTACTAGGTCTGATGCCGTACTCCTTCCTTAAGCAGAAGTGACCTGACTAGGTGGGTCATCGAGCTAATCCTGGGAGGGGGAATGAACCTGCTTCACATGGGTCAGTAGGCCTGCTGCAGTGTTTCTTCTTTCTAATGTTCTTATGTACTGAAAAGGCAGCTAGAGAAAGACTAATGGTGAACATATTTCCTTCCTTGGGCCACTCTACCATGGTGGAAAATGACCAATTAGTTAAAAAAAAAATTACCAAGTAATGTAACAGAAGTTAGGAATATGACATTCATACCAGACACTTAAAGAAAAGATTGCAAAGCACTAGGAAAGAACTCTGAAGGAAAATAAGATGTAAATGAAACATAGTACACCACTCAAGTAGATCAGTATTCGCGACACTGAGTTAAGAGTATTACTGCTACTACATTCACAAAAACACCTTAAACCCATATGGGTCATTCAACCCTTCACCAAGAAGAAAAAATTAAGAGCCTTCTAACACTGAACTTATTTTCTTTCTTGAAAGTTGACTTAATTAAGAGAAAAGCCTTTTATAAGTTTAATAACAGATCAACACATCCTTTCAACACAACTCTGCCACAGCAATACTGGACGCTTAACATGTCAACTTTTGATGCAGTTTTTCGATAAGGGTAGACTAATATAAAATCATAACGTGAATTACAATACTTAAAATATTCCAAGGAGAATGTAGTGAAAATGTGTGTTAGTTTAGCTTTCATATAAGCAGTATTGATTGACAACAACAAAAAAATTGAACATGGAAAAAATGAGGACTATCATCTTCTAATTTCATCTTAGTTTATGGTGTCACTATTACAAAGTGGGATGGCAGAGTACATCATCTCCATCTAACTCAATATTAGGGAGCCAGATAAGAATTTAATGACAAGTTAGAGAGGATAAGCTTATACAATACTACATTACTGTAGCTACAAATAATTTATAAAATAGCACTGGTCCCTCAATAAAGATTAAAACTGGAAAGTGTTTGATAGTATGCCAGATGCATTTTTCACAAAAAATAAAAAATAATAATCATATCCATCACCAAATTTCTGGGTCATTTCAGTGTGGCTGAATTTTTCAAAGATAAAAGTGAAAAATGTTTAGAATGAATCATTACCTGGAACGTGCCACTGAGAATAAACATGCATTTCGTTATCCATTCCAACGACCAAGATGCCATCCCGCACCCAAGACATCTGCATTGGCAGAGGTGCCAGTCCATCAGCTGTTGTCAGTGACAGTTTCTCTAACCTCATCCATCTGGTAAATAGAACACAATACACTAAGTTAATGTTTCATGGTAAAGCACTAGTATTCTTCCAGTATCTGAGGAATGGCAGGCAATTCCTAACATCAAGAGTTCAACATCATAGTATTCCTTGTGGGGAGAAAATACTGTTACCTGACCCTGCCTCCACATGGCAGGGTCTGGTAACTCAAGAGATAACTCTGAAGCTGACAGTGGTCGCAAATAATTTTTCCCGGTTAGCCAGACTTGAGTCCTGGAGGTGGGAAATACAATGCCTGCACTTTAAAGGAGGGGTTTGGGATATTAACTGTTTGGAGTAACATCTAAACTGTCATGTCTGAGCTCCTCTGCAAAGACAGTGATTATGTATGAATGACGTGAAAGTGTTAAACGATGATGAAAGCTTTTTCTTTCTATTTGGGTTTTTTTCTTTTTGGGTCACCCTGCCTCAGTGGGAAATGGCCATGTTGAAAAAGAAATGCATAGAGAGGACTAGGTAGTAGGGTGGTAGACAGCAACCACCCAGGGAGGTACTACTGTCTTGCCAAGTGAGTGTAAAACAGAAATCTGTAATTGATTTACACGATGGTAAGATTGCTGGTGTCCTTTTTTCTGTCTCATGAACGTGCAAGATTTCAGGCACGTCTTGCTACTTCTACTTACACTTAGGTCACACTACACTTACATATACAAGCAAGTATATACACACCCCTCTGGGTTCTGTTCTATTTTCTTACTAGTTCTTGTTCTTGTTTATTTCCTCTTATCTCCATGGGGAAGTGGAACAGAATTCTTCCTCCGTAAGCCATGCGTGTTGTAAGAGGCGACTAAAATGCCGGGAGCAAGGGCATAGTAACTCTTTTCCTGTAATAATTACTAATTGTTAAAATTGGGAAACTTTCGTTTCTCCTTTTGGGACACCCTGCCTCGGTAGGATATGGCGGTTGTTGAAAGAAAGCAAGAAACTTTCGTTTTCCTTTTGGGCCACCCACCTTGGTAGATACCCGTAGTGCTGAAAGAGAAAAGATGGTAGGATTGCTGGTGTCTTTATTCTGTCTTGTACTGAAGAGTTTCAGGTATGTATCTTGCTACTTCTAACTTAACTATAATACTATGCATGTACAAGCATTTATATTACAGCCTCTCTCACTTAAGAAGAGTTTCCGTTCCTAAGACCACGTCTTTAACAAATCGTCACTAAGTGAAGAGCAGATATAATGGATGGTTTTGTCACTATCTTTGATATTGTTTTAATGTCACCTGTGCACCATTTATAACATTTCTGGTATATTTTTAAATGTTTATACAGTGGTGTACTGTATACTGGAATAAAAGAATAGAGGAAATCAGCCTGCATGATAACATTATTTAGGTATAAATACCTTCAGGACCATCCTAAGTCTGAGGCATCAGTAAACGAGTAATTCGCTAAGCGAGGAGAGGCTGTATACACACTTCTCTGGGTTTTCTTTTATTTTCTTACTAGTTCTTGTTCATTTCCTCTTATCCCATGGGGATGTAACAAATATTTCCGCATAATAAGACTAAATGCTGAAGCAAGGGGCTATAACCCCTTTCCTTAATTTTTAAAGTTAAAGAGAATAACTTATTGTTTTTTTTGGACCCTACCTCGGTGGGATGCGGCTGGTTTGTTGAAAGAAGAAGGGGTTAACCCTACTTGGTGGGAGACAGCCAGTTTGCTTAAAAACTTATATTGGTAAGGAAGCACTAAACCCATATAGAATATATCATAAAGCACCTGAGATCCACACCACAACTTTGCCACATCTTTTTCATGCTCTCATAGTAGCCAACCTTTCTTCCTACACTAATTGATTTCAATCTTTACATGAAATACTAAACCTGAGTAGTCATTCAGCGCAAGGAGTACTGTAGTACTGCTAACAGGAGACAGCAGGCTGCTTCATTATGCTCAATCAATTCTTCCAATACCAAATGTAACAAAGTTCACATTTTATTAAAAATTATAATTTTTTTATGTCGCATATCCTTCAAAACAAAAAAAAAAATGAAAATAATATTCTATTATTTGTTTTTCAGTCAAATATAATAATGAACAGACTTTTACCTTGGTAAATTAGTGTCTGAGAGTGCATGCAAAGAGAGGGATTTCTGCAACACTGGACGAGGCCGAGATTCTTTATCCTTCATTTTGCCCTGACAGCTCACCATAGCTATGTCATCTGCGACACTTGTGTATGCCAAAATCTGGGGAAGAATAATAAAGCAATTGTACCAGTATCAAGCCACAAGGTATATCTGTACTACCTTTCATATACTAAATCAATGTACATTTAGTTTACAAACCAAAACCAATATATTACACAATCTCCCAAGAATATAATAATACAAAATTTACTGTATCTGGGTTAACCATGACCAAGACTATTGATTTCTAAGCACAAGTAATCTCCCTCCCTCTGTCTCACAGCTGCAAATTTATTCTTGTCGCCATTTTTTATTTTTTTTAACATGCTGGCTGTCTCCCACCGAGGCAAGGGTGACCCAAAAAACAAAAAACACTTTCACCATGATTCAACACTTTCACCATTATTCACACATAATCACTATTATTAAAACTAATAGAAAAATAACCTAACCTATTTTTATGAAATAAACTTTTGACAAGAATAAGTCCAAATTATACATAAAATGAATTGGAAGTGGAGGTTAGTCTCCCTCCCTCACTTCTTACCTCCTCCTCATCAGTGAACCAAATCTTATAGCCCTTAATACCTTGGTTATCTGCTAAATTGTTTTCACTGCTAATTACCTTCTCTCTAATACCATAATGTGAGTTAAATGAATCGATTTAATCATTACGAGTTAAATGTGATTCGGCAAATCTCCATCTCCTTTTTCTTTGTAATTCTTTTGCTTGGCCATAAATCTAAGCCAACATTACAAGTCCCCCACAGTGTTAAAGCACACACACCTTAGTGCCAATAGCAACTGTCAAGAGGTGTGAGCCATCCTCTTGTGACACCCAGTCAATTTGAACAGGATGTTTTTGCTTCACACTAACGCCCCGTTTGTCAAAGCGCTGATTACGAAGCGAGTGCAGAGTACTGGGACTTGGGACTAACAACTGACCTGGTAAAGTAAATGTTATCCATCAGCATTTACATTTCTAATTATCCTCATTTGGAAAATAGTCAATAAAACTTTATATACACACATACAAATAGTAATTTATTAGTTTGTCAAGGAAATACTGTTCGTAATCACCTACTATAAATGTGTTTCTGTTTAACATAAAAATGTGAAGTAAGATTAAAGGAGCTTTTTTACATGTTGAATTTGAAGGTTAAGAGCTTTCATTTTACCTCAGCTCATTTCTAAGTCCAACATTGTGGGTAGCACCCTCAGGATGCTACCCACAATGCTCAAGTAACACATGGGTACCTATTTACTGCTAGATGAACACAGACAACAGGTATAAGAGGAATTCCCATATGCCTCATCCCACTCCAGGATTAAACCAGGCCTTTCCAATAGGAGCCAAAATATCACTAACACTGAGCTACAGGTCACCTCTCCACACTATACTGCTCTTCATATACAACTCTTCTTAAGGAGAGAGGAGGGGGTCTTGATGGAGAAGGGTTCATGATTCAAAGAACTGAGGCTACCCCCCTCTTCTTTGGATCAAACATGAGTATCCCCTACCCCACCCATATTTCAAGCTCTGAGGTCCACGTATGTGAGGCACTTTTGATTCTATCACAGAAAGAAATGGCACAATACTGTGGCTGGAAGAATACACAGAAAACATACACATAGAAGAAACAAACTTATGATGGCATTTTGGTCCAACTTGGATCATTACCTACTTAATGGTCCAAGTTAGACCAAAACACTGTCATAAGTTTCTTTCTCCTATGATTCTGTATGTTAGAAATCAAGTGTCAAACCCTCCATTCTGGGACTCTTTCACTGTCTGTAGTGACACATAATAAAATGCCATACTAGAACCCCACATGGATACTTACTATATACATACATACACAGGGAGACTTACCATACATATATATACATAAATACTATACACATATATACTTAGTGTACACACCACCACACCCAACCCCTACCCTGAGGATTCTTCTACCCCTTCACAATCTGGCCACAGGCTAGGCTTATCTGTGTATGTCTACTACTACACACAAAGTATGGTCACTTACTACACACAATGTAGTAAACAGCCATACATACAATGTATGGCTATTTACTACACAAAATGTGTGGCTACTCACTAGACACAGAATGTATGGCATCAACTGAGAACACAGATGACGTATGATATGCTTGTGACAAGTCCTCCGAGCTTAAAGTAGATGTCAGTCTGGTGGTGGAGCGTCCCTGAGCAACTTTTGAAAGGTAAGCAAGATCAAGATCAGCCATGCTACATTCTCCAGGATTGCTCACGATATCTTGTATATCAAACTTGTCTTCCAGCACCCACTGTGATCCTAAAAATTTAAGGTTTTTCATTATATATAAGTACACACATTGTTTCCTGACACAGAAATAAAAAATTTCATTAAACTTATACATAATAACTAGCATTAGTTCAACGATAATTACAGTACTGAGTACAAGTTCTGCAGTGAAGTAAAACCCTGACTTCGAAACTCATGTGGTTATTATTATTATTGATGAAATTAAGACACATGTGCAACATCTGGGTATCTTTATTGTAGACGTTTCACCATCCAGTGGCTTTATCAATACAAATTCCAGGACAGAACTTGAAGACAGTGGAACTATGCACAGAAGATGAGGTAATCAGTCCCTCAACCTTGGAGTATGTGCGAAGAGCACCGTAGTCGTGGAGATATTGTCGGTATTGTATACCATTCTTGTACAACATTATTATTATAAAGATTTTAAATCAATGGCCATCTCCTATAAAGATAGGGTGAACCAAGGAAGAAGAAAACATTCACCATATAGGTGCGAGGCATGAGTTTTGAATAACTACAGAGAAAGGAGGCTAAACATAGTGGAGATGTCATTTTTGAGTGCAATGTCCAGTGTCAACATCATGCAGAGATTCAGAGCACAGAAAGTAAAAGACAATGTAGGGTCAATGAGGGTATAATTCAGAGGCTAAGAGGTTTCTGTGGTTGTTTGGGCATACAGAGAGAATGGAGAGGCATACAATGATGAAAAGGAGGAAGGCAGGAGGAGTAAGGTCATCACAGGTATGGTTGTAAAGGAGTTTAAAGGGAATGAGCATCCAGCAGGCTTGTGTGAAAATGTTATATAGGCATAAATAGACAAGTGGTTTTAAATAACATACTGTTCAAGTGTGGGCAAGGTAACTGTTTTGGGTCTCCCTACCTTGGTAGGAGATGACCAGTGTGGAAAAAATACAATAAAATAAAATAAATAAAATAAATAATAGAATAAATAATAGAATAAAAAATAAAAATAATAAATTAAAATATTAAAATAATAAAACAACAAAATAAAACAATTATTATTTTATTCTTGGACAAGCACAAAACCTGTAGGGTTCATATAGCTCCCAAGAAATGAAGGGGGGTGGGGGTAACAGGTCTGATCTGAGGGGAAGGAGAGAGGGGGTGGGAGAGCTCCAATTCCTTGGATCAAGGACCCTTCAAAAATATCAAGGCACCTCCCTAGAATGGTGAAAGCTTGTAGAATGTTATGGTCCAGTAAGTGATCAATGAATCATAACATGGGTGGCCTGGAACAAGAAGAAGGGCACAGGTAACTTTTCCATCAGTAAGAGTGTTCTCACCTCCTGTTGATTCACACTCGTAGATGGCTAATGAGCATGAAAACTGTATACTGCCATCTGATCCTGTAGAAAATGCAGAGTCCTGTCCTGGTGTTTGGTAAGCACAAGCAATCCTACCACTATATGCTGCACTCACGTGAAGAGGTAGGCCTAAAAGAGAAAATAATAATATGAATTTACTAACAAATATATATAGAGTATTCCAATCAAATTAACCCGTAACGGTCCAAGCAGATCTACGTTCACATGCGTAGTGCTCCAAAATTAGACCTACGTTTTTTTTACATATTTTCATATTTCATATTTTACATATTTTCATATTTTCATATTTTCATATTTTACATAGTTTTTACATATTTTTTTTTACATATTTTCAGGTGAAAGTGTTGAATAATGATGAAATTATTTTCTTTTTGGGGATTTTCTTTCTTTTTTGGGTCACCCTGCCTCGGTGGGAGACGGCCAACTTGTTGGGGGGGGAAAAAAAAAAAAAAAAAAAAAAAAAAAGTAGATCAAAGTTTTTTTTACAAGTTTTCAAATGTACAAAAAAAAAAAAAATCTACTTTTTTTACATGCTTTCAAATGTTGAAAAAACATATATATACGTTTGGACCGTTTAGGGGTTAAGGTAAAAGACCATTTCCCAACTCTCCAGTTCCAGTATACATCACAATACACAGGACTGCTACTGCATTCATGGGAAAGTGCAAAACCCATAGTAATCACAGTGTCGGGGGAATGGTAGGCAATCAGATTCGATCAAAGGAAAGGGAGGATAGGTTTATTTCCTTGGATGAAGAGCCCCCTTCCCCCCTCACTAGTGAGGGATCACAAGGCGTATCAGTTTATTATACACCATACCTAAAAGTTTTTAACAATCTTCAACAAGTCTTTCCTCCTTCCTCAAGCGCCTTGTATGACAGATACAGGAGAAACAGCTAAGCAAATTCCTCGGCAACATACTCATTTTTATTTTTCAACATGCCAGCTGTCTCTCATTGCAGCAGGGTAACTCAAAAACAAAGAAACACTTTCACCATCATTCACACATAATCAAATCCAAAAAGACTTATACACTGTTATGACATTAATGATACCAATCCATGTAGGTTTGCAACACTCTTTTTGATTTTATAACACACTGGTTGTCTTCCACCAAGACAGGGTAACCTAAAAACAAAAACTAAATGTAAAGTAGAAAAACTTAAGTTTTTCTTTTTACATTAAGTAATTTATACAGGAGGAGGAGTTTTTCAACGTTGGGGTTCATATTTTGTTAGGACGAAATATAAACAACTATTGGCAGAAAGGTGGGCTGGTGCAAGTATAAGTAGTGGGGGGGGTTGAAGAAGGTTGGAATAATTTAAAATATGCAGTATTAGAATGTGGGGCAGAAGTTTGTGGCTAAAGGAGGGTGGGTGCAGGAGGAAGGAGGAAAGAGTGATTGGTGGAATGATGAAGTAAAGGGTGTGATAAAAGAGAAAAAGGTAGCTTATGAGAGGTTTTTACAAAGCAGAAGTGTCATAAGAAGAGCAGAGTATATGGAGAGCAAAAGAAGGTGAAGAGAGTGGTGAGACAATGCAAAAGGAGAGCAGATGATAGAGTTAGTAGATGGGAAGCTGGAAGTACTGAGTAGATAGCGGGAATACTTTGAGGAACTTTTAAATGTCAATGAAGTAAGGGAGGTGGTAATTTCATGCACTGGCCAGGGAGGTATAACATCTTTTAGGAGTGAAGAAGAGCAGGATAAGAGTGTGGGGGAGGTGCGCAAGGCATTACGTAGAACGAAAGAGGGTAAAGCAGCTGGAACTGACAGGATCATGACAGAAATGTTAAAAGCTGGGGGGGATACAGTGTTGGAGTGGCTGGTATTTTTGTTTAATAAATGTATGAAAGAGGGGAAGGTACCTAGGGATTGGCGGAGAGCATGTATAGTCCCTTTATATAAAGGGAAAGGGGACAAAAGAGATTGTAAAAATTATAGAGGAATAAGTTTACTGAGTATACCAGGAAAAGTATACGGTAGGGTTATAATTGAAAGAATTAGAGGCAAGACAGAATGTAGAATTGCGGACGAGCAAGGAGGTTTCAGAGTGGGTAGGGGATGTGTAGATCAAGTGTTTACATTGAAGCATATATGTGAACAGTATTTAGATAAAGGTAGGGAAGTTTTTATTGCATTTATGGATTTAGAAAAGGCATATGATAGAGTGGATAGAGGAGCAATGTGGCAGATGTTGCAAGTATATGGAATAGGTGGTAAGTTACTAAATGCTGTAAAGAGCTTTTATGAGGATAGTGAGGCTCAGGTTAGGGTGTGTAGAAGAGAGGGAGAATACTTCCCGGTAAAAGTAGGTCTTAGATAGGGATGTGTAATGTCACCATGGTTGTTTAATATATTTATAGATGGGGTTGTAAAAGAAGTAAATGCTAGGGTGTTCAGGAGAGGGGTGGGATTAAATTATGGGGAATCAAATTTAAAATGGGAATTGACACAGTTACTTTTTGCTGATGATACTGTGCTTATGGGAGATTCTAAAGAAAAATTGCAAAGGTTAGTGGATGAGTTTGAGAATGTGTGTAAAGGTAGAAAGTTGAAAGTGAACATAGAAAAGAGTAAGGTGATGAGGGTATCAAATGATTTAGATAAAGAAAAATTGGATATCAAATTGGGGAGGAGGAGTATGGAAGAAGTGAATGTTTTCAGATACTTGGGAGTTGACGTGTCGGCGGATGGATTTATGAAGGATGAGGTTAATCATAGAATTGATGAGGGAAAAAAGGTGAGTGGTGCGTTGAGGTATATGTGGAGTCAAAAAACGTTATCTATGGAGGCAAAGAAGGGAATGTATGAAGTATAGTAGTACCAACACTCTTATATGGATGTGAAGCTTGGGTGGTAAATGCAGCAGCGAGGAGACGGTTGGAGGCAGTGGAGATGTCCTGTCTAAGGGCAATGTGTGGTGTAAATATTATGCAGAAAATTCGGAGTGTGGGAAATTAGGAGAAGGTGTGGAGTTAATAAAAGCATTAGTCAGAGGGCAGAAGAGGGGTTGTTGAGGTGGTTTGGTTCATTTAGAGAGAATGGATCAAAGTAGAATGACATGGAAAGCATATAAATCTATAGGGGAAGGAAAGAGGGGTAGGGGTCGTCCTCGAAAGGGTTGGAAAGGGGGGTAAAGGAGGTTTTGTGGGTGAGGGGCTTGGACTTCCAGCAAGCGTGCATGAGCGTGTTAGATAGGAGTGAATGGAGACGAATGATACTTGGGACCTGACGATCTGTTGGAGTGTTGCAGGGTAATATTTAGTGAAGGATTCAGGGAAACCGGTTATTTTCATATAGTCGGACTTGAGTCCTGGAAATGGAAGTACAATGCCTGCACTTTAAAGGAGGAGTTTGGGATATTGGCAGTTTGGAGGGATATGTTGTGTATCTCTATACGTATATGCTTCTAAACTGTTATATTCTGAGCACCTCTGCAAAAGCAGTGATAATGTGTGAGTGTGGTGAAAGTGTTGAATGATGATGAAAGTATTTTCTTTTTGGGGATTTTCTTTCTTTTTTTTTTGGGTCACCCTGCCTCGGTGGGAGACGACCGACTTGTTTTGAAAAAAAAAAAGTATGAAAGAGGGGAAGGTACCTAGGGATTGGCAGAGAGCACGTATAGTTCCTTTATATAAAGGGAAGGGGGACAAATGACTAAAAATTATAGGGGAGAGGGGTGGGATTAAATTATGGGGAATCAAATACAAAATGGGAATTGACAGTTATTTTTTGCTGATGATACTGTGCTTATGGGAGATTCTAAAGAAAAATTGCAAAGGTTAGTGGACGAGTTTGGGAGTGTGTGTAAAGGTAGAAAGTTGAAAGTGAACATAGAAAAGAGTAAGGTGATGAGGGTATCAAATGATTTAGATAAAGAGAAATGGGATATCAAATTGGGGAGGAGTATTTAAGAAGTGAATGTTTTCAGATATTTGGGAGTTGACATGTCAGCATATGGCTTTATGAAGGATGAGGCTAATCATAGAATTGATGAAGGAAAAAAGGCAAGTTGTGGGTTGAGGTATATGTGGAGACAAAAAACGTTATCTATGAAGGCAAAGAAGGGAATGTACGAGAGTATAGTAGTACCAACACTCTTATATGGGTGTGAAACTTGGGTTGTAAATGCTGCAGCGAGGAGACGGTTGGAGGCAGTGGAGATGTCCTGTCTAAGGGCAATGTGTCGTGTAAATATTATGCAGAAAATTTGGAGTGTGGAAATTAGGAGAAGGTGTGGAGTTAATAAAAGTATTAGTCAGAGGGCTGAAGAGGGGTTGTTGAGGTGGTTTGATAATTTAGAGAGAATGGCATGGAGAGCGTGTAAATCTGTAGGGGAAGGTGGGGTAGGGGTCGTCCTTGAAAAGGTTGGAGGGAAGGGGTAAAGGAGGTTTTGTGGGCGCGGGGCTTGGACTTCCAGCAAGCGTGCGTGAGCGTGTTAGATAGGAGTGAATGGAAATGAATGGCATTTGGGAACTGACGAGCTGTTGGAGTGTGAGCAGGGTAACATTTAGTGAAAGGATTTAGGGAAACCGGTTACTTTTATATAGCCGGACTTGAGTCCTGGAAATGGGAAGTACAATGTCTGCACTTTAAAGGAGGGATTTGGGATATTGGCAGTTTGGAGGGATATGTTGTGTTTCTTTATTACGTATATGCTTTTAAACTGCTGAATTCTGAGCACCTCTGCAAAAACAGTGATTATGTGCGAGTGAGGTGAAAGTGTTGAATGATGATGAAAGTACTGAGGTGAAAGTGTTGAATGATGATGAAAGTATTTTCTTTTGGGGGTTTTTCTTTCTTTTTGGGTCACCCTGCCTCAGTGGGAGATGGCTGACTTGTTGGGAGAGAAAAAAAAAAAAAAAAAAAAAAAAAAAAGTTAAACATTATGTCATCTTATTCTTTATTAACCCTTTGACTGTTTTGGTCGTATATATATGTCTTACGAGCCACCGTTTTTGACGTATATATACTCAAAAATTCTAGCGACTTCAAGTCAAGCAGGAGAAAGCTGGTACGCCTACATGTGATAGAATGGTTCTGTGTGGTCAGTGTGTACCATATAAAAAAATTCTGCAGAATGCAGTGCATAATGAGAAAAAAAAACTCTGACCGTTTTTTTTAATTAAAATGCCGACTTTGTGGTCTATTTTCATATAGTATTTATGGTCGTATTCTCGTTTTCTTGGTCTCACTTGATAGAATGGAAAACACAGAAAGAGGTGATTTTGATTGGTTTTACTATGAAAAGAACCTTGAAATGGAGCTCAAAGTAGGGGAAATGTTTGATATTTGCCAATGTTTAAAAGTAAACAAATAGTGTCATTTTCCAATAAATGTCCAAGTAACCATTCTAATATGCAGTCATGAATGGGTTGACATTATTTATACAATTATTACAATATTGCAGTAGTCTGAATAACAGTAAATCTTCTACTTTTTGTTTGAATAAAAATTCAAAATAGAAAGCAAGAGTAATATCAGAGAGGCCTGGAGACTTGACTGATAAACAAAGAAAATGTTATTTTAGAGCCAGGAATGTCTGCACTGTTCATTCAGGACCCTATTTTGAAATTGTCATATTTTTTAATTTTCGTGAAATTGGCCAATTTGCAAATTTCTGACCACGTTATTGGGTAGTTGAAATCAGTAAATGGGGAGTTTCTTGTACTCAATCGATAGAAAAAATGGAGTTCTAAAGAAATAGCTATGAGTTTGGTCAACTGGAACAGTGGAATTAGCCGTAAATAGGGCTCAAAGTGGGTGAAATTGCCAATTCGTAAATATCGCCGAGGTCGCTAACTTCGCGAGAGCATAATTCAGTCAGTTTTCCATCAAATTTTGTTCTTTTGGTGTCATTACAATCGGAAAAAGATTCTCTATCATTTCATAAGAAAACTTTTTTTTTTTAAATTTTGCAACACCAGGAGACACCTCAGGATTTGGGGTTGCGACAGACAAGGGGTTAATGGTTTAATAAAGCAACAAGTTGATAAATAAGACACTTGTGTAACAACTGGGTATCTTTATTCTGGTAATGTTTTGCCAGCCAGTGATTTCTTCAGTCTAGTGCAGAGAAAGGCAGAAGATGAGGAGGAATTTGAAATAATCAGTCCCTTGATGGACTAAACTGATTATCTCAAACTCCTCCTCATCTTCCAACTTTCTCTACACTGGACTGAAGAAGTCACTGGCTGGCAAATGTTTCCAGAATAATGATACCCAAATATTGCACAAGTGTCTTTCTTATTCTTTATTCTTATTGTCTGTGCTTCACATTCCCTATTTTGTTCTTAATTACCTGGCACTTTAATAGCACTCTTGCCATCTTTGCTAATCATATGCCATTCTTGCCACTGGATCTGGAAGTTTTCTCCCTCACCAGACATGCGGCACCTCCAGAAGCGGACAGTGTTATCAGAACAAGCGGTCACCAGCACATACGGTGCATAGCATGCTGGGTATATGGAAGCAGAGCTCAGGTGGCCAGCAGCTGGTGATGCATGGATTACTTGTACTCCAGTGGGAAGTGGCAGTGGATATGAACAAATCTGCAAGAAAATTCCAGGCAATAATAAAACAAATTTAAAATACAGGAAAACACACTTCAAGTACAGCACATTTTTAATTACACTATATGAAACAGTAATATACCTATCATACAAAATGTAGTCAGGATATTATCATTATTATAATGGAAGATGTTCATATTAGCAGTAGAACACCTTTTCAACCAAATTATTGTTTTAACCCTTTTGGTGTGGGTCTCGTTGTTCTACAGCTTCGAAACCCGGGTCAGTCCCATAGTACTACACCATGAGCTCAGCTTACTCAGAGAAGCTGTGAGCGGTAAATTTGGGCCTAGATATAAGAGAATGGGTCTTTGCAGTAAGTGTGCACCATATAAAAAAATCCTAAAGCATGCAATACACAATGGAGAAAAAAAAACTTTGACCATGTTTTTGGATTAAAACAGCAATTTTTCTGTATATTTTCATGTGGTTTCTATGGTTGTATTCTCAGTTTCTTGCTCTCATTTGGTAGAAGAGAACATATTGCAGACATAGACATGATTCTGATTGATTTCAGGGTTGAAAGTAGCTTGAAATTGAGCTCAAAGTAGCAGAAATGTTCGATTTTTGCCGATATTCCAGAGTACACAAATGACATCATTCGTCTAATACGTGTCCATCAGGCCAGTCTAATATGCATTTAGGAATTCACCGACATGATTTAAACAATTATTATAATAATGCAGTAGTCTGCATAACAGTAAATATTCTATTTTTTGTGCAAATAAAAATTAAAAATGGGAAGGAAGCATAATGTAGGAGAGGCCTGGGGACATGACTAATGAACAGAGAAAATGTTATTTTAGTGCCAGGAATGTCTCCACTGTTTATTCTTGGCTCTATTTTGAAATTGTCATTTCTTGAATTGTGTGAAATTGGCCAAATTACCAATTACTGATAACTTTATTTGGTAGATGAAATAGTTCAACGGGCAATTTCTTGTACTCATTCGATAGAATGGAAGGCATACTGGCAAAATAGCTAAGGATCTAGTCAACTGGAACAATGGAATTGGCCTAAAATTAGAATAAAATTGGACAAAAATTGGCGATGAGTAAATATCGGCGACACCAAAAATTCGCAAAAGCATAATTTCATCAGTTTTCCATCAAATTTTGTACTTTTTGTTTTATTACCTTCAGAAAAATATTCTCTAACATTTCATAAGAATTTTTTTTTTTTAATTTTCTGACCCTGAGAGCAAGTTTGAGAGTAGGGTTCCCAACCCTTAACCCTTTGAGGGTTTTGGTCGTACTAGTACATTTTACGCGTAGGGGTTTTTGACGTACTAGTACTCACAAATTCTAGCGGCGTCAAATCTAGTGGGAGAAAGCTGGTAGGCCTTCATATGAAAGAATGGGTCTATGTGGTCAGTGTGCACAGTCTAAAAAAAATCCTGCAGCACACAGTGCATAATGAGAAAAAAAAAACTTTGACCATTTTTTTTTAATAAATCAGCGACTTTGCAGTGTATTTTCGTATGGTATTTATTGTTGTATTCTAGTTTTCTTGGTCTCATTTTATAGAATGGAAGACATATTACAGAAATTGAGATGATTTTGACTGGTTTTACAATGAAAGGTGCCTTGAAATTGAGCTCAAAGTAGCAGAAATGTTCGATTTTTACCAAACTTCAAAAGTAAACAAATCGTGCCAAGCGTGCAATACACGTCAACTGGTGAGTCTAATATTCTTTTACAAGTGCACCAATAATATTTATACCATTTTTTACACTAATGCAGTAGTCTGCATAACAGTAAATCTTATATTTTTTGTGAGAATAAAAATTCAAAGTGGAAAGCAAAAGAATATAAGAGGGCCCTTGAGACGTGACTAATGACTAGAGGAAATGTCATTTTAGTGCCAGGAATGTCTTTGTTTATTCTGGACCCTATTCGGAAATTGGCATCTTTTGAAATTTGTGTGAAATTGGCAAAATTGCTAAATTCTGACCACTGTACTGGATAGTTGAATTTATAAATGGGTGGTTTCTTGCACCCATTCGATAGAAAAAATGGAGTTCTAGCGAAATATTCATGTTTTTTGTGGACTAGTACAGTGAAATTGGCCGAAAATGGGGCTCAAAGTGGGCAAAATCGCCGATGCGTAAACATCGCCGAGACCGCTAACTTTGCGAGAGCATAATTCCGTAAGTTTTCTATCAAATTTCAAACTTTTGGTGTCTTTATGATCGGGAAAAGATTCTCTATCTTTTCATAAGAGAAAATAATTTTTTTTTTTTTTAAATTTGGCCGACCCTGAGAACGAGTTTCGGAGAGGGCCTGTCGACCCTCAAAGGGTTAAAGGGTTAACTTATTATTTTTTAACATATCAGCCACTTCCCCAGCTGCAATATATCCCTACCCCTCCTTCAGAGTATAATACTGCACCTAAAATCTATAAATGCTGACCTTGGTTGTGGTAATTGCGATGGGAGATGCATCAATGTTTGCTGTTATGTTATCAATTACAGGTGTACTGCGACCAGACCCACGACCATCCTCGTCCTCACAGATCTCAGGAGCGTGATGTTCAGAAGCAATAACCAGTCGCCACACATGCATTACCTATTCACAATAATAGTGCAATATGGCTTTTTAGTGTATTTTTTCGTATCAAATTCAATTGATCTTCAGTACAATGCAGTATGAACAGCTAGTGAACTATTATTAAAATATACATTCTTTACGCACTGAGCCAAAAGCAGTTTTCTCCAGTAGAGTAATGTAGAAAGGTTCTTCAAACTTCGCAGAAGAGTTTAGGTCCACCATGGGGGCATGAGTGGGATCAAATATGCTGGGAGATTCCTCACCTGCATAAACACATTTTTGGTATTACATATTTCACAAAGATTTTTTTTTAACACATCAGCTGTCTCCTGCCGAGGCAGGCTGACCCAAACAAGAATATACATATATTTTTACATTTTATTCACATCTTATGACATGCATAGCTTACAGAGGAAGGATTCTTCTCCACTTCCTAAAGAAAAATACCACAACGATCTCTACCTAATAATTGCCTATGAACACATTTAGAATTAAAAAAAAAAAAAAAAAAAAAAAAAAAAAAATTAAAAAAAAAAAAAAAAAAAAAAAAATAGACTTTTTGAGTCTAAGAAAACAGTTTTCACATGAACCTTCAATAATAAGTTTCTAATTTCATGACACAGCTTGTAAACTAAAAAATTTGAAAGTCTAATGAAAAAAATCTATATTTTAAACTTAGCAAGATAAACAAATGTGAGGCCATTTTACAAGAAATAATCAATAAGTTATTAATAGACTGGAGATAATTTATTATGACACAAAATAAATTTTGTTTAAGTTTGGAAACATCATGAAAATTATATAAAAGAACAAAAATGTAAGAGATTTTAATTAAATTATTCATATTAAACAACTGGAAGAACGGTACAGTAAAAATGCCTCTTGGTTATAGAGCATTTATTAAAAGTTTGAGGGGTTACTGACTCAGTGGCCTGGTCACAGGTTAAACAGGTGCACAAACACACCTGGTCACAGGTTAAACAGGTGCACAAACACACCTGGTCACAGGTTAAACAGGTGCACAAACACACCTGGTCACAGGTTAAACAGGTGCACAAACATACATGGTCACAGGTTAAACAGGTGCACAAATATACCTGGTCACAGGTTAAACAGGTGCACAAATATACCTGGTCACAGGTTAAACATTGGCAGTTTGGAGAGATATATTATGTATTTTTATACGTATATGCTTCTAAACTGTTGTATTCTGGGCACCTCTGCAAAAACAGTGAGTATGTGTGAGTGAGGTGAAAGTGTTGAATGATGATGAAAGTATTTTCTTTTTGGGGATTTTCTTTCTCTTTGGGTCACCCTGCCTCGGTGGGAGACGGCCGACTTGTTGGAGAGAAAAAAAAAAAAAAAGGTTAAACAGGTGCACAAACACACCTGGTCACAAGTTAAATAAGTGCACAAACATATCTGGTCACAGGTTAAATGGGTGCACAAGCATACCTGGTCACAGGTTAAACAGGTGCACAAACAGATAAAATGAATATTAAATTAACCAAAGAAATCCCATTTTATATTTGGAAGTGATAAAGATACGAGTGTACCACTTTTCTGACTGCATTTATAAACATCCTAGTAATGAACAGCTATTTCCCTGTTTTTTTCAGAGGATTTTACTAGTGGACAGTGGTGTTTGAAGCACAAAATGACCTACCATACCTATTCAACTACAGTACAATCCTACTCATATTAAATTCTTTGAAATAAATAAAATACTCACTAGTAGGAAATAGACCTGAATGCATACACTTAAAACATCTTTATTGAAGATGTTCTTATCCTGGAACCTTTATCACTGCAAATAAATAAGGAGTATGGGAGAACAGAAGCTCTATATAGTAGCCAAGAGAGCATCAATAGTGGGAGTTAGGTCTCACCAGTATACATAGCTTGTATTCTCTCATACACTTAATGTATTTGAAGTGCTCAAGTTTCAAGGTCCAAAAAGTGTTTACTAAAGGTGTCTTAAGTAGATGCATTTATGTCCATTTTCCTCTGGCTGTTGGCAATTATTTGCCTTCTTCTTTCTTTCTTTCAACACACCGGCCGTATTCCACCAAGGCAGGGTGGCCCAAAAGGAAAAATGAAAGTTTCTCCTTTTACATTTAGTAATACATATAGGAGAAGAGGTTACTAGCCCCTTGCTCCCGGCATTTTAGTCGCCTCTTACAACACGCATGGCTTACGGAGGAAGAATTCTGTTCCACTTCCCCATGGAGACAAGAGAAAATAAACAAGAACAAGAACTAGAAAGAAAATAGAAGAATACCCAGAGGGATGTGTATATATATGCTTGAACATGTATGTGTAGTGTGACCTAAGTGTAAGTAGAAGTAGCAAGACATACCTGAAATCTTGCATGTTTATGAGACAGACAAAAGACACCAGCAATCCTACCATCATGTAAAACAATTACAGGTTTTCGTTGTACACTCACTTGGCAGGACGGTAGTACCTCCCTGGGCGGTTGCTGTTTACCAACCTACTACCTAGGATTTGCCTACTAACTATAGTAAATATTGATAAGTCTCTAGGCTGGGCTGGGGACAATTTCCAATGTGGCATCTCTGTAATGATCTGTTGTTGAGCTGGCAAACAAAGGAAAGATGGTGGCACCTATGAAACTACTGGATATTATCAAATTTATTTGCATGTATATATATACTTAAGGTGGGATATGGTTAGCATGTGTAATTTTGCCCTAGAATCCAGGCTGCAACAGGCCCATCATATAAGAATCTGAACCTCCTAAAAGTATTATAACCATCAATAAGTTGACCCCTCCTGCTTTTTGCCTAAAAATTTTACATTAAAACCTCGACATAGACTCCTCCCATGTTACTGTCAGCCCCACATGTTATATAGTGTATGCTGTATAACTGTATATTTTCATTAAAGGGCAAAACCTAGTCATAGGTGGTTTTAAAACTCAAACTGCCATGGATTCAAGCCCCACCTGTTATGTGATTCTTATTATAATGTTTAAGTAATTGATTATTCTTTAACTGCAGAATACCTTTCACTTCAAAATGTTCAGAATTATGGTGTTCCCTACAACAGCAAAATAGCAAATTTCTTAGTGTACTGAAATATGACTTTTATAAAGAAGAAAAATGAGCATATGTATTGGCCTTACACAACAAATTCAGGAAAATAAATTTTTAAATCTTAAAACAACAGTGAGCTTGCTCTTTCTATTCTCAAAAAAAAAAAAAAAAAAAAAAATATTGATCGTTCTACAGCAGAGAGCATATTTCCTTACCTACAGATGATCCACATTCTCCTCGGATGAGGCCTTCTTGAAAAACATGAAGGAACTGTGTATTTTGCCAGTCATTTGTTGCATCACCAATGGCATCCAGCTCAATGACACAACCAGGACGTGCAGTTGATTGTTCTGATACTATGTCAAAAATATCAGCTAAGTTCTGAAAGTAGATAAAACAGGAATACTTAAGTTTTTTCTGTGCTACAATTACTTCATGTATGGTACTTCATATGCATTACAATGAAGAGGAAATATGATGCACTTAATAATATACAATTGAGCTGCATTTGGGCAATCAAGGAATGTCACCTACCCAATTGTATCTGGCTAAGATAGACCTTAAATTTTAAAAATACAGCAATTTTTTTTTTTTCCTCAGTGGGAAGAGTTACTTTTCTCATGTGATAACCGAGACACCACTTGAAAATTTTAAGGCACATTTTATTGGATCTTCAAATATTTTTTAGGATAGAATAGAGTAATATTTATGAAGGGATCCAAGGAAACCAGTTAGTTGAACTCAGGCCCTGGAATTAGGAAGTACAATGCCTACACTGGGAAGGAGGGGTGAGGCTGGTGCCTCTCAGATGGTCATTTGGATTGTGATGTCTGCACACTTCTGGCAAGACACCTTTTGAATTAGTGATGGTGAACTTTTTTTTTTTTTTTTTTTTTAACCCTACCATGGTGGGAGATGGATTGTGCTCTTAAAAATAAAACAAAAAGTAAGAAAGGCTGAGGTAACATACTTCCCTTGATTTAGCAAAAGACAAGTTTTTTCATCTGCCGCACAGCAGTGTTTCTTTAACCCTTAAACTGTCCAAACGTAGATTACATTCACTCGCGTCGCACTCCAAATATTTTGAAAAATAAAAAAATAGTTTTTTTCTTTTAAAATTAAGAACACATTGTCCTACATGTTATAGGATTAAAAAAAATTATTAGGGTCAGTACTTACAAAGATACAAGACCGTGAAGTTGGCTCTGGATGCTCACCTGACAGCAACATCGACTCCTGCGCTTGCAGAAGTGTTGCCGAATGACCTTTTTTTCTCGTTTTAATTTTAATTTATATATTTTTTATGTTCTGATAATTACAATTTATAATAGTTCTTGTAGTTTCATAGCCAATCTTTGTTCTGACACTAATATTAGGTACTGAAATAGTGCTCAAATAGTCACAATCATAATGACAGGTGAACATTTACACCTGCTTGGGTTATTTACCACTGTCTAGAAATATATACAAAGTATTTATAGGTCCCAGCAATGTTTTAGATACCCTGGCATATACCTGAAGCATGGTGTTATGAAAGGCATCCCTATACTGTTGACAGCCCAGTGACATTTGATAAATGCCCACTGCTCCAGCTAACCCTCACTGTGTTTGTTATCACTGTTACACACAAACATGTCTTGTCTCTCTGTCTATTTATCTATCTGTCTGTCTGCCTGTCTGTCTGTGTCTATCTGTCTGCCTGCCTATCTATCTGTCTATGTCTATCTGCCTGCCTGTCTCTGTCTCTGCTTATCTGTCTTTCTGTCTGCCAGGAGTATATGTATAACACACTCCGTGAAGAATCTTGCAATAACATCTGTTATCAGCTCGGTGACATTTGATAAATGGGTGCTCGGGGGAACCCTGGCTTTATTTGTTTTCGCTGATACACACAAACATGTTTCTGTCTATCTGTCTGTTTGTCTGTCTATCTTTGCCTGGAATTTTTGGATTATCCTAGGTAATTTACACTATGTATAATAACTGTACTTATGTGTACGTGTGAGACATGTACACAGATATATAGAAAGATAGAGATATAGACAGAGAGACAGCCAAAGCAAGCCAGCCGGCCAGGCTGCCGAATACATAAGAACACAAGAAGAAGGAACACTGCAGCAGGCCTACTGGCCCATGCAAGGCAGATACATGTCACCCTCCCCTACCCCGGCTTAGACCAATGACCCACCTAGTCAGGTCACATCCAATGAAGGAAGGAGCATGACATCAGACCTAGTAGCACAAGCTAGTCAAGTCCAACTCACACCCACCCACACTCACTCAAGTATTCATCTAACCTATTTTTACTTTCCTTTTAAAATGGGAGTGTTAATGCAACATGGCATCAGTGAATCCCTGATGTTTGCCATGCTATTTGCTCTAGCTGGCGCTCAATTGAACTGGTGCTCCCACAATGTACTAAGTGCTCCCAGATTTTTTAATAATGCTCACACTGAGTGCACAGACCCAATCTTTCATGTCTAGGCAACTCAAACCTATTGTGCCAAATTTGAAGGAATGAAAAATAAAACGTTGATCTACGTTTGGAGCGCTATGCGAGCAAACGTAGATCTACATTTGGACAGTTTAAGGGTTAAGTGGCCAAGATCATCTCATATTTTACAAGATTATGAGAGTATCAAATGATTTAGATAAAGAAAAATTGGATATCAAATTGGGGAGGAGGAGTATGGAAGAAGTGAATGTTTTCAGATACTGTATTTGAGAGTTGACGTGTCAGCAGATGGATTTATGAAGGATGAGGTTAATCATAGAACTAATGAAGGAAAAAAGGTGAGTGGTGCATTAAGGTATATGTGGAGGCAAAAAATGTTATCTATGGAGGCAAAGAAGGGACTGTATGAAAATATAGCAGTACCAACACTCTTATATGGGTGTGAAGCTTGGATTGTAAATGCTGCAGCGAGGAGGCGGTTGAAGGCAGTGGAGATGTCCTGTCTAAGGGCAATGTGTGATGTAAATATTATGCAGAAAATTCGAAGTGTGGAAATTAGGAGAAGGCGTGGAGTTAATAAAAGTATTAGTCAGAAGGCTGAAGAGGGGTTGTTGAGGTGGTTTGGTCATTTAGAGAGAATGGATCAAAGTAGAATGACATGGAGAACGTATAAATCTGTAGGAGAAGGAAGGCAGGGTAGGGGTTGTCCTCGAAAAGGTTGGAGGGAGGGGGTAAAGGAGGTGTTGTTGGCGAGGGGTTTGGACTTCCAGCAAGCGTGCGTGAGCGTGTTAGATAGGAGTGAACGGAGACAAATGGTATTTGTGACCTGACGAGCTGTTGGAGTGTGAGCAGGGTAATATTTAGTGAAAGGATTCAGGGAAACCGGTTATTTTACAAAACTGGACTTGAGTCCTGGAAATGGGAAGTACAATGCCTGTGCTCTAAAGGAGGGGTTTGGGATATTGGCAGTTTGGAGGGATATACATTGTGTATGGAGGAGGTGAATGTATTCAGATATTTGGGAGTGGACGTGTCAGCGGATGGGTCTATGAAAGATGAGGTGAATCATAGAATTGATGAGGGGAAAAGGGTGAGCGGTGCACTTAGGAGTCTGTGGAGACAAAGAACTTTGTCCTTGGAGGCAAAGAGGGGAATGTATGAGAGTATAGTTTTACCAACGCTCTTATATGGGTGTGAAGCATGGGTGATGAATGTTGCAGCGAGGAGAAGGCTGGAGGCAGTGGAGATGTCATGTCTGAGGGCAATGTGTGGTGTGAATATAATGCAGAGAATTCATAGTTTGGAAGTTAGGAGGAGGTGAGGGATTACCAAAACTGTTGTCCAGAGGGCTGAGGAAGGGTTGTTGAAGTGGTTCGGACATGTAGAGAGAATGGAGCGAAACAGAATGACTTCAAGAGTGTATCAGTCTGTAGTGGAAGGAAGGTGGGGTAGGGGTCGGCCTAGGAAAGGTTGGAGGGAGGGGGTAAAGGATGTTTTGTGTGCGAGGGGCTTGGACTTCCAGCAGGCATGCGTGAGCGTGTTTGATAGGAGTAAATGGAGACAAATGATTTTTAATACTTGACGTGCTGTTGGAGTGTGAGCAAAGTAACATTTATGAAGGGATTCAGGGAAACCGGCAGGCCGGACTTGAGTCCTGGAGATGGGATGTACAGTGCCTGCACTCTGAAGGAGGGGTGTTAATGTTGCAGTTTAAAAACTGTAGTGTAAAGCACCCTTCTGGCAAGACAGTGATGGAGTGAATGATAGTGAAAGTTTTTCTTTTTCGAGCCACCCTGCCTTGGTGGGAATCGGCCAGTGTGTTAATAAAAAAAAAAAAAAAAACTTCTAAACTGTTGTATTCTGGGCACTTCTGCAAAAAACAATGATTATGTGTGAGGTGAAAGTGTTGAATGATGATGAAAGTATTTTCTTTTTGGGGATTTTTTCTTTCTTTTTGGGCCACCCTGCCTCGGTGGGAGAAGGCCGACTTGTTCAAAAGAAAAAAAAAATGTATATCTTAAAAAATTGAGAAATTAAAAATTATTTACTGAAATAACTCCAAGAAGAAATCATTTAAGTGAGGGCAGAGATACAAATAGAGAAAAAAAGCATTTTTCAGAATATTATTATGAATCTTTTACAAGGAAGATTTATAAGAATCACTGTGTGTTTAAGAAAGCATATTCCTATGTAATACACACTACCAGTAATGGAAGATTTTGATCATTTTGCTAAAAACTATTTAACGTAGCAAAATAATGCAGTAAATATCAACTGATACAGGAAAACAGTTACAGAAGCCTGAGAATAAGAAGTCAACTAACCACTTGTCCAGCTTGTTCTTGTAGAGAGCTATCGGTGGAGAGACTTAAAGTAGACTCCATCATGCGTTTCTTGCGCTCAGCAGTAGATATTTCTGCTAGCAGCGCTCGGCCATCAATCACAGCTTGATAAACTCGCAAACACTCACCATCAGAGGCAACAAAGCAAGCAGAAGGAGAGTTGGACACACTTCCAAGGGTGGTACTGTAAATATTAATAAATCTCTAAGCTACTAAGATATTTTCTTCGGTACAATATTCTTAACCAATAAGTACTCAATCAGTAGTCAATCTACAAAAAGTGCTTTAAATAAGTACAGTAGAACCCTGGTTTTCGTTCAGTCCGGTTATCGTGCAATTCACTTTTTGACCACTTTTTTCAGCGAAATTTTCCCCATTTTCATACACCTGGTCGGAAATCGTCCATACCAGACGCAGCCACCTGCCCATGGGACACGGCCACTCATACGTTCATGACTCAGTCTGCCTTCATTACTCGTAAAGGGTGGTAGTGGTTGTGATGGTGGTAGTGTTCGTGGTAGAGAGTGGTAGTGCTGGTGGCAGAGGGTGGTAGTGAGGGTGGTAGAGGTTGGCAGTGAGGGTGGTAGAGGTTGGCAGTGAGGGTGGTAAAGGTTGGCAGTGAGGGTGGTAGAGGGTGGAAGTGGTTGTGATGGTGGTAGTGATTGGGGTAGAGGGTGGTAATGGTTGTGATGGTGGTAGTGATTGGGGTAGAGGGTGGTAGTGGTTGTGATGGTGGTAAAGGGTGGTAATGATGGTGGTAGAGATAACCTCTCCTCCCTCTCCCCTCCTTGCTGTCTTCCATACACCAACAAGAGTCTTCAATAAAGGTAAAAGTTATTTAAATGTTCATTTATCCTTTTCACTAGTGCTTTATATTTATTTCTCATTGTCTTCTGTATGTAAAACTATAGTTATTCTCTATAAAATGTATTTTTTGTTAATATTTCTGGGTGTCTGGAATGGATTAATTGGATTTACATTATTTCTTATGGGAAATATTACTTTAGTTTTCGTACAAATTGGTTTTCAGCCAACCTTCTGGAACGAATTAAAGATGAAAACCGGGGTTCCACTGTACATTACAACCAGTAATTACAAATACATTTGAGACCCATTACTTTGACAGTTTTTTTTTTTTTTTTTTTTTTTTTTCAACAAGTCGGTCGTCTCCCACCGAGGCAGGGTGACCCAAAAAAAGAAAGAAAATCCCCAAAAAGAAAATACAGTAGACCCCCGCTTAACGATCACCTCCAAATGCGACCAATTATGTAAGTGTATTTATGTAAGTGCGTTTGTACGTGTATGTTTGGGGGTCTGAAATGGACTAATCTACTTCACAATATTCCTTATGGGAAAAAATTCGGTCAGTACTGGCACCTGAACATACTACTGGAATGAAAAAAGTTCGTTAACCGGGGGTCCACTGTACTTTCATCATCATTCAACACTTTCACCACACTCACACACTATCACTGCTTTTGCAGAGGTGCTCAGAATATAACAGTTTAGAAGCATATACGTATAGAGATACACAACATATCCCTCCAAACTGCCAATATCCCAAACCCCTCCTTTAAAGTGCAGGCATTGTACTTCCCATTTCCAGGACTCAAGTCAGTTACTTAATAAAAATTGATATAGTATGAGTGAGTTATGCAATGGTTATGTGAAAAATCTTGAAAATGTTAACATTACCCATTTGTACCAGAAGAATATAACTTACTTTTTTGTGAAAAGACACACTTTCAAAACACCATACCACATGCTACAATTAATAATGCATTAAATTTATAAGCACCAAGCAGATAATCATTTTGTGTGTTAGTTTTAAGATAGTAACCTTACTAAAGCTCCTAGCAGTACAGTAGCCACAGTACCTTGGTAGGAGTGTGGGAATCCAGGCAGCATTGGAAAAGGCCGACACTTGTGGCGAGTTAATTCGTGCCAATTCGGTAACGCCACCTGATTTGCTTAATGGTCCTACGGCATCAACACGCCACAATATTAACTCGCTGCACCAGTCTTTGTAAGTTGAATCCTACGACATCAAAGTATATAGCAGAAAAAGTTAGTTATGCCTTTGATAAATGAAGAACTATTAAACAGTACATTAGGCAATGCTCCCATCTTATAAACAATGTCTTGTTGAATAATTTCAATGATAACCCATTACTTTGAATGCCTTTTTCTGAGAGCACAACCCTCATCCAGAGCAATGGAAAAACAAGACTATAAGCTAAAAATCAACTAAATTTGCTCTTCAATGTGAGTTGCATTATAGTACTGTATATGGCACGTAGTCACATCACAAAATCATTCAATGTAAAGTACAATATTTCTTTGGAATTAGAATTTAATTACCTGAATACATATTAAAGGAGTTTCGTCAGTACTAGGTGGATTACCAGGAGAAATTTCTCGCTTGTTGTGGTGAGAAGTAGAGAGAAGTAGTGGCAAGACTGGGTGACATTTTATATCATTCAGTTGGAAGCGATGACCACACACTCGTGTAAAGTGAGATATATTAAGGACCTGCAACAAAGTTTACAATTTATTTCCACTCCAACAAACACTGGAATTAAATTCATGAAAAAACAAATTAAACAGTAAATAAGAGACGAATTAATACTACAACTGCACATTAAGCTTACACAATTAAATTTTTTTAAACTCAATGACTCTCCTGCCAAGGCAGGGTGACCTAAATAAGCAAACACCTTCACCAACATCCACTCCACCATTTTTCCAGTGTACTGACATCACAATCAGAGTTCCCTCCAATTGCAACATCCTCTTCCATCAGTGCTGGCACTGCCCCTCCCACCTCCAGGACTCGAGTCTAAGTATTAATTACTGTAGCTGGGACACCATGAGCATAGTTTCACTCCTGTAGCTACAAATATATACTAACAAATTAAGTTTTATTGCTAATCTAGGGTCCAAGATTATGTCTGTTAACTTTGCCAAACAAATTACTAATGATCATTACATTATCTCATTACAATATCTCCCAGATACCACATTTCAGATGGAATGATGATGAAAGTGTTTCTTCTTTTTGGACCATCCTACCTCAGTGGGAAACGACCAATGTGTTAAAACAAATAAAATGAACATTGAGTATGGTGTGGCACTGTGAACAATGTGTGCCTTGCTCAGTCCGTCACACTAACTTTACTAACTGAGCACTGCATTAAGCCTCCACTTATTCTGGCCATTAACTGCATGGCTGACTACATGACCACTTCTTACTCCTTGGCTAAAGGGGCCTTCATATCTATTATAATAATGATGGGGAACCACTAAACTCAAAAGTTATACAGTGCCTGCGGAGAGGAAGGGTAGTTCAAATTCCTTGGATCAAGAGCCCTTCACAAGCTTCAGAAGACCCCATTAAGAGAAAGATCTTGGTAGGTCAGTGACTTTCTCTTCCCAATAAGGATAATACATTCACAGGAATTTTGTTTCCTGGCTTTTATAAGAGGAATCAAACCTTACTCCACATTCTGTATGATGAGCACATGATGGCAGACTTGATAGAAAACATTCACTGGTATTATCATAATTTAGCAAACAAAGCATCACAAGCTACATTTAACCCTTTCAGGGTCCGTGCCATAGATCTACGGCTTTATGTTCAGGGTCCAAACAGTAGATCTACGCCATGAGCTCAGCTCACTCTGATAAGCTGTGAGCGGTAAATTTGGGCCTAGATATGAGAAAATACATATATGTGGTATGTGTGCACCACATAAAACAAATCCTGCAGCACACAGTGTATAATGAGAGAAAAAACCGAGACCGTGACTTTCAATTAAAACAGCGACTTTGCAGTGTTGTTTCGTATGTTTTTAATAGTTGTATTTGCGATTTCTTGGTCTCATTTGATAGAATGGAAGACATATTACAGAAATAGAGATGATTTTGATTGGTTTTAGCACTGAAAATGGCTTGAAACTGAGCTCAAAGTAAAGGAAATGTTAAATTTTTGCCGATGTTCAAGAGTAAACAAACGACCTCACACGTCTAATACACATCAGCTGGTGGGTCTAATATACATTCACAAATATGGTGATGATATTTATACAATTATTACAATATTGCATAACAGTAAATCTTCTATTTTTTGGTTTGAATAAAAATTCATTATGTGAATAAAAAATCAAAATTGAATTCATTTGTAAAGCCTCAAAGCATAACTAATGAACAGAGGAAATGTTAGTTTAGTGCCAGGAATACCTACATTGTTTATTCTGGACCCTATTTTGAAATTGGAATATTTTGAACTTTGTGTTAAATTGGCCAAATTACCAATTTCCGATCACTATTTTGTAGTTGAAATAGCTGACTTGACGATTTCTTATGCTCAATCGATAGAATAGAAGTAATACTAGTGAAATAGCTAAGAATTTGGTCGACTGGAATAATGTAATTGGCCTAAAATGGGAGTCAAAGTCGGCAAAATTGCCGATTCATAAATATCGCTGACACATCAAAATTCGCGAGAGCATAATTTCGACAATTTTCTATCAAATTTTGTATTTTTTGTTTTATTACCTTCAGAAGAAGATTCTCTACCATTTCATAAGAAAAAATAGCAAAAATTGTTTTTTGAAAATTCTTGGACCCTGGTGCGCACTTTGAAATTTGGCCTCTGGACCCTGAAAGGGTTAATTCTAACTTAAGCTTTAAGAAGCACAGCTCTGCTGCTGTACCTACAGAAAGGAACAGTACTCAAATACAGCATGCGAATTACATCATTAATCTTCTTCATTATAATTTTTTTTTTTTTGAGAGGCACAAAAGTAACCAAATACAACAACAGAAATTTGGAGGACAGGGCAGTGTATTCCAGGTTCAGGTAGTCAACTGTGACTAGGTACATTACTGCATTGACAATTTTTTTTTTTTTTTTTAAGATTTTCTTTATCACTAATTACTCTATTAATAAAAAATAAAGCAGCAAATCCAAATAAACCAGCTATGAAGAATACCTTATTTAGCAAGTGTTGATGGGAGTGTTGTTGTTAGGCCAATCCTGAAGACCTGGTTAACATACAAACTGATAATGCTACACTTAACAACTGGATTTTCCTTATAAGAAATGTACATTGTTAACCTATTATTTAACAAATGCACTTTTATAAGAGATGTCATCTATCCTTACACACCTGGGTAAACCTTGATCCTTCAGCTACAGTGAGATGCCAGAGATTGAGAGAGCCATTACTGTGTTTTGTTGTCATGGAGATGATGGGTGAGGGGTTACTTGCACCACTCAGAACATCGCGCTCTTCATTACTTGCCAGTGTTAAGTTACTCTTACTCTTATTCTTCCCTCCACGACTGACAGAGAAAAATAAATTATAGAATATAAAGAGTCAGTAATTAATGGTATCATACCACCAATCCATTATTATTAATAATATTATTCATAATAATAATCATAATAATTGAGGGTAAAGCACTAAAACAGTAATGATCATAGAGCATCTAGGAAACAGAAGGTCATCAGGTTTGATCCAGAAGGAAAAGTGGGTTTAATTCCTTGAATTATGAGACTTTCATCATCATTCACACACAATCACTGTCTTTGCAAAGGCTCACAGATACAACAGTTCAGATGTCACTCTAAATAGCAAACATCTCAAACCCTTTCAAAGTGGGGCCAGCTGTACTACTCACTCACTAACTTCTTACTCACTCAGTAATAAGCTCACATGTAATAAGCTCAGCTCACTCAGTCAACCAAACTCATAGTCTGGTGTATTGAGAGAGCTGGAATTGGCAGAAAATAGGGCTCAAAGTGGGTGAAATCGCTGATATGTAAATACTGCTAACTTTGCAAGATCATAATTCTGTAAGTTTTCCATCAAATTTCATACTTTTGGTTTCATTACATCGTGAAAAAGATTCTCTATCATTTCATAAAATAGCTTTTTTTTTTTTAAATTCTTCAACCCTGAGAGCAAGTTTCAAATCAGGAGTCTTGACCCCTCAGAGGGTTAAAGTGCAGGCACTGTACTTCCCACCTCAGGGTGACTAATTGGTATAATTCAAGAACATATCAAACTCTGAAAAACTGCTACAATGTTACAATGATTTTAAGATAATCTAATTAATCTTACATTTTTAATAACACTTTTAAGATAACCCCAATTTCTTACTAATCTAAAAAACTTTAATATGGCATACAAAATAGTACTTTATTAAATTTAAAGGCACTTACAGTTCCTCTTCATGTGCGAGTTCCAATTTAAGTAACTGCTTGAGGAATGATGGAGTTGTGCCATTGTAGATTGCCAGATTTGGTGACATAGTCATTGCATCTCCAAGAGGAAGAGCATTAGGAATCCTTGCACTGAATGAGACTTGTGCTTGACGGAAAGAGCCTGGATAGTCATCAAGGAAGTCCACAATCCATACCAGAAGTGATCCGTCCACAGGATGAATGGAAAAAAGGACATCGGATGTTTGGTGCCAGTCCCGGAGTAATATCTCAATGCGGCGGTCCAGGGCATCTCCAAGAGCTGAAGTAGTTGCAGTAGTGACATCAGTTGCAATGGAAGTAGAAGAGGTAGCAGCACTCAGTGGCTGATGAGAACGAGCTGATGCAGAGTGTTGGCTCACAGGATCATCGTCATCGATACTACGAGTTCGACTCGTCATGTGGGAAGGAGTGCGTGACCCCAGACGCACGTTAGCAGTTGCTCGTAGCCGAGGATCCTCAGGATCACTGATTTCAGAGTGGCGATCGTGATCCAATGATGCAGTTTCTTTTTCCATGGCACGTCGACTTATCTGTTAGAGAACGAAATATTAAAATATTATCGGCAGATTCTATAGATACTATGTCTCCTCTATTATTATATACAAAGTATACAGTATTACAGAGCATATGACAGGTATAAACACTTTTGGTAAATGGCCTTTCACACAACATTCTTAAAATTTTATTTAGGATATTTTACTTGCCAGGCTTAATAAAGTTCCTGGCAAGGAAACTGTAGTCTAAATACAATAAAATTCAGAATATTTAGTGAAGGGATTCAGGGAAACCGGTTATTTTCATATAGTCGGACTTGAGTCCTGGAAATGGGAAGTACAATGCTTGCACTTTAAAGGAGGGGTTTGGGATATTGGCAGTTTGGAGGGATATGTTGTGTATCTTTATACGTATATGCTTCTAAACTGTTGTATTCTGAGCACCTCTGCAAAAACAGTGATTATGTGTGAGTGAGGTGAAAGTGTTGAATGATGAAAGTATTTTCTTTTTGGGGATTTTTTCTTTTTTGGGTCACCCTGCCTCGGTGGGAGACGGCCGACTTGTTGGAAAAAAAAAAAAAAAAACGTATAGTATTACTGTATACTTCACCAATATACATTATACGCTGATTGATATCAACCCTGCAGAAATACGTACATTACTATCCTCTCGTGACACTGGTTAAAAAAATTGCACTCAAAACCATAGTTTACACTTTCTATCTTTTATATATAAGAGCATGACATCAGAATAATCATAATAACTGCCACCTATATTCATTAACCTTTTCACAGTCCAGACCCATAAAATTAATAATTCTCTCAGTGTCCCCTTTAAAAAAAAATACTGAAATGGTAGAGAATCTTATTCTGAAGGCAATAACACTAAAATACGAAATCTGATGGAAAAGTTACAGAATTACGCAAGTGCAAAGTTAGCAGTCCAAGCAGTATTTATGCATTGTCAATTTCACCCACTTTGAGTCAGTTGCAATGCTCCATTTGATAAAATTTTAGCCATTTCACTACTATGCTTTCCATTTTATCAATTAAGCATAAGAAGCTGCTAATTCAATCATCAGAACTACCTGCTCTACTTCTCGTTAGTGTGACTTTGTAAATGGTCCAAGTCGGACCGAAACATCGTCGTAAACTCCTCTCTTCTATATGTGGGTTATTTGTGTACCTTATAAAGTGCACAGAAAGCACCTCAAAGTCACTATTTTAAACCAAACAAAAAGTCAGAGTTTTCTTTTCCCCATCATGCACCATGAAGGGCAGGATTTTTTTTTATATTGTGCACACTCACCACACAGACCCATTCTCTCATATCTAGACCAAAATTTACTGCTCACAGCTCATCTGAGGGAGCTGTGCTCACAACATACAACTACGTGAGGGACCCTGGCATCAATAACATAGCTCTACATTATGGCCACTGAAAGGGGTTAAAGCCTGAACTTATACCTAAGTGGGAAGTAAAGTGCCTGTATTCTGAAGGAGGGATGGAGGTAGGAAGTACAGCACCTGCACTTTGAAGGAGGGGTAAGGATATAGCAGTTTAGAGGGGCATCTGAGCTGTAGTGTTGGTATGCCTCTGGCAAGATGGTGACTGAGTGATGGCAAAAATGTTTCTTTGTTTTGAGGTCACTCTACAGGTGCTCCTTGACTTAAAATGGAGTTACGTTCTGATGAACCCACTGTAAGTTGAAAATATCATAAGTCGAATATGAATATGATAAATAAATAAGTAAATAAATGACTATTGTCACTGAATAAGTAAATAAACAAATAATTCTGTAACTAAATAACAGTAAATAATTTAATAAAAGTTTATCCTATCAATAAATGTACAGTAGCTTCATTGCTAGTGCATTCAGCTCACACAATGAGGTTCCGGGATCGATTCCCCAGTACGGCTGAAAAACATTAGGATGTTTCCATGAGACACCTGCTGTTCCTGCTCACCCATCAGTAAAGTAGGTACCTGGGTGTTAGTCGACTGGTGTGGGTCATATCCTGGGACCAAAATGCTCTTCTTAACAAGGGGCTTTCTATATAGTAGTATGTCACTGATGTCAGCTAGGCCTGTATACCTTGCACATGTACTTGTAGAAATAAAGATATTATTATTGTTATTACTGTACAGTGCTTTACGATGGTGCTATCGCACTGTTGTAAAGTCAAAATGCGGTAAGTCAAACCATCGTAAAGCAAGGAGCATCTGTACTTCAGTGGGAAACAGCAAGTGTGTTAAGAATAATAATATTAATGCACCAATTTCCACTAGAACACCCTATGTAATACCTTATTTATGAAATTTTTGCTGTTATCATAGTCTAGTTCTCAACTTTCTACTGTCAAAAACAACAACAACAAAAAAAAGTGTAAAAATATAGAAGGAAATACAGTACCTCCAAAAGAATGTTTTCTGCTTCTGAAGTGAAGTGCATTTCCTTGTTGTTGAGCCAGTGGATTACAAAACTTTGTTCTGCCTCTCCTGTGGTGGTCACACCACTGATGCTTGGTACCAGAGGAATGTCAGTTTCTGCATTGATTGAAGCTGCCAAGTGGAACTGGAAACCTATCAAGAATAAAAGTCAACACTGTAGCTGCAACAATTCTCACAATGATCCACTCTTTCTAGAGGGCACAATACATGATGGTTGTTTACTGGACCAAATATTAAGTTGAGGCTAGACAGAAGTCCAGGGTCAACATAAATGTCATCTATGGTTTCCTCTAGAAAGTGTAGCTTATTTGTCAATGACAAACCTATGTCATACACATGACATATTTTAACAAAGACTTAACTCTTTCATTATATACAATATTAAAAAATATATACAGTAAATATATACAGCAATTTTAGGTAGTAGGTTGGTAGACAGCAACTGCCCAGGGAGGTACTACCGTCCTGCCAAGTGAGTGTAAAACGAAAGCCTGTAATTGTTTTACATGATGGTAGGATTGCTGGTGTCCTTTTTTCTGTCTCATGAACATGCAAGATTTCAGGTATGTCTTGCTACTTCTACTTACACTTAGGTCACACTACACATACATGTACAAGCATATATATACACACACACCCCTCTGGGTTTTCTTCTATTTTCTTTCTAGTTCTTATTCTTGTTTATTTCCTCTTATCTCCATGGGGATGTGGAACAGAATTCTTCCTCCGTAAGCCATGCGTGTTGTAAGAGGCGACTAAAATGCCGGGAGTAAGGGGGCTAGTAACCTCTTCTCCTGTATATATTACTAAATGTAAAAGGAGAAACTTTCGTTTTTCCTTTTGGGCCACCCCGCCTCGGTGGGATACAGCTGGTGTGTTGAAAGAAAAAGAAATATACAGCAATATTTTTCATTTATATATTTTTTTTTTCAATACACCAGCTGTCTCCCACTGAAGCAGGGTGACCCAAAAAAGAAGGAAACACTTTCACAATCATTCACACAATATCACCGTCTTTGCAGAGGCACCCAGATATGACAGTTTAGATGTCACTCCTTTAGAGTGCAGGCATTGTACATCCCACCTCCAAACTCAAATCCCACTAACTGGTTTCCCTGAATCCCTTCATAAAATAATACCCTGCTCACATTACAACAGCTCGTCAGGTCCCAAAAACCATTTGTCTCCATTCACTCCTATCTAACAAGCTCACAAATGCCTGCTGCTTGTCCAGGCCCCTTGCACACAAAGTCTCCTTCCCCCCACTCTCCAACCTTTCCTAGGGTGACCCCTACCCTGTTTTTCCTCTAATACAGATTTATAAACCCTCCAAGTCATCCTATTTTGCTCCATCCCTTCTAGATATTCAAACCACCTCAATAACCCCTCCTCAGTTCTATGGGTAATGATATAATCTTGTAGAAATTTTAGAAACGTAACCATGAAATGTGTTTGCATGTACAAAATTATGGATTATGTTGGCTCAGTTATAACTTACTGCATTTTATGGCATCAAAGACACTATTTTTTTCCAAAAATAAGTCTCAAAATTTACCCAAAATCTTGGAGGCTGAAGTACCGTTAATATTTTTTTTTTTCCAAAATTTAGCCAATCAGAATTGGGGGGGTCACCCTAGACACCAGAGCATCCTGTTCACCGTAAATTACGGTATATGTACTATGAAATATGTATTCATAATTTTTATGTTATAATGTACAAATTTTTATACATTACTTATTTTTCTTTACATTTATTTTCGTTATAATCCATGATTCAAATTTTTTACAATTTCATTTTCCAGCTCTCATTCCTGTAAATGAACCGAGACTTCCCGTTTGCATTACATGTTCAGTGATTACTAGTAATTCCTGGTTTAAGGTCCTCAGTTAAAACCCACAATAATAATTATTTTAAAATTTTACTTAAACCCTTATAGTGTCCATCTTGTACTTGTTCGTCAGTGCTCTCTGTACCCATGACGTACTAATATGCATGGGAGCCCTCAAACTGCTGCGAGTGGAAAAGTTTGGCCTAGACATTGGGAGACTGGGTCTGTGCAATGAGTGTGCATAGTATAAAGAAAAAACCTGCCAGGTGTAGTGCACAATGGGAACAGCTAACCTGTGCACTGGGTTGAAACAGCAAATTTGGGGCATTTTTTAGGATGGTTTTTGTGGTTTAACTGGCTGTTTCCTAGTGCTAATAGATAGAATGGAAGACATACTAGTGATATGGAGATTCTAGTCAATTTAAGACCATAAGTAGCTTGCAACAAGCAAAATGGAGGAAATGGTCAATTTGTGGCTGTTTTCCCAGGAAAAGGTAGAGCCCAAGTCTGTTTTATGGATTTTTACTAGAGATGGTATAAACCATGGTCAAGCATTTTTGGTTATGGTTTATTAACCAAGAAATAGAGAACAATGTCAATTTCTTGTGTATGTAATGGATTCAAAGTGGAAGGCAAGTGTTACAATACATAGGAGAGGTCTGTGAACATAATAAACAGACAGAAAATTGGTTTGGTGATTGGAATGCCTACAGTGTTCATTTTGGACTGTTTTAAATTACCATTTGTTGAAAATAGTTTAAAATAAACTAAATTTCTGAAAGAGCCAAGAATTGTTTTGGTTTGAACACAGGAATTGGTCTAAAATAGGTCTCAGAGTGGGCAAAATCGCTATTGTTTAAAGTGCTTCCTGACCATCAGTTCATGCCTGTGTAATTCTGCAAATTTTACATAAAATTTTGCATTTTTTGGTGTCACTACATATAGAAAAAGATTCTCTACCATTTTAGAAGATTATTTCTTTTTTTTTAACTTATGAACACAGGAGGAGTTTTCATTTTGAGTTGTGTGGACAGTTTAGGGTTAATACCTAATAAGAATTCATGTACATTTCAGAGTCAATCAGTAAATTTTTTTTATTGAAGTTTTCACTCTCTATCACACCAATCTATGATCAACACCAACACATTTATTAGGCACAATTCATCTGGAAAGATATGGCTCCTACTGGACAATATAAAATACCGTATTTTTTATTATTATTATTATTAACACACTGGCTGTTTCCCACCAAGGCCGGGAGGCCCAAAAAACAAAAACTTTCATCATTCACTCCATCACTGTCTTGCCAGAGGGGTGCTTTACACTACAGTTATAAAACTGCAACATTAACACCACTCCTTCAGAGTGCAGACACTGTACTTCCCATCTCCAGGACTCAAGTCCGGCCTGCCGGTTTCCCTGAACCCCTTCATAAATATTACCCTGCTCATACTCCAACAGCATGTCAAGTCCTAAAAACCATTTGTCTCCATTTTCTCCTATCTAACACGCTCACACATGCTTGCTGGAAGTCGAAGCCCCTCGCACACAAAACCTCCTTTACCCCCACCCTCCAACCTTTCCTAGGCCAACCTCTACCCCACCTTCCCTCCACTACAGATTTATACACTAAGTCATTCTATTTTGTTCCTTCCTCTCTACATGTCCGAACCACCTCAACCACCTCTCCTCAGCCCTCTGGATAATAGTTTTGGTAATCCCGCACCTCCTCCTAATTTCCAAACAGACTTATTCCCCTATAATTTTTGCATTCATTCTGTCCCCTTTGCCTTTATACAAAGGAACTATGCATGCTCTCTGCCAATCCCTAGGTGCCTTACCCTCTTCCATATATTTATTAAATACAGTACATACTTTAACCCTTTGAGGGTCAAGAGGCCCTCTCCCAAACTCGTTCTCAGGGTCAAAAATTTTTCGAAAAAATAATAAATTATTTTTTCTTACAAAATGATAGAGAATCTTTTTCCTATCATAATGACACCAAAAGTATGAAATATGGTGGAAAACTTACAGAATTATGCTCTCGCGAAGTTAGCCCTATTTTCGGCCAATTCCAATGTTGCAGTTGACTAAAATCATAGCTATTTCCTTAGAACTCCATTTGTTCTACTGACTGAGTACAAGAATCTGCCCATTTACCAATTTCAACTACCCAATAAAGTGGTCAGAAATTGGCAATTTCATACAAATTTCAAAAGATGCCAATTTTGAAATAGGGTCCAGAATAAACAAGACAGACATTCATGGCACTAAAATAACATTTCATCTGTTCATTGGTCATGTCTCTAGGCCTCTCTTACATTACTTTTGCTTTGCATTTTGAATTTTTATTCTTACAGAAAATAGAAGATTTTCTGTTAGGTATACTACTACATCATTATAAAATGATATAAATTATATCAGTGCACTTGTGAAAGAATATTAGACTCACCAGTTGAAGTGTATTGGACGCGTGGCTTATTTGTTTACTCAAACATCGGCAAAAATTGATCATTTCCGCTACTTTGAGCTCAATTTCAAGGTACTTGTCATCGTGAAACCAATCAAAATCATCTCTAGTTCTGCAATATATCTTCCATTCTATCAAGTGAGACCAAGGAAACGAGAATACAACCATAAATACCATACGAAAATACACTAGACAGTCGCTGTTTTAAACCAAAAACACAGTCAAAGTTTTTTTTTCTCATTATGCACAGCATGCTTCAGGATTTTTTTTTTTACTGTACACACTGACCACACAGACCCATTCTTTCATATGTAGGCCTGCCATCTTTCTTCCACTAGATGTGAAGGCGCTAGAATTTAGGCGTACAAGTACGTGACCGACCCTGGCTGCAATGACGTACTTGTACGTGTCCGACCCTCGAAGGGTTAAATATATTTTTTTCAGAAACCACTTTTTAAAATATAAATTCATTAAATGTCAGCTCATGTTCTGCAAGGCTTCATTATATTAATTATTATCCTAATCACTATTATTATTACCTAGTATGGGCCAGTATGCCTCTCACAGTGCATTACTCAGCTCCTTTACAACGGACCTCATACTCTGGATGCACTATACAAGCTGTAATTTTTCTCATTGAATTATGTACTTTAAAAATCCACTCATGGGTGAAACTTTGTACCAACAGACTTCACTGCATTGTCTAGTTATCACTATAATTATATTAATAAAGAAGCACCAAACCTGTTAGGATCATGCAGTACCTGGGGAATGGGACTGGTAGGAATAATCAGGTTTAAACAGATCAAGAGCCCTTCACTAGCATCAAGGCTGTTCTCCCCTCCTCTCACAATCCTTGAAGGGCACAAAGCTTAAGAGACTGACACCTCTATTATTCTTTTTATTCTCAATATATTTCAATGAATTTTTTGGGGGAGGGCTTGGAAGTAAGATTAGCTTAAATACTCTTGAAACGATACTTCCCTCTCATTTGCAATACCTATATCATTTACAATACCTACATCATTTACAGTACCTACATCAAGACACTTCTGAAATACTCAACTTAACTGGAATAGTTTAATGTTGAACCAGAGAATAGTTCGACATTGGGTCACAATGGTTTGATGCTAGGTCACATGACCTTCTAAACTCACACTATCTATATTTACATCTGAAATTCACATGAACTATATTTTCATTGTCAGTCTCACTATAACCCGATATATTTCCAAATTCTATCTGCCTATTTAAAATTCTGATGCCTCATTTCCTCCAGGAACCTTCCATTGAGGAGTTAGCCATGACATTAAAAAGCCAGAAAGCAACTTTATCTTAGCATGCTTTTCTTGCCTGGTACACTCCCCAGATGCTCGTGTGGGAACTCTCCTGTATGTATTCCTCCTTCATTCTCTCCTAGGATGCTGCTTCTCTGCTCACCACACATGTCTCCTGTAACTTTCCTCCTGTAAATTCTCCTTGCAATATTATCATCTATCATCCTCCATGTACAAGAAAACCTCCATGAAATGTTTTTTACCTTCATGTCACCAATTTTCTCTGCCAACCTACACATATATAATTGTACATTCCTTCCTATATTCTACATTCCATATATAATTTTTAAACAAAATGAATTCTAGATTTGACAACGTATTTACAAAATATCATAGATTAACCCGTAAAATGAGTTTTTTTGCCTTCTTTTATGACAAAAAAATGTGAGACGTAATAATGAAATCTTATAAAAAATAAAAAGTGTAGCATTGTATAAAGTACAGAACTTTCAATCCCTTACTAACTCATCATTATTATTATCGAGCATGCTCGAGAAAGCTGAAATAAGTCACCAAGCGTCAGTCAAGCTATGTCAGAGTACGTGCCTAAGTTTATTAATTATACAGTACAGTGGACCCCCGCTTAACAATCACCTCCCAATGCGACCAATTATGTAAGTGTATTTATGTAAGTGCATTTGTACGTGTATGTTTGGGGGTCTGAAATGGACTAATCTACTTCACAATATTCCTTATGGGAACAAATTCGGCAAGTACTGGCACCTGAACATACTTCTGGAATGAAAAAATATCGTTAACCGGGGGTCCACTTTATATATATTTATAATCTGAATTGTGAAGTCAGCACACTTTTGGAAAGAAAACAACTGGATAAATGATGGCAACTATATTTCTGTTTTGGGTAGGAGAGGGATAGGGTCATTCTGCCTTGATGGGAGATAACTGGTAAGGGAAGAAACAAAAATTATCATTTTTGAAATCTAATGGATCTATTTGGAACAGTCAAGGAAATATTGTAGTGAACAAGTATACAAGTGTGTTAGACGGCAGCAGCATAACATGACGAATAAATTGCCAGTCTTTATTACACTTCTCATTTCCACAAAGATAGTGATGGAAAGGAGGAAACCACCATCATCACTTAATTAATAGCTGTCTTGCCAGAAGTGTATGAATATCTCAAGTCATAATGAGTAAAATATAGATATGCATGTAAATGCAAAAACTGGAAATTAACAGAACCATGTGAGAGTAGTTTGTTAGGAGGGAATTAACAACTGAAAAATTACTCTGATTATTTATGTGGAAATAATTCCAAACACTGTTTATAAAAAAATAAAACAGTACTGTGGATGTTGGGTAGTACTGGATTAAGTTCAGTATCAGAGCTACTAGCCTTGGAAGCTAATGTCAGAGATACTAGCCTTGGAAGCTAATGTCAGATACTAACTCTGGAAGCTAATGTCAGAGATACTAGCCTTGGAAGCTAATGTCAGAGATACTAGCCTTGGAAGCTAATGTCAGAGATACTAGCCTTGGAAGCTAATGTCAGTGATGCTAACACTGGAAGCTAATGTCAGAGATGCTAACACTGGAAGCTAATGTCAGAGATGCTAACACTGGAAGCTAATGTCAGAGATGCTAACACTGGAAGCTAATGTCAGAGATGCTAACACTGGAAGCTAATGTCAGTGATACTAACACTGGAAGCTAATGTCAGTGATACTAACACTGGAAGCTAATGTCAGTGATACTAACACTGGAAGCTAGTGTCAGAGATACTAACCCTGGAAGCTAGTGTCAGAGCTACTAACCCTAGAAGCTAGTGTCAGAGCTACTAACCCTGGAAGCTAGTGTCAGAGCTACTAACCCTGGAAGCTAGTGTCAGAGCTACTAACCCTGGAAGCTAGTGTCAGAGCTACTAACCCTGGAAGCTAGTGTCAGAGCTATTAATCCTGGAAGCTAGTGTCATGCTACTAACCCTGGAAGCTAGTGTCATGATACTAACCCTGGAAGCTAGTGTCACGCTACTAACCCTGGAAGCTAGTGTCACGCTACTAACCCTGGAAGCTAGTGTGGAAGATAATAAGCTAATGCATTTCTATACCTTTTTCTTTACAGAAATTATGAAAGCTAGAAAATATATTATTGTACTATAATATTCTCTGAATTATAAAATAATGCAAAACTACAATGCCATTCCACTCACAATAGTGTAGCAATGCTGAAACAAGGAGCCAGTATGGTGTCTACTGTAATATACACAGGTTACTGTATTCAAAGGTTCAGGTCTACAGTATTTAAACAATACTAGTTCTTGCATCAAAATGTGTCTATTCTATAGGCTAAATCTAAATTTAATACTTTGTCACAATCAAAAAAGAGAATGAAGATAAATACTTTTGCTAGTACTAACATGCAAAAATGCGAAGCCCACAGAGAAATAATAAGTGACAGTCTAATAAAAAGATAAATGATATAAAAGTAGTACAGTGGACCCCCACATAACGATCACCTCCGAATGCAACCAATTATGTAAGTGTATTTATGTAAGTGCGTTTGTACGTGTATGTTTGGGGGTCTGAAATGGACTAATCTACTTCACAATATTCCTTATGTGAACAAATTCGGTCAGTACTGGTACCTGAACATACTTCTGGAGTGAAAAAATATCGTTAACCGGGGGTCCACTGTAATTTAATGAGTACAGTGGACCCCCGCATACCGTACACATCGCATACCATACAATCCGCATACCGCTCGCTTTGATCGCAAAAATTTTGCCTCGCATACCGCCCAAAAACCCGCTCACCACTCTTCCTCCGAGACGCGTCCAATGTGCGCCCTCAGCCAGCCTCACATGTTCCGCCGGTGGCATTGTTTACCAGCCAGCCTCCACGGTAACATCCAAGCATACAATCGGAATATTTCGTATTATTACAGTGTTTTCGGTGCTTTATCTGGAAAATAAGTGACCATGGGCCCCAAGAAAGCTTCTAGTGCCAACCCTACAGGAATAAGGGTGAGAATTCCTATAGAGATGAAGAAAGAGATCATTGATAAGTATGAAAGTGGAGTGCGTGTCGCCGACCTGGTCAGGTTGTACAAGAAACCCAAATCAACCATCTCTACTATTGTGGGCAACAGAAAGGCAATCAAGGAAGCTGTTCTTGCCAAAGGTTTAACTGTTGTTTTCGAAACAGAGATCGCAAGTGATGGAAGATGTTGAGAGACTCTTATTGGTGTGGATAAATGAAAAACAGCTAGCAGGAGATAGCGTCTCTCAAGCGATCATAAGCGAAAAGGCTAGGAAGTTGCATGAGGATTTAATTAAAAAATGCCTGCAACTAGTGATGATGTGAGTGAATTTAAGGCCAGCAAAGGTTGGTTTTGAGAGATTTAAGAAGCGTAGTGGCATACATAGTGTGATAAGGCATGGTGAGGCTGCCAGTTCGGACCACAAAGCAGCTGAAAAATATGTGCAGGAATTCAAGAGTACATAGACAGTGAAGGACTGAAACCTGAACAAGTGTTTAATTGTGATGAAACAGGCCTGTTTTGGAAGAAAATGCCAAGCAGGACCTACATTACTCAGGAGGAAAAGGCACTCCCAGGACATAAGCTATGAAAGACAGGCTTACTTTGTTGATGTGTTCCAATGCTACTGGTGATTGCAAAGTGAAGCCTTTATTAGTGTATCACTCTGAAACTCCCAGACCGTTCAGGCAAAAGAAATGTCCTCAAGGAGAATTTGTGTGTGCTGTGGAGGGCAAACAGTAAGGCATGGGTCACTAGGGACTTTTTCTATGACTGGTTACACCATGCATTTGCCCCCAATGTGAAAGATTACCTGACTGAAAAGAAATTAGAACTTAAGTGCCTCCTGGTGTTAGACAATGCCCCTGGTCATCCTACAGACGTGGCAGAGAAGCGACTTTATGGGGACATGAAATTCATTAAGGTGAAGTTTTTGCCTCCTAATACCACTCCTCTCCTGCAGCCCATGGACCAGCAGGTTATTGCAAACTTCAAAAAACTGTACACAAAAGCTCTGTTTGAAAGGTGCTTTGTAGTGATCTCAGAAACTTAACTGACTCTAAGAGACTTTTGGAGAGAGCACTTTAATATCCTCAATTGTGTAAACCTTATAGGTAAGGCTTGGGAGGGAGTGACTAAGAAGACCTTGAACTCTGCTTGGAAGAAACTGTGGCCAGAATGTGTAGACAAAAGGGATTTTGAAGGGTTTGAGGCTAACCCTGAGAGGATTATGCCAGTTGAGGAATCCATTGTGGCATTGGGAAAGTCCTTAGGGTTGGAGGTTAGTGGGGATGATGTGGAAGAGTTGGTGGAGGAGGACAATGAAGAACTAACCACTGATGAGCTGATAGATCAACTTCAACAGCAAGAGGCCAGACCTGAGGAAACTGGTTCAGAGGAGGGGAGAGAGAAATTGAAGAAGTTGCCTAACTACAAAGATTAAGGAAATCTGTGCAAAGTGGCTTGAAGTGCAAACCTTCTTGGATGAAAATTACCCTCACACAGCTATTGCAAGCCGTGTTGGCAACCTGTACACTGACAATGTTGTGAAACACTTTAGGAAAGTCATAAAGAAACGAGAGGTACAGGCCACTATGGACAGGTATGTTGTGCGACAGAAGTCCAGTGACTCTGAAGCTGGTCCTAGTGGCATTAAAAGAAGAAGGGAAGTAACCCCAGAAAAGGACTCGACACCTCAAGTCTTAATGGAAGGGGATTCCCCTTCTAAACACTAACACTCTCTCTCCCCTCCTCCCATCCCATCAATCATCACCAGATCTTCAATAAAAGTAAGTGTCATGTAATTGTGCATGCCTTTTTCAGTTTGTGTGTATTAAAATTAACATTTCATGTGGTAAAAATTTTTTTTTTCATACTTTTGGGTGTCTTGCACGGATTAATTTGATTTCCATTATTTCTTATGGGGAAAATTCATTCGCATACCGAACATTTCGCATAACAACCAGCCCTCTTGCACGGATTAAAGTCGCTATGCGGGGGTCCACTGTACTAATTTGAAAGTAAAATAAATGAGAAAATATTTAACTAACCTGGAGTAATGCCCATAGCATGAACTCCATACATATGGAAATCATGAACAGAATATGATGAAGGAATAGTAGGAAGTGGTTGTGTACCACTGCCACCAAGACCTCCAATAATGACTGAGCCTGCAGACTTAACGTGACGTCTCATCTGGAAACATGCCCTGTGAAAAATATCAACATATGACATCAATTTGAAATAGTTCATACCTTAATTTTCATTGTATCTTATAACTTTCATACTGGAGCATTATGAAATGTTTCTGGTCATTACTGTGTGAGTGGTCACAAGAACACTCTTGAAAGTAGTTGATTAAGAGAATATAGTGTCATTTTATTATGACAATAGAGTGTCTTTTATTGAGAATATACGTAATGTTATTTTATTAAGAGAATTTTTTTTTTATTATTAACACATCTGCCGTTTCCCACCAAGGCAGGGTGGCCCGAAAAAGAAAAACTTTCATCATTCGCTCCATCACTGTCTTGCTAGAGGGGTGCTTTACACTACAGTTATAAAACTGCAACATTAACACCCCTCCTTCAGAGTGCCGGCACTGTATTTCCCATCTCCAGGACTCAAGTCCGGCCTGCCGGTTTCCCTGAATCCCTTCATAAATGTTACCTTGCTTACACTCCAAGAGCATGTCAAGTCCTAAAAACCATTTGTCTCCATTCACTCCTATCAAACACGCTCACGCACGCTTGCTGGAAGTCCAAGCCCCTGGCACACAAAACCTCCTTTACCTCCTCCCTCCAACTTTCCCTAGGCCGACCCCTACCCTGCTTTCCCTCCACTACAGATTTATACGCTCTTGATGTCATTTTATTTCGTTCCATCCTTTCTACATGTCCAAACCATCTCAATAACCCCTCCTCAGCCCTCTGGATAATAGTTTTGGTAATCCCATACCTCCTCCTAATCTCCAAACTACAGATTCCCTGCATTATATTTACACCACACATTGCCCTCAGACACGACATCTCCACTGCCTCCAGTCTTCTCCTTGTTGCAACATTCACAGCCCATACCTCACACCCATACAAGAGTGCTGGTAAAACTATACTCTCATTATCATTTTATTAAGAGAATACAGTCATATTTTTTCAAGTATTGTTGAACACATGACAACAAAAAAAAATTACTAAATAAGAATAGCCAAAGGAATCATTCTGTCACAGGCAAGTTAGTACGTACAGAGAAGTGTGAAAAAGAAAGAAAAAGTGTGAGGAAAAAGTGAGTGAGAGAGCATTTGAGAGTGTATGCAAGTGTGTGAGAGCACGACTGCATAAGAGTGTGTGTGTAAAAGTTCCGTTCCAAAGACATATTCACAGGAAGCTGCTAAACCTGGTCATACAGCACTTAAAAGGAATGGGAGGTAATCTTATTTGATCAAAAGGAAGGGTAGTCCCAATTCCTTGGATCAAGACCCAGGCACTAGTATCAAGACACACTGAAGGGTGCAAAACAACTGAAGCTAAACAACATCCAAGTGCTAAGACAAAACAGAAAAAGTAATTTTTATTATAGTGCTACTCCTGTAACATACCAGTTACTAGTGTTAAGTGTTTCTTCTACCTGGCCTGTGGCTGGGCTTTCCTGTTGACTGCATGATCAACTAGGCTATTGATGCCTGCAGCTCACAGGCCCACAGCCACCACAACCTGGTTGATCAAGCTGCACACCCTAACACTTCCTAGTATCCTCTGGAAGACTGGTATGTCTTATATTTACCAGATGCAAAGATGTTATTTGCTAAGTGTACCTATGGCACTTGTACCCAACAAAATAAATGTTATTTGTTCAGTGTACTTATGGCACACCTGCCCAGTAAAATAAACAAACAACTGTGTACCATGTCAGGTATGTGAATCACTACCATTGTAGAGAAAATTAATTTATCATGTGTTATATTAAGATCTTCAAGTGAAATACTAACTGTAACCATCTCTACAAGTGCACTACATCAACCAGAATGGGATATCTATGTAGGCCTGTTAACTACCAACAGCAACAGCCTAGTTGATCAGGCAGCCAACAGGGAAGTTTGGCTTCAAGCCAGGCTATAAAAGAAGCCTCAAAACCAGTCACTCTTATATCAGAGGAAGACAAAAAATTTTCTGTAAATACACAAGCTAATTATTAAATCTATATTTACTGTAGTAAATTATTATTACAATCAAAACTAAGCACTAAACCCACAAGGGTCATACAGTGCTGTTACTGTAGCAAAGCTTCTTCAGGTTCACAATACATACTTCATGTGTTTCAGCCTCTGCATAAAACGATGTTTGTGTCGGTGTGTTCGGAAGCGAGGGTTCTGAGCTGCTGCAGGATCAAGATGGAGGAGAGAAACCAAGTCATCATCTGGCAACACAGTCTCCACCCACACCCGACTGATGTTGTCACGGCACGACGTCACCAACATGTTGCTTACACTCCCCCTATTTGAAAGGTACAAAAAATAACTTTAAAAAACATTGGAATAAATGTATTTTTAAAGTATAGAAAAAATAAGGCACCATTTTGTATTTTGGCACTCTGAGAGGTCAACGCAGTCAATAAAGTCTATGGTACACACAAAATAATATGGTAGGATCCCTGTATCCGAGGGTCCAGGATCCCACAGTTTCAGTTATCCATGGTTTACCCTGGCCTGAAAATAACCCTTAATTTTGCTTAATAATGGCCTCAAAGTGCAAAAGTAGTGATGGTGGCAGTTCTTCGAAGCCTAACAGAAGCTGTGAAGTGCTTCCGCAGCAGGTCCTCCGGGCAGGTCCACTGTGGCAGGTCCTCCGTGGCAGGTCCTCCACAGCAGGTCCACTGTGGCAGGTTCTCCACGGCAGGTCCTCCACAGCAGGTTCTCCACGGCAGGTCCTCCACAGCAGGTTCTCCACGGCAGGTCCACCGTGGCAGGTCCACCGTGGCAGGTCCACCGTGGCAGGTCCACCGTGGCAGGTCCACCGTGGCAGGTCCACCGTGGCAGGTCCACCGTGGCAGGTCCACTGGGGCAGGTCCACTGGGGCAGGCCCTTTGTGGCAGGTCCTCTGCAGCAGGTCCTCCACGGCAGGTCCACCACGGCAGGTCCACTGCAGCAGGTCCTCCACTGCAGGTTCTCTGCAGCAGGTCCTCCACGGCAGGTCCACCACGGCAGGTCCACTGCAGCAGGTCCTCCACTGCAGGTTCTCTGCAGCAGGTCCTCTGTGGCAGGTCCACCACGGCAGGTCCACCACAGCAGGTCCTACATGGCAGGTCCTCCATGGCAGGTCCTCCATGGCAGGTCCACTGTGGCAGGTCCTCCATGGCAAGTCCACTGCGGCAGGTCCTCCACAGCAGATCCACCACAGCAGGTCCTCCACGGCAGATCCACCACGGCAGATCCACCACGGCAGATCCACCACAGCAGGTCCTCCACGGCAGATCCACCATGGCAGATCCACTGCGGCAGGTCCACCACGGCAGGTCTTCCGCGGCAGGTCTACCATGGCAGGTCTTCCGCGGCAGGTCCACTGGGGCAGGTCCTTTGCAGCAGGTCCTCCGCGGCGGATCCTCCGTGGCAGGTCCACCACAGTAGGTCCACCGCAGCAGGTCCACCGCAGCAGGTCCTCCACGGCAGGTCCTGCGTGGTAGGTCCACAGCGGCAGGTCCACTGTGGCAGGTCCTCCATGGCAGATCCACCACAGCAGGTCCTGCATGGCAGATCCACCATGGCAGGTCCACTGCGGCAGGTCCACCGCAGCAGGTTTTTCGCGGCAGTTCTACCATGGCAGGTCTTCCGCGGCAGGTCCACTGGGGCAGGTCCTCCACGGCAGGTCCTCTGCAGAAGGTCCACCACGGCAGGTCCACCGCAGCAGGTCCACTGCAGCAGGTCCACTGCAGCAGGTCCACTGCAGCAGGTCCACTGCAGCAGGTCCACTGCAGCAGGTCCACTGCAGCAGGTCCACTGCAGCAGGTCCACTGCAGCAGGTCCACTGCAGCAGGTCCACTGCTGCAGGTCCACTGCTGCAGGTCCACTGCTGCAGGTCCTCCATGGTAGGTCCTACTGTATACTGTATTTAAAAACATGTATGTACAACTAACTGCAGTAGTTCTCCTAGGATAAATATACAATATACAGTACATATAATAATCATTTCAATATAATCTGTACAATTACATCATTATCAACAAACAGAAGAACGGATGGGAGGCATGAACCGTGGTCCATAAATTCACAGGGGCAAAGGCTAATGTTGAAGATGCGTAGTATTTCATTTTTGCAACTATTTTGAGTTTGACAAAGGTGTTATATATGATTTAAGCATCAGCTAGGGTAGAACAACTCATGAGAATTCCCATTACGGTATGGCAATTCCCCCTAAAAAAAAACAATAAACATTCACTTTCATTCATTCAACAGCTGTCCAGTAGAATGCAGACATCACAAACAATTATTCTTTTATTTTGTTCAAAATTCCCTAAACATTCACTAAACACTTCAAAATCTCTATCTTTAACTCTTGCCCACAAGGACTTAACACTTTTTTATAACCCATTTCTAATTTCTGAAATCTTATTTTTACTTTAGTCTGTATAAACATTCATATCCCTTCCTTCTTTTCCGTAGATGATCATTTAATATCACTGCTGCTATTTCTTTATCTTTAGATGTTATCTTCATTGTAGAATAATAAGAAAATAATATAACCTTTATATTATAATAATAAGGTAAAAGGACCCCAATGGAAATAAGTCACTCTGTCTGACTTTTTTGGGTTATCCCAGGTTCTCTACACATATGCTGCTATGTATGATAATTCTATGTAACTGTATTGTGTATACCTGAATAAATTTACTTACTTACTAGTTCTCTCTGGTGTACCCAATTTAACTTCATTTATTTTTCGCCACTGAAATTTTCCAACAGTTTTTGGGTAGAACGTCCAGCTTACAATCTTTTTTAATGTTAACAATCAACTTATTTTTATCACTTATAAGAACATAAGAACATAAGAATGGAGGAACACTACAGAAGGCCTACTGGCCCATGCGAGGCAGGTCCTTATCAAAACGACCTCTACCCAAAGCTACCCAAGAAATAACTCCAGTACCCAATGACACCAATCAAACCCAGCCCTCCCACTCATATATTTGTCGAGTCTCTTCTTAAAGCTACCCAAGGTCCTAGCCTCTACCACCCCACTACATCCACTGCCTCTACCACCCCACTACATCCACTGCCTCTACCACCCCACTACATCCACTGCCTCTACCACCCCACTACATCCACTGCCTCTACCACCCCACTACATCCACTAACATTCAAATGATCCCACTTCAAAATTTCATCCTCCCCCCTTTTGGGGGGGAGGAGAGAAATTACATATTTATTAAAAAATTGTACATTAAAATAAACATTTCAGGAAGAGCACTGAGGTCTGTTCCAGATCATTTGTATATTTATACATTAAGCACACATTCATGCTTCCTGGTGTTTATTGTAGCACTAACATGTTTTGGTCGGACTTGAGCTATTAGGTTACTTATATATATACAGTGGACCCCCGCTTAACGATCACCTCCAAATGCGACCAATTATGTAAGTGTATTTATGTAAGTGCGTTTGTACGTGTATGTTTGGGGTTCTGAAATGGACTAATCTACTTCACAATATTCCTTATGGGAACAAATTCGGTCAGTACTGGCACCTGAACATACTTCTGGAATGAAAAAATATCGTTAACCGGGGGTCCACTGTATCTTCTTATTTCGACGCACTGGCTGCTTCCCACCAAGGCTGGGAGGCCCAAAAAGAAAAAGAAAACTTTCTTTTTAACTTTAGTAACGTATACAGGAGAAGGGGTTACTAGCCCCTGCTCCCAGCATTGTAGTTGCCTTTTATGACATGCATGGCTTACAGAGGAAGAATTCCGTTCCATTTTCCCATGGAGAATATATATATATAAATATATATGGACATCCAGCAGCCATGTGAGCATGTCAGTAGGAGTGGAAGCAAATGGTTTCTGGGACTTGATGAGCTGTTGGAGTGTCAGCAAAGTAACATATGTGAAGGGACTAGGAAACTGGTTAGCCGGACTCTAAGTCCTGGAGGTGGGCAGCACAATGCCTGCACTCTAAAAGAGGAGTAGAGATATTTACAGTTTGGAGGGGTAGGTGAACTGTAGTATTAGGGTGCTTCTGGGAAGATAAAGACAGAGTGAATGATGGTCACCTTACCTTGGTCAAAGACAGCCAGTGTGTCAAAAAAAAATTAATAAATATGTACTTATGATGCATTATTTACACCTATGCTCATTATATGGTCAGTACTGTTGATAATTTTTGAAATTTTAACTAAGACATTCTTTACAGCAACTTAAACCTGTATATTCCTGTCACTTCCAACACCTGCCACACCACTTCATTGTCACACAACAGTTCCTTTCCTAATCTACATGCTGCCTTGCCTAAGGTATAAGCTTCACATGCATCTAGTAACTGGTTGCCCTGGCTGGTGAAAAAAAGACAACTGCCATTTGTCTTGTCTGCCTGTTTGCCCTGGTTGTTCTAAAACCATTACACATAACTTACTTTGGCATGTACTTGCTGGTAGCTCTCCAGGTGAACCCTTTTACAGCACTTGGATGTGGTAAGTAAATGTAGCTGTAACTGACAGGTGATTGGCTCATCTCACTGCACAAATTTATACCATCTTGGGGTCTTGCAGGAGCCAACACTAAAAAAAAAAAAGTAAATGCACCAACACTGTAAGAAACAATGTGTATAGTACATACTCTATTTATTTATACTGTACTTTACCTGATGACTTGTCTTTAAAGATTTACCCACTGATGCTCTCTAAACCCATTAATTGCTATAGGGTCTTCACCATGGAAAATAATGATTTTCTTTTTTTAATTAATGTGAAGCGGTTAACCAGTGTGGATCATAAAATACAAAGAACATGGAGCCTTCATCCTTAGTTTGCTAAGCACAAGAAAATTAGAAAATCAGAGGCAAAATCCTATAAAACATTTTTTAATCAAACTATTTTAACCTTCATAAGTAGTAGGCTGGTAGACAGCAACCGCCCAGGGAGGTACTACCGTCCTGCCAAGTGAGTAAAACGAAAGCCTGTAATTGTTTTACATGATGGTAGGATTGCTGGTGTCCTTTTTTCTGTCTCATGAACATGCAAGATTTCAGGTACGTCTTGCTACTTCTACTTACACTTAGGTCACACTACACATACATGTACAAGCATATATATACACACCCCTCTGGGTTTTCTTCTATTTTCTTTCTAGTTCTTGTTCTTGTTTATTTCCTCTTATCTCCATGGGGAAGTGGAACAGAATTCTTCCTCCGTAAGCCATGCGTGTTGTAAGAGGCGACTAAAATGCCGGGAGCAAGGGGCTAGTAACCCCTTCTCCTGTATATATTACTAAATTTGAAAGGAGAAACTTTGGTTTTTTCTTTTGGGCCACCCTGCCTCGGTGGGATACGGCCAGTGTGTTGAAAGAAAGAAAGAGATTTTAACCTTCATAAGTAGTAGGCTGGTAGACAGCAACCGCCCAGGGAGGTACTACCGTCCTGCCAAGTGAGTAAAACGAAAGCCTGTAATTGTTTTACATGATGGTAGGATTGCTGGTGTCCTTTTTTCTGTCTCATGAACATGCAAGATTTCAGGTACGTCTTGCTACTTCTACTTACACTTAGGTCACACTACACATACATGTACAAGCATATATATACACACCCCTCTGGGTTTTCTTCTATTTTCTTTCTAGTTCTTGTTCTTGTTTATTTCCTCTTATCTCCATGGGGAAGTGGAACAGAATTCTTCCTCCGTAAGCCATGCGTGTTGTAAGAGGCGACTAAAATGCCAGGAGCAAGAAGCTAGTAACCTCTTCTCCTGTATATATTACTAAATGTAAAAGGAGAAACTTTCGTTTTTCCTTTTGGGCCACCCTGCCTCGGTGGGATACGGCCGGCGTGTTGAAAGAAAGAAAGATTTTAACCTTATCTGATGTGACCTCAGCAGTTCCTCTTTAGTACTTTTTAATGAGTCATTAACTAAGCATTTACTATCTTCCCAATTTTAAAAAAATATTTTAACAAGCAACCCATCCTTAAAACCAGAGATAATATTTTTTTATGGTTTAAGCACGAGTCATTTCTCACTAAGATATAGTGACTCAAAGAAGTAAACATCCACTGTCACTCTTTCAGTCACTGTATTGCCAAAAAAAATTACGAATATTTAGGCCATCAACTGTGAACCCAAAAATCATAAAAACCAATAACAGCCTAAATCACCTTGAAAAAAAAATATTAATTTGCTCTCTGACACAATGAGTTATCATGGCCATTAAAAGTTATTCCACTGTTATGTCACAGGAGTAACAAGATGGTTTCAAGTAAATACAGCTTTCCTTTTCTGTCTGATCACTTTAGTGTTGCTCAATAATTAGACAAAAACAAATGTTACACGAATAACCCACACACAAGAGAGAGGAGCTTATGACGATGTTTCGGTCTGACTTGGACCATTTATAAAGTCACAGTGTGACTTTGTAAATGGTCCAAGTCAGACTGAAACGTCGTAAGCTCCTCTCTCATATGTGCGGGTTGTGTATCGTTCCAGTCACAGTATTGTGCCTTTTTGTTATTTAAAGACAAATGTTCTAAAATTTAAGTAGTGAATGATTTCCATAAGTTTCCTTTTAATAATTCTGGCGAGCCTTTTCTTATTTTGTAAATCTTTGGGGAACTTTCTAGTGAAAACTCACCAGTCTCATTGCTATCACAGTACAGTATTTAGGCAGCTGTCAGGGAAATACAACCCCAATGTAGTTGTCAAGGAATTACAACCCCAATGTAGTTGTCAAGGAAATACAACCCCAATGTAGTTGTCAAGGAAATACAACCCCAATGTAGTTGTCAAGGAATTACAACCCCAATATAGTTGTCAAGGAAATACAACCCCAAAGTAGTTGTCAAGGAAATACAACCCCAAAGTAGTTGTCAAGGAAATACAACCCCACCTCCCCTGATTACTGTTGCAAAACCCAAAGGCTCTATTATTATCTTCTTCTTTACTTATTAACAAAAGCTACACTCATGTTGGAACAATATAATTTATTGGATGTTGCTTTCATGTTATTCTATATAGCACATCCCATTTTTTTATTCAATGTGAATTCCTTGTAAATGTTGCAAATCAGAGCACAAATAAGTTATCAAAGCTCATTTAATGTTAAAAGTCAGAGTAATATGCACCTGTACCCATATTTTCTAGGAATATACCAGAGGATGTGATTTAGTAAAGTAATTTACTCCTACACAGAAGTAAATAAGAAATTAAATACCGAGGACAGGAAACCATAAGCACAGATCTGCTCCTGTAGCTATGAACAGGTAAATACAAACTAATTTTTTTTGTACCTGTGTGTTAGTATATTGCATTTTCTATACAGTACAGCTGATCCCCCACTCATGACATTAAGATGCTCCTCAAACTTGTTCATAAGCCAGCTGTTTGGAACCTGGAACTTATTTCCCCATAGACACATTAAAGATGCATGCAACCGGCCATAATATTCCACATCTAATTACTGTTATTTTAACTAAGGATATTAACCAAATATTTTACAATGAACTATTTCTTTTCACTTACCATTTTAAAAACTGTAGAATGAATGTATGTTACTTCAACAAATGAGTCACAATACATTACAGAGTAGAGATGTGTAGGAGCTGGCAGAAACTGGACAGAGAAAAAGGAGAATGAAGGGAAAACAAACTCATTCTTCACACTGAACAAACCATTGGTTTTCAAGGAAGAAAAAAATCAGGCAATTCAGTAAAGGTTTTCATTAGGGGACAGCTAAGAATCAAATAGAGTACTTACTATGCTTATTGTCGTACCAGATTTTGACCAATCGATCACTAGCTGCAGCTGTGGCAAAGAGAGTGCCGTCTGGAGAAAAAGACAAAAAAACAGTCGGGGCAGCTGTCACACACCGCCACACACAAATCCACATCGGTTCCTCCTCGTCTGAGCCCTCGCATTCCAAATCAAATGTCACAGGACATGAACCTATCAGAGGGATTGACAAAAAAATTTATTAGAATATACATCATATTAAAACTATGTAGTTTTTTATTTTTCCTTCTTTTAGAATATAATGTTGTACTGTGTTCTGGTCCCTTTACCTCCATTTTTGAAGTTTGAGAGATTTCTTCTAACTAAATTTTTGAGAATGAAACAAGGCCACATAATAGTAGTTATGACATTTACAGAACACTTTAGCCATGTAAGTCACTAAGGCCACATAAAAATGCTCTAATAACTTACCTACATGAAACAATCATAACTAAACAATACTAATTCAAAACAAAATCGAGTGAAGAATATTCAGCTACTAAAAAAAATCCAGCTTATATTTTAAATTTCTTTAAAAATCTCAACAAATTCTCTTAAATCAAAACTTATGGAAATCCAATAAACATTCCTGACCACACATTATGCAAGGATAAAAAGTTACAAACTCCACAGGAAGTGGAGAAGAATCCTTCCTCGTAAGCCATACGTGTTGTAAGAGGCAACTACAAAGCTGGGACCAAGGGGCTAGTAACCCCTTCTCCTATATAAATTACTAAATGTAAAGAGAGAAACTTTTTTTTTTTTTTTTTGGGGGGGGGGGGGGTCACCCTGTCTCAGTGGGAGATGGCCAATGGGTTAAAAAAAATAGTAGATACAAAATGCATAAATTTTACAAGAGTGGAGATTAATTCACCATCTTGTGCAGGTGCAAGTCTTGCCAGTGGAGCAGCCCACATCTGTAGAACATCCCCTGCTGTCAATAACCTTGTTCCTTCCACATTCCATGACAAGGTATTTATGTAATTCTCTGCCTCAATAACTCCAGTTTGAATCCAGCGGTAGTCAAGTCGCTGCAAAGGCAAGCTAGATTTAATTCTCATCTTCAGTATAATCACAAAAAATCTCACCCAATTTTTTTTTTTTTATCCTATGGCTCCTCAAAATAACATTTAGTAAGGAAAACACATAGGAGGCTTTCACATCAGCACATCTATATTTGCAATGTACAGGTGCTCCTCGACTTATGATGGGGTTACGTTCCAACGAGCTCGTTCCAAGTCAAAAATATCATAAGTTGAATATGAATATGATATGCTACATAAATAAGCCAAAAAATAACTAGTCAATGAATAAGCAAACAGACAATTACTGTAACTAACTAAATACCAGGAATGTATGAAAGTATAGTAGTACCAACACTCTTATATGGGTGTGAAGCTTGGGTTGTGAATGCAGCAGCAAGGAGGCGGTTGGAGGCAGTAGAGATGTCCTGTCTAAGGGCAATGTGTGGTGTAAATGTTATGCAGAAAATTCAGAGTGTGGAAATTAGGAGGTGTGGAGTTAATAAAAGTATTAGTCAGAGGGCTGAAGAGGGGTTGTTGAGGTGGTTTGGTCATTTAGAGAGAATGGATCAAAGTAGAATGACATGGAGAGTATTTAAGTTTGTAGGGGAAGGAAGGCGGGGTAGGGGGTCATCCTCGAAAAGGTTGGAAGGAAGGGTTAAGGGAGGTTTTGTGGGCGAGGTGCTTGGACTTCCAGCAGGCATGCGTGAGCATGTTTGATAGGAGTGAATGGAGACGAATAGTATTTGGGACCTGACGATCTGTTGGAGTGTGACCAGGGTAATAATTAGCGAAGGGATTCAGGCAACTGGTTATTTTTATATAGCCAGACTTGAGTAATGGAAATGGGAAGTACAATGCCTGCACTCTAAAGGAGGGGTTCGGGATATTGGCAGTTTGGAGGGATATGCTGTGTATCTTTATACGTACTTATATATGCTTCTAAGCTGTTGTGTTCTGAGCACCTCTACAAAAACAGTGATTATGTATGAGTGAGGTGAAAGATTTGAATGATGATGAAAGTATTTTCTTTTTGGGGATTTTCTTTTTGGGTCACCCTGCCTCGGTGGGAGACGGCCGACTTGTTAAAGAAAAAAAATTAAATAGTGCCAGTACTGAAAAGTAAATAAATTAATACAAGTTACAGACCTGTTGCCTTCATGCGAAGTATCATTAGTTGAACCATCCTAAGTTGAAGAGCACCTGTACAAAGTATCATTGACAAGTTTGGAATAATGAAAATACACATAAAAACATACAAAAACACACACAAACACAAAATACTTAGAGGAACTAACAGAGCAGCCAGAAACAGATGTTTGAGACCATGGTGTAACAGCACACAAAATGTGTGATATAGGAATAACAGGAAAGGTTGGTAGATGGATCTGTAATTTCCTAACAAACAGAACACAGTCATAGTAAACAGAGTAAAATTTGAGGCAGCTACAGTGAAAAGCTCTGTTCCACAAGGCACAGTACTTGCTCCCATCCTGTTCCTCATCCTCGTATCTAACAGACAGAATGTAAGCCACAGCATCATGTCTTCCTTTGTGGATGACACCTGAATTTGCACGAGTGTCCTCCATCGAAGACACTGCAAATCTCCAAGCAGACATTAACAAAATCTTTAAATGAGCTGCAGAAAACAATATGAAGTTCAATGAAGAGAAACTTCAATTACTCCAATATGGAAAACTTGAGGAAATTACAACTATATCGGGGTATAAAACAAATTCCAACTACTCAACAGAGTGTAAAATTAACGTGAAGGACCTGGGAGTGATAACGGCAGTGGATCTCACTTTCAAAGATCACAACAATGTACAGGTCTCCCTCAACATTCACGTTTTCAACTTTCACGGGCTTCACACATTCGCGAATTCCCAACCGCCAAATTCCCAGCCACCAAATTCCCAGCCGCCAAATCATATTTAAGTTTCCCGCCACCTGCGAGTCCCTACTACCCTCCCTCCGACCCCCGCAACTGGCAGCCAGCCCTCCCTCCACTCAGTGTGGTGAGTGCTTTGTTTATTCATTATTTGCTATTAAACTACAGTATAAATAATGTAAACCCATTCATGACTGCATATTGGAATGGCTATTCGGACAGGTATTAGACGGTGACATCATGTGTTTACTCTTGAACACTGCAAAGAATTAAACATTTCTGCTACAGCTAATAATAACAATAATAATAATAATAATAATAATAATAATAATAATAATAATAAATATGATATAATTGAAGAAGGAAATTGTACAAAAATACAAGGGAGTGGTTGACACATCGTCAGTGTGACTTTGTTTATGCTGGAGTGAACATTAGTCTCCCTGTTCTTCCAAACATTTCACAATAATTCATTGTGTTTGGTGCTTGTAGATTGAGTGTGACTGGAGTGGTAGAGGCAGTGATTGAGGCAATGGTATTTAATAACATACATGTTAATAATAATACATGTTATTAATAATAACATGTACTATTATTATTTATAACATATATGTTATTAAATACCACTGCCTCAACCGCTGAATTATTGTGAAATGTTTGGAAGAGCAGGGAGACTAATGTTCACTCCAGCATAAACAAAGTCACACTGACGATATGTCAACCACTCCCTCGTATTTTTGTACAATTTCCTTCTTCAATTATATCGTATTTATTATCATTATTATTATTATTATTAATTATTATTATTACTATTGTTATTATTAGCAATAGCAGAAATGTTCAATTCTTTGCTGTGTTCAAGAGTAAACACATGATGTCACCGTCTAATACCTTTCCTAATAGCCATTCCAATATGCAGTCATGAATGGGTTTACATTATTTATTCTGTAGTTTAATAGCAAATAATGAACAAACAAAACACTCACCACACTGAGTGGTGGGAGGGCTGGCTGCCAGTTGCTGAGGTCGGAGGGAGGGTAGTAGGGACTCGCAGTGGTGGAGGCAGTGGTGGAGTCTGTGGTATTTAATAACATACATGTTATTAACATACATGTTATTAAATAATATACGTTATTAAAGCATAACATGTATATATTTAGTACAATTTATGACGTTTTCATGTATTTTATGATTATTCATGGTTCAACAAGTTAAGGAAGCAGTATTGTAATATATTTCCCTACAATATATTGGGGCACCAAACATTCACGGTTTTTCAACATTCGCGAGGCTCTTGATCCCCTAACCCTCGCGAATGTTGAGGGAGACCTGTATCTATCACATCTGCTAGAAAAATAGGAGGATGGCTAAGGAGAACCTTCAAAACTAGGGATGCCAAGCCCATGACGAGTCTCTTCAAATTGCTTGTTCTCTCTAGGCTGGAGTATTGCTGTACAGTAACAGAGCCAGAGAATGTACAGAGAACCTTCACAGCACAAACAAGTACGATAAAACACCTAAATTATTGGAAATGGTTGAAGTTCCTTGACTTTTATTCCCTGAAACACAAGTGAGAGAGATACATGATAACATGTGCTTGTCAATAAGCTCCACACTAATGATAAATCATTAGCCTTTCCTAGTCAGTGCAAGAGAGGACACACATGTTTATTAACACTCTCCACACTGACAATTCCTCATAAAAGACTTACATGGCCATTCATCTGATTCACTAGAGGTGTGGGTTCAAATATGCAAACAAGTTTTCCATAAGCAGCTGCTATTTTTCCAGTGTCAGAAGAACAGTCCACACACGATATCTGTACATTGTCATGACACACACCAGGAATCACCTGGACACGTTCATATGTGCTGGCCAAAATAACAATGTTGCAACCAGCAGCATAAGCCTGAAAATGAAAGCAAACACTATATTTCAAGAATATTGTACGTATTTATGTATACAGCCTCTCCTCACTTAGCAACGAACTCGTTTACCGCCGACTTGGAATTACGACGGGCTCTCTGACCAGTATGCACACCTAAATGATGTATATTACAGCTGATATCCTCTATTCTGTTTATTACAATATACAGTACACTACTGTATAAACATTTAAAAATAAAAATGTCATAAATGGTGCAAAGGTGACATTAAAACAATATCAGAAATGGTCGACACAAACCCACTACCATTACAGTATGCTCCTTGCTTAGTGACAAATTCGTTTACCAACGTGGTCTTAAGAACGGAAATCCATCGTTAAGTGAGGAGAGGCTGTATTATGCAGAAAAATATAATCCTAGCTTGTAGGTGAAATTAACATATATTTAATTTTATTCTGCAAAATTAAACATATAAATTAATATACTTTATTTTATTTCAAAACAGAGGAAAATGTTCAATATTGGCATTCAACCCCTAATATATATACATTTTAACCCTTAAACTGTCCAAACGTAGATCTACATTTGCTCGTGTAGCACTCCAAACGTAGATCTACGTTTTTTATATTCTTTCTTATGGAGAAAATCAAGGGTGGAGCGCTACACGCAAACATAGATCTACGTTTGGACAGTCAGAGGGTTAATTGAATTACACAAATAAGACTTTGCACCAAGCAAACTCTCCTTTGCACATTTAAACAACATTTACCATCCCTAACTTTTATATTAGTAGTGTTATAAACTATAACACTGAAAACCTAGAGAAATTGCAAGAAAAAGGGAGGATCATGATAACTACTGAATGTATGTGGTAAATATAACAAGTTAAGATTACCCTCAGGAATATCCTTACCATAAATGGCACTCCCTCCACACTCCCAACAGCAAAACAACGGTCGCCAGCATTGCAAGCGCCAGTAAGAATCTGATGGCATTTCATTTTGTCGCAGTTGCTCTCAAACAACACCTGGAAAAAAATGACATCAATGTTGAACATTAACCCCTTGACTGCCGCAACCCCCAATCCTGAGGTGTCTCCTGGTGTCATAAAATTTCAAAAAAAAAAAAAAAAAAAAAAAAAAATCTTATGAAATGATAGAGAATCTTTTCCCGACTGTAATGACACCAAAAAACGAAATTTGATGGAAAACTGATGGAATTACGCTCTTGCAAAGTTAGCGACCTCGGCGATATTTACAAATTGGCGATTTCGCCCACTGTGAGCCCTATTTTCAGCTAATTCCATTGTTCCAGTCGACCAAACTCATAGCCATTTGTTGAGAGCTCCATTTTTTCTATCGACTGAGTACAAGAAACTGCCCATTTACCGATTTCAACTACCCAATAACGTGGTCAGAAATTTGCAATTTGGCAAATTTCACGAAAATTAAAAAATATGACAATTTCAAAATAGGGTCCAGAATGAACAATGCAGACATTCCTGGCTCTAAAGTAACATTTTCTTTGTTCATCAGTCATGTCTCCAGGCCCCTCTGATATTACTCTTTCTTACTATTTTGAATTTTTATTCAAACAAAAATTAGAAGACTTACTATTAAGCAGACTACTGCAATACTGTAATAATTGTATAAATAACATCAACCCATTCATGACTGCATATTAGAATGGCTAGTTGGACATTTATTGGGCAATGACATCATTTGTTTAATTTTGAACATTGGCAAAAATCAAACATTTCCCCTTCTTTGAGCTCCATTTCCAGGTTCTTTTTATAGAAAAATCAATCAAAAATCACCTCTATTTCTATAATATGTTTTCTATTCTATCAAATGAGACCAAGGAAATGAGAATACAACCATAAATATTATACGAAAATAGGCCACAAAGTCGGCATTTTAATTAAAAACAAAACGGTCGGAGTTTTTTTTTCTCATTATGCACTGCGTGCTCCAGGATTTTTTTATATGGTGCACACTGACCACACAGACCCATTCTCTCACATGTGGGGCTACCAGCTTTCTCCTGCTTGATTTGAAGCCGCTAGAATTTATGAGTATATATACGTCAAACACGGTACCTCGTAAGACGTATATATACGACCTCGACAGTCAAAGGGTTAAAGGGAAAAAGAATTTCATTCACATACAATACTGTATTATTATTACAATCAGAACTAAGACTTAACCCACAAGGGTCATACAGCATATACAACACCGTAGTAAACTCTTTTGATTTAAAACTTCAATTTAACAAACTTTAGAAATACAGGACAAAATTTACTGGGTTAACTAACAATGAGCAAAGATTGCAGATTATGATCAAACAATCTCATGTTTATTCATTACAATCACCATTATAAGCCACTGAAACACACTACCTACACTGTAGACCTCAGTCGAATACACAGGAGGTAGCAGAAGCAGTGGAGATTTAAAGACAATGTATTCAATGTTCCATGGCCTGGTATGCAACACTCTCGCCGGACACACACAGTGTTCGTGGCCTGGTAGGCAACACTCACCTCACACACAGTGTCTGTGGCCTGGTAGGCAACACTCACCTCACACACAGTGTCTGTGGCCTGGTAGGCAACACTCACCTCACACAGTGTCTGTGGCCTGGTAGGCAACACTCTCGCTTTACACACACAATGTTTGTGGCCTGGATGGCAACATTCACACCTCACACACAGTGTTCATGGTTCAATACCAGGCCAAGTGGAAACATTGGGTGTGTTTCCTTACACCTGTTGTCTCGTTCACCCAGCAAGTAATTAGGTACCTGGGCGTTAGTCAACTGGCATGGGTGGCATTCTGGGGGAAAATATTGAGGACCCCAATGGAAATAAGATAGACAGTCCTCGACGATGCATAGACTTTCTTCGGGGTTAAAAATCCAAACAAAATTTTATACACCTACCATCCGACTTACGACCGTGTTTTTTATGCCAAATTTCTGGGAAATAAACAACTATTTGTGTTGTACACAGTGTTTATCCTAAACCTTACAGTATAAAATGCAGTACTAACAGCATAGAAAGTAAAGTAAAACATGAAATACCAAAATAAAACAATAAAATAAAGTCATTACAAAAATGTGATGTTTATATTCAGTAGTAATGTTCGACTTACAACCGGTTTCTCGGAACCGAACTCGGCCGTAAGTTGGATGGTAGGTGTATTTGCATGTGTATTAATAAAACTACTGGATGGCGAAACATCTACACTAAAGATACCCAGATGCTGCACATATGTCTAATTATCATCTTGTTGGTATTGCATATCATTCATGAACAAAATCTTAGCTGTTATCTCATCAGCCTTGATGATGTAGTTTAAGGTGGTCAGTCCCTCAGCCCGGGGAAGAGTTTTGCTTCAGAGTCTAGAATAATGTCAAGTTGAAACATTACTGGAGACATATACTGCAAAGGTCAGGTGCATAAAATAATGAAAATTAGAGAAAAGGTGGAACCTACTAGTAGAACTAATAATGTAATAAAGGTGGAACCTACTAGTAGAAGTAATAATGTAATAAAGGTGGAACCTACTAGTAGAACTAATAATGTAATAAAGGTGGAACCTACTAGTAGAACTAATAATGTAATAAAGGTGGAACCTACTAGTAGAAGTAATAATGTAATAAAGGTGGAACCTACTAGTAGAACTAATAATGTAATAAAGGTGGAACCTACTAGTAGAAAAATAATGTAAAAAGGGTGGAAAACCTACTAGTAGAACTAATAATGTAAAAAGGGGCCCTACTATAGAAGAAATTAATGTAATAAAGGTGGCCTACTGTAGAATAATAAGTAATAAAGGTGGAACTACTGTAGAATAAAATGTAATAAAGGTGGAACCTACTAGTAGAACTAATAAAATTTAAAATTTTTTTTTATAATCAAAAGAAGCGCAAAACCCCCAAGGGGGTCATACATAATACACCTAAAAGAGCACAAGGGGGAAATAAGTCATTGAATATTTTAAATTATTATCCGGAGTTAATTTACATATATGTTAAATTTATAAATAATTTTTACTTTTATATGTTGGTGTACTTAATAAACTTCTGAATATTAGTGACTTTAAAATTAAAAAATTTATTACTACAAAAAAAAGATTTTTTTTTTTGTAAACAAAGAAATAAAAAATTATATTTTTTTTGGATGTTTGGGAACAAGGCCCCGTGTTAGTTACGTTTGATGGAATGAGTATTACTACAACATAGTGTATGATAACTGGGTAAAGATAATAAGAGGAGAGAGAGAAATAAAGAGACCCATCACCGTTCTCCATTATTATCACTGATCAATGTTGTCTCTCCTACAAAACCATTCTTCCTTCTCAACGATCGTTTTTATTTCACTTCTTAGCACAACTACGCCTCAAATAATACTTAACATCCTCCTCTCCAGGTAATAGACTTTTAAACACTTGGGAATTATTGTGCTTTAAAGCAGTGAAATTATGGAAATAGAAATAAAGTCAAAGTTTTAAAAGAAAGAAAACGGGACAGTCACACGGACAGGCCTTTATGGAGTGTAATTTTTTACTATTTAGTAAGTAAATGTGTTTAATTAATAAGTAGGTAGGGAAATAAGTAGGTAGGAAGTAAGTTAGTTGTAAAGGAAATAAGTAGGTACGGAAGTTAGTAAGTAGGGAAGGAAGAAGTAGGTAGGAAAAAAGTTAGTAAGAGGGGAAGGGGGTAAGTAGGTACGGAAGTTAGTAAGTAGGTAAGGAAGTAAGTAGGTACGGAAGTTAGTAAGTAGGTACGGAAGTAAGTTAGTAAGTAGGTAAGGAAGTAAGTAGGTACGGAAGTAAGTTTGTAAGTAGGTAAGGAAATAAGTAGGTACGGAAGTAAGTTAGTAAGTAGGTAAGGAAGTAAGTAGGTACGGAAGTAAGTTAGTAAGTAGGTAAGGAAGTAAGTAGGTCGGGGGTAAGTTGTAAGTAGGTAAAGGGGGTAAGTAGGTACGGAAGTTATAAGTAGGTAAGGAAGTAAGTAGGTCGGAATTAGTAAGTAGGTCGGAAGGGAAGTTAGTAAGTAGGTAAAGGGAAATAATAGGGACGGAAGTTGTAAGAGGTAAAGGGAAATAAGTAGGTACGGAAGTAAGTTAGTAAGTAGGTAAGGAAGTAAGTAGGTACGGAAGTAAGTTAGTAAGTAGGTAAGGAAGTAAGTAGGTACGGAAAATAGTTGTAAGTGGTAAGGGGAAATTGTAGGGCGGAAGAAGTTAGTAAGTAGGTAAGGGGGAAAATAGTAGGTACGGAAGTTAGTAAATAGGTATTGGGAAGTAAGTTGGTAAGAAGTAGTTTTAAATGGTACGGAAGTAAGTTAGTAAATAGGTTTAAAAAGTAAGTAGGTACGGAAGTTGTAAGTGGTAAGGAAGTAAGTAGGTAGGAAGTAATTAGTAAGTAGGTAAGGAAGTAAGTGGTACGGAAAGTAAGTTAGTAAGTAGGTAAGGGAAATTAAATAGGTACGGAAGTTAGAAAAAAGGTAAGGGAAATAATAGGTATGGAAGTAAGTTAGTAAGTAGGTAAGGAAGTAAGTAGGTATGGAAGTAAGTTAGTAAGCAGGTAAGGAAGTAAGTAGGTATGAAAGTAGTAAGTAGGTAGGGAATAGGTATGGAAGTAAGTAGTAAGCAGGTAAGGAAGTAGGTATGAAAGTAGTAAGTAGGTAAGAAGTAACGTTAGGTAAGCTGGTAAGGAAGTAAGTAGGACATGAAGTTTAGTAAGAGGTATGGAAGTAGCGGTATGGAAGTTAGTTAGTAAGTAGTGTTAAGGAAGTAAGTAGGCATGGAAGTTAGTAAGTAGGTATGGAAGTAAGCAGGTATGGAAGTAAGTTAGTAAGTAGGTAAGGAAGTAAGTAGGTATGGAAGTTAGTAAGTAGGTATGGAAGTAAGTAGGTATGGAAGTATGTTTAGTAAGTAGGTAATGGAAGTATAGTAGGCATGGAAGTTAGTAAATAGGTATGGAAGCAAGTAAAGAGGTAAGTGAGGAAGTAAGGAAGTAAGTAGGTA